GTCACATGGTGTGGGCGGGACGGAGCTCGGACGTCACATTCACCAAGCTCCGCCTATTAGCCGAAACACAGCGCCAACCACTCAGACTACCAAGTTACTACATTGCCCGGCATAGTAAATGAGCAGTTGCTATGTTCAACATTACTGCTGCTATTTCGGACAGTTTTAGAAAATTGGGCAGACTAGATGGGCCGAATGGTTCTTATCTGCCGTCACATTCTATGTTTCTATGTTTCTATGTTTCTATATGCCTTAATAAAACACATGTAAACAAAAAAATGCCACAAGAATAAATGTGCCGAAAGAGAAGGGCACAGATACTAAGATTATCCCCCTGTGTGCTAATATCCAGGTATATATGTAAAAAGATATAAAGAAATAATTCTAATGGATACTTATTATTGATGTTGACATTTAAGACTTGAAAAAATATTCAGATCACAATTGTTTGAAATATTAGAGTCCAAAAATAAAAGGCCAGGGCAAATTCAAAGTAATGGAGTCCTATGTCAGCTTAAAAGGACAGAATCAAGACTTGATTAGCAGTCAAAAATAGGAGGAAAAAATCAATATTGGCAATATTGAGAAAAAACAGGTTTATATATACAATTTAAAACAACTTAAAGGAAAACCTCCAAGTATATAAAGAACTATAATGAACCATCATGTTACTAGAACTACTAATTAATATACAGGTGTGACATGTCAGTGCAAGTTGATAGACTTAAATAAATAAATCATAATGTATACTAAATATACAAAGAAATATAAATATGAAGCCATATTTATATATAGATTAGTCAGAGATAAATGGTGTAAAGTTCCCTTAGTGACTTCGCTTTAATCTTGAAATCTTCAATCTTCAATCTGCTGGTTTGCCTCTGACGAAGGTGCTTCACTAGATAGCACGAAACGTGCGTCAGGCGTTTTTATATATATATATTTATCACTTATGGATAGCTTTCACTAGGCACGTTATGGCACTTTATTGGTTTCACTTTTGTTTGATATAAGTAGATACTAGATTCCATTGAGCTACCTCTGAGCAGTTCTAAGGTTTATACTTAGGCAGGGAGGCATTACCTATTATTTGGAGCGTTTGACTCACACTAAATATAGGCTGCTATCTGTCCTCTATATTTCGACCTAAATGACTGCTCTTTACCCTATACTCTATTCTTGGATATGTCACTGAGCATTCTAAGCATCATGATATCTATGTTCTACCTTTGATACTCCTTCTATCATTTTTTCTAATTACTCTTAATTACATGGTCATACTTAATCTATGAATATATCTATAGCTCTTTGGAGATAATTACCTTGTGTACATACCCTATCTTTGATTATATACATTTCTGATGATAATTTTTTGGAGCTATCCCTTTAATTATTGTATGTAATATTTGACCATACTGTATAGTTGGATTTAATCTTATATTAGGGGGTGCCTATACAACATCAGGCTAATTTTTAAGTGGTAGTCTCATCTATTCCCTATTTGGGTGATTATACCAGATCTAGATACCTAATAGTATAGATTTGTTAAGGGCCAGTTTGAATAAAGCTCAGTATTTCTATCTATTTCTAAGGATATACTGGTAATATCAGTATTTCACCCAGGGGTTATGTAATATAATTCTATCTACTTTTTTTATATTCACATCCCATAGGGATACCTCCTTATTTTGTATCAAGTATTTTTCATGACTTCTTTCTAGACTACTTGTATATGTCCAGGTTTACACAGATAGCTACAGTTTGCCTTATGGCATGGTGACTAATATTCTGTGTGTCTTTTCTAACAGCACTATAAAACACAAAACAAAAACACACAACATTGCTACCTATACAGTTAGGTCCAGAGATATTTGGACACTGACAATTTTCATAAAAATAGTGAGGAGGGAACAAGAAATCTAAATACCTGTAAATAAAACATGACTTACCATTTGATGTCTTCTTTTTTCTAAAACCTTCTTTTTTCAGCCCCAAAAAAGGCCAAATAAAAATCTATAATAGCCATAGCAAATGCTAAAAAAAAAACAAGTGCAAAAACCCCCCCCCAAAAAAGACAGAAAAAAACACGCTAAAAAGGTAACCCATCTTCACCCAGTGAAGGCAATGTGCAGACTGAGCTCCGTAGGGCGGGGAAAGGCTTATAAAGCCATCCCATGCCCTGCAATTTGACTTAGAGCACTCTGATTTGTTGATTCCAAGCCAACCAATCACAGTGCTCTGACAGGTAAATTAAGAGACTGACAGGTAAGTGGCTTGAAATCCAACCAATAAGAGTGCTCTGTTTCATTTTACACAGCGTGGGAAAGTTCTTTAGAATTTTCCCATGCTGTGTAATTTGACTCATAACACTGTGATTGGTTGCTTTCAATAGGTCCCCCCCATTTTCATTTAGGGTCCTCACCTGCCTCTCATGGGTGGGGGCCGGGGGGATGATGCTAGGTCCCACCTTCAGTTTAATAGCCCCCACTCGTAGCTCCCTCCTTGTAATAAACCAAACGAATGAACGAAGAGGTCGTTGTTCATTCGTTTGAAATTTCTATTCATTTATTCCTCTTTCTGACGAATGAATGGATTAAATTTCCGTTCGCATGCCCAAGTGTTTAACTGGGCATGCGCGGGAATTTCATAGCGCTATCTAGTGTGGGCAGATGACGAGTCCCACAGGGACTTCATCTACCCACACAAAGATGGCGGCGCCCAGGACCTAGGTCTGGGCAGAAAATAAAGATTAAAACATGGGTAATATGGGGGGCTTAGGGGCATTTGGGAGTGACTAGGGGGACAATTAGATGTGGTGTAGTCAGGAAAGGGGTTAAAAAAACAAAACGGGATTCGGCCATGGCAGTGCCGCTTTAAGCCCATTTTCAGTATTTAACAATAACTTGAATTTATTCTGGCAAACAACTGAATTAAAAAAACTTGTGTCAGTGTCCAAATATTTCAGGCCTTAACTCTATGTACCATGAAAACTGTGGCGAAAGTGACCTCCCCACTGGTCTTTGGAGGGGCCTGTTTGCCAGCCTCCTGCCCTGCGACTATGGCCCTGGGATGTATTTCCCTTTAAGGAACTGATTTGGGGCATACTGTATTTTATTATGCTGCTGCTGGCCTTTTTAGAACCATCTGGGGACATACTGTGGAGTTACTGGGTGGCCACCATTTCATGTATCAGAGGCACATGGTGAGAACAATGGATGAAACACATGATGAGAACAGTGGATGGCGACCATTTTAACTCACAGACACTGTTGTGACTTTTCTACACGGTGCCATCTCAACGGTATTTGGTGCACAAAGACCTCATTCAGTAATGTTAAACTACACATTTAACAGTAATTATTTTTCATATAGCCTGTATTTGTTCTGCGGAATCTGCATTAAACCGTATCTTCCAAACTACTGAACGGATCTGGGTGAATTTTGGATATGTGGTTTACCCAGATCCCCCGGTTCCGATGATATATTTATGGGATTATTGCATGTTTTAGGGTCCCTGTTATATGTTTTATAATACTGTATTTTCCTGCCCTTGATAATTAAGTTACTCTATTGTGTTGAGATAATTGTATCACAGGCAGAGGGGAGGATTTCTGATTTAATGAATGGGAGTGTTAGCTGTGTTGTAATGTGTTGATTGGTTGTTCTTCAAAACCCTGTGGGCAGTACTATGTTTGTAGAATGTGAATAAAAGAGGCTGTATGTGCCAGTACAGTCAGTTCTACTTCACCCTCAATCTAGAGTCCTGTCTCTTATTGGGGGAATTGCTATATCACTACAAGGGATTGCTATGCTCTGCATACTCCCTTAGCATACTCCCTTTAAAGAGCTTGTTTCTGCTTCACTCTCTTGGAGGAGAGGTTCACCCACTGGAACCTGGAGCTTTGTCGTAGGTCCAGGGTGGGTAGGAGACGGCAAGTTGTGGTGTCTGGCGGAGCGCTTGGAGCCCTCTGTAAGCGCTAGGAGCATCCTTCAACGGAGGTACCCAGTCGGGGTGCTAGGTGATCCGTTACAAAAACCTTTATTATTACACTAGACCACAGTAAAAAAAAAAAGATTACAAATGTTATGGATGTCAATGAGTGTCCAAGCGTCTGAGAACCAAGAACCAACTTGTAACTGGTACAGTATGGTCTTGAAGGAGGAGAAATAAGGCTTCTAGAGGAGGTGAGATTCACAGCTGTTTCATGTATGTTACTGTAAACCTACAGCTTGTGACACCTCCGCCAGTTAACACAAAGGGGTTACTGCACCATTTGCTACAGTTCTCTAAATCTTGGACATAAAGCATTAAATATGATTTACACATGAATACAAAGGAAAATGAGATAAGGCTGTGTACAATCTAAAACAGGAACAAAAAAAAATACACATAGTGTAATACAGTAAAGTACTGTATTACACTATGTTTATTTTTTTGTTCCTGTTTTAGATTGTACACAGCCGTATCTCATTTTCCTTTGTATTCATGTGTATATTGTAAAAGGTCAGGAACTGGGCCACGACCTTGAGAGGCTGTTTTGATTGAACATTTCAGATAAGTATATTTGGATATTAATACTTTTCCTTTTTACTATATTATAGTAGAAACTGAGGTGTTACAAATATGATTTACAGTCTGGTTAGATCATACTGAGAAACTAAAATAAGGTGTTCTTTCCTCGGACATTATTTCTTAATTTTTTCTAAATGGCTGTTTGTGACATCCCTTTTCCCCTAGTCCCTCCCCGCACAGCGTTTATTTTTTGTTTTTTATTGTGTCAATATTTATAATTTTTCTTTTTTTTATGTCATCATAAAGAATCTAGATTGGAGTCCCTTTGTAATGTATATTGTTAAATGTGTTAATAAAAACAATAAAGAATATAAATACAAAAAAATATATTAGGTACATTGCATGTGTACATATCGCCTGGTTGATACAACATAAATAAATACAAACGTCTTGTACAACTGGGTTATTCAATCTTAATTTTATTTACCATTTTAAAAATATCAAAAAACAGCTTTCAGTAAAACAATGGTTCAAAGAAATTGTACAAAAATAGGATATTACAAGAAATTCTTAGATTTTCCACAATTTAAAATTTTTTTTTAAATACACCACACAATATAAATCACTGGTCCTCCCACTTCATCCACATCAAATAGATTATGTACAAATTCTTTGGTGAAAGCCATTAAAAGCCCATTTTTGGGTTTCCCGTGGGCAGTAAATATTTTTTTTTATATTAAATTATTCAAAAAGAACATTTTGTGCCATCTGTCACCAATATTGAAAATACATCCATACAAACAAACAAACAAAAAAACAACCCCAAATCCACTAAGCAATATTTTTTTCACAGTTTAAGAGAGCAAGTTGAGAAAGAACGATGTTAGTAACACTGTCTGAATGTTAACACAACCTTACTTTTTTGTAAACGCATCACTGAGGTCAAAGAGGAACAGTCATTTCTTTGTCTTCTGGTGAGAATTCAGGTTCACTTTACCCATTTAGTGAGGTGTACAGAACAGGCAAACAGAAACTAATGCTTCTATTGCATTTCCAGTTTATTAAAACAGCCATGTGTCAATAGCTGAATGCACAATGGATACATTATTCTCATAATTCCATGCATTCTAAAGGATGCTTAAAAAATAACAGAAGTTAGTGCACTGTCATGCCTGAACTGCCTTGCACTTAATACATTGTTTTATCATTTTTGTTGAAACAAAGCTCCACAAATATTTATCTTTATCGTTTACTACATACCACTAGCACCCAAAGTGACAGTTACTCTTTAAACATGCCATTCGATTAACAAATAATAAAAACAGGTATTAATAAAAAACACAACATAAAAAGGCATTCTGATTAACAAATAATAAAACAAAGTAAAAAAAAAAAATACATATAAAAAAAACCTAAAATCAAATGATAACAAAACTGAACATTAATGAATGAATATTTCAAGTAACTTATATGTAGGTGAAGAAATTAATTAGACGGGTTTAAATGGTTTTGCATGGCTACGATGCTATCTATGAGAAATGTGAGTTTAATACCTTTATATAGTGTAATAAAAAGTTCTGCTCTGGGTGAATTACAACATTTGATTTATACAATACGCTAGTGAAACCACCAGGAGCTGTATAGATTAATTTATATATTTTTCTCGTGTTTATAAAGTTTTTTTTTTGCTGTGAGCTGTACAGTAGGCACAGTGTGTCCATCGATTGCTATGGTTTAAGTATTCAGATATAATCAATACAACATTTACTGATTATATCTTTAATTTAGAAATGAAATGTGATGTACAAAATGCCATCATGTCCTACTGGAATGATGTTCTGTACTCTCCAAAGTAGTGTCCACTTGTCTGACGAAGATTTGCTTTGCTATAAAATTAAAACTGAAATTCAGCACTAAAAAGATGACCAGCTTGCCTTATCATTCATTTATTTATAAATTTGTAGTGTGCTAAGTGAGTTTCAAAGCAATAAACAGTTGTAGAATGAGTTACTGAAGTAATTTAAAAACTGTAGAATGGGTTTCCAATTTGGGTCACTGTCAAAAATAGGTTAAAACCCACTGGTTTAAAGAAATCTGATGTAGCTGTTTAATGAATGAGACTCATCGAAGATTCAAAAGACTCATGTTCTTAAAAGAAATAAGAAACACATTGCATAGCACCTCATATTTGGTCTTGATACAATTCATTCAGCCCTGAAAACTGAGCTTTAGAGAAAAATCCCTTATGAATTAAGGGGTGCTCCTAACCTCAAACAGTACATTAGCTTCTTCAAGAAATTGCAGGAGTTTCACAGAATACTTTGCATAAAAGCTGGAAACAGAAATAGATTAAAATCCATACTGGTTAAGGTTTGTTCGAAATCCCCATTACAAGTATCAGCACCATATTTAAAAAAAACAAAAACAAAAAAGAAACAATGTATTCTAGGCACTTGACAGCAATAAATAGAGACAGCAATTATGTAACAAATTATTATTATACATATATACACACACATATATTCAGGTCTGTAAATTATTACAGATATAAGGGCCAGAAGAAAAATGAATTAGTACATTTACTAACCCTAAATGTTCTAACATCAAACGTCCAGCCATGTGTATGTATATATACATATATGTGTGTTCACATGTATTCATCTATATGTATATAAATACAAATCTCTATATATACACACATATATCATACATATATACATACATGCATGCATGTTTAGTAGTTGGTTTTGTTCTTTTAGTAAAAAACTAATAGGACACACAACGGATAGCCCAAACAGGTGGCACTCAACCTGTTAACTAAAAAAAGACTTATTTACATTTGTTCTCTCAGAAGTTTTAAAAACATAATGCAACTTTTTCCTTAAAGAAACACTAGGATGTTTCAAGTACCACAACCACTTAATGGGATGCCTAGAGTGTCCCTTTAACTTAAAAAAGCTGAATCAGACTGCTCCTTTAAATCTGTGTAAACAAACACATGACAGCACAAAGCAAAAAAACAATGTTCACATCATTCTATCTGGATTTGCGAAGTAAAAAATGTGATCTTGATCCAGTGAAGGATTTTATTTCAGAGAAACACACAGCACTCCGGGTCTTGCCTCTGTAAATCTAGAAACAGAACAATTTTGTTAATGATTTAAATGATATATAAATGCATAAAAATATATTTCTATTACGGAGATAACGTTAAATAAAGTATGTCTCACCATGAACTGGTGTCATTTTAAAGTAACACTAACAATAACTAGAAAAGCTACAATTTCTGGGGAAATTGTGTGGTGTTCTTGCCTCCACCAGTAGACTACAACTGGAGTGGGTGGAGTAACTGTTATTATTTATTCATATAGAACATTTAATTGCAACGTTATTGCCCAAAGTGCTTCACAGTTACATTAAAACATAAATTTATAAAAACATTAGCAGGTGTACAAAAGGCCCTGTCTATGACATCACTTGCTGCTCCAGCCTGGCACAGGTCAGAGTATTTTGACGGTTGCCATCTTCGTTTTTTTAAAAACTATAAATCCTACAGCGAAGAGCTTTCTATTGTGAGAATCACAAGACCCAAACCTACATTTTGATGCATAGTATGTCTCTGAAATATTAAAAATGAAGGCACAGTTGCAGTTTAGAAATTGCCCTTCAAATTTGAGCTTTGTATAGTGGAGTTTCAATGAATGTCAATGGACGGCGTTAGTTGCAAACAAATGATTATATTGTGAAAACTATCAGGACTATGGCTTAGCCGTTGACATGTTTAGTGGCAGCAGGGATAGCTGAACGTTTTGATATAAGATTTGTGTAGGTGGGAGTGGTGGCAATTTAGAAATCATGTCCTGATTTTTCAGCTTTTGCCAGCTCCCACTCTAGCTTTGCCATTCATTCCTATGGGACAAATTTCGCCACAGGAATGACGATATTCCGTGAACCATTCGGCAAAACGTTCCACAAAGTAATAGCAATCCGATCGGGAACAATCTGCACGTTTTGGTAAATTTTTGTCTATGTAGTGTAAAAACTGTGGGAGGAGTTAGGGTGGCAAATTTGGCTATAATAAGAATAATATATATGTGAGATAACAATAAGTGTTCTTGCAAGAACACTTAATAATATATATGTGAGATAACAATAAGTGGTCTTGCTATGCAAGAACACTTAATAAGAATAAGAATATATATGTGAGATAACAATAAGTGGTCTTGCTATGCAAGAACACTTAATAAGAATAATAATATATATGTGAGATAACAATAAGTGTTCTTGCTATGCAAGCACACTTAATAATAATATATATGTGAGATAACATTAAGTGGTCTTGCTATGCAAGAACACTTAATAATAATATATATGTGAGATAATAGTAAGTGGTCTTGCCATGCAAGAACATTTAATAATAAAGTTATGTCACCCATCAGCTCAGATCAGACTTAGGCCAACCTACGACCAATCAAATGCTTCTTTTTGTTGAGGGCCCTACTTGATGCCGCACCAAAAGGATTCTCCTCATAGAGAAGCATTATAACAATTCTCTATGGGGAGACTTAACTGCTTTCCATGCTGTATTGATGCCAAATGTGAAGATTTAAATTTTGTTTATTTTTTGCTCGCAGTTTTGACTGGCAAATACACCATGCCGTGTAGCGGCATTACATCTCCCTGTCATGCTGCAAAAGACCACTAGATGGAGATCACAGACCATCATTTTAGCTTTACTATATTTTACGCTTGGATATCTCTCTGCTGATATCAGTAGAGTGTATAGCATAAGGTTCAGGGTAGTGTTATGGTTGAGTTATATGTCGGCTTATGACAGGAGTAGTGTTAGTATAAGGTAAGGGTTAATGCTGCTTTAGGATTAGGGATAGTGTAGAGTTAGGGTTAAGGTTAGAGTAGGTATGTGGTTAGAGTTAATGTAAGCAAAGGTTGGTATAAAGGCAGTGGAGGGGTTGGTATAGGGTTAACATTAACTTCCAAAAATTAATTTAGACCCTAGACAAATTAGGCATTTAACAATCATGACTGACAAGTGAATCTATGTTGAATTCTTTTTCTCTTTAAGTTGCTTGTGATGTGTAAAAATTATTATAAGCAAAAAGATAAAAGAACATCATATTTATGTTGTGTTATGTATACATAAAGGATATTAAAAGAAAGCAAATTCAGAATTAAAAAAAAAATTGGTTACACTAAGCCATGAAGGGGTTAAAAGAACACTGTCATCGATAGCCTTCCATAGATGATAGATGACAGCTGGCCGCTCTCAGCTATGCTATTGGAAGTTCCTACTGAGAAACTTCAGGCTCTCTGGAGACAGTAGTGGAGGCATGGAGCTGTGCCTGGTGGACTCTAGGTAACAAGACATACCATTCAAAAGTACTTTGACTCCTTACAATAGGCGGGTTGGACACTTCTCACACCATAACCACTACAGTGAGCTTAAATTGTACATGGCTTCTGTCACTATGTACAGTGTATAGCTTGGAACAGTAGGTTGCCACAGGGTTATTCCCTAATAAATGGAGTTGTGAGTGTGGCTTATTTATCCTTTTTGTATTCATTTTGTAGGCACGTCTACTTAACTAATGCTCATGTCTCGGCATGACAGAGTATACAGGTATCTAATTTTTTTTCTAGTTTGAACATAGGAGAAATTGAAATCTATTTTTGTAAAATAATTCTATTCGCCAAAAAAATAAATAAAAAAAAACACCTGAAAGCTTTTGTATGTAAAACAACAGCTAAAATGATAGCTCACCTGAACTTGTGATTAGTGAGATAGTCTGTGACAGCGAGTTTGATGCGGGGCACTCCGCCCTGGCTGTGATTTCCTCTTCCAGTAATTACAGAGAGATGTGCTTTACCTCCATTCTGTTTATATTCTATTAAGAGAAACATTTGTTATCAATATAACATTTCTTACAGACAGAAGTCAGATAAAATACAATAGAAATATATTTTCCAGCTAGACATTGTCATAGTAGGTTTCAGGCTCTGGAAGCGATCTCCCTACTCTGAAAGCATACAGCTGTCTGATCTCCTGGTGGAACCTCGATGATAGTTAGAGATATGAACTGTTCAGCCACTCTTACATGAAAGAGCTGCTTTCAGATAGCAGTGAAGATCATCAGGGTCAGTGGAGGAAATCAAGAATTTCCAATCGCCACTGGCTAGTGTGCAAGTGGAAATTTTATTATTTTGATAAACTCAGAAACAGATTTTGGTCTACCAGGGGACCATTTCTTCCTTACTGGAGCATTTTATTAAATGACAACTTTCACCTGGGACTAACACTTTCAACCACTAACCCACCCACTGCTGTTTCACTTTATTTTATAGACTATGATATATATTTATATATAGAGTGTCTAATCCTATATTGCACTCCCTGTTGCCTGTTATCTGTACTTACTTTACTATACAGTGCTAGCAGTAATGTTGTGATTTGTAAATAACCATTCCATCTGCAGAGATTGAATTAAACAAATAAAAACTGTACTAGAAATGTACAACCAAATAAATACAATGTTGCTACAACCTAAGTGTTAAAACCCTTAAATAACACCAAGTAAGCATACTAAAATAACAAAAAGGGCAGAGCGCAAACAAAAAATATTACCCAACTGGAGAGTATACAACCAAATCGACTTACACAGAGTTTAAAAATAAGCATATATCCTAACAACAAGTGACAAATCCACATTATATGACTTCCGCAATTGTGTATCCTGTAGGGGCATACTACACCATATTGGCTTTATGCTTTTCATTTTACGTTGTGTATGTTAATTTAGCTACATGCCCTGCAGTTATGTATTTACATACAGATACATACTCCCAGCTAAATATGCACATTGCCCAACATAGACACACACTGCTCGTCCAGACTGCCAGACTATAATCATTAATGCTATAATGAGTCCCCAACCATCTTCAACACTTAACAAGAATTTTAGAAATGGAAAAAGTTGTATAGAGCAGTGACAGCTACATATGGCACCCTAGATGTTTGCAGAATGAGGAAATGAGGCTCATAAACATCTTAGTCATCAAGTTAACCATCTATAGACTGTAAGCTCATTTGAGCAGGGCCCTCTTCAACCTATTGTTCCTGTAAGTTTTTGTAATTGTCTCATTTACTGTTAAATCTCCCCCTTTGATAATACTGTAGAGCGCTACAGAATATGCTGGCGCGATATAAATACCAGTAATAATAATAATCACTAACATGGACATTACAAGTTAAGAGGTGCCTCAAGCAAGTTCTCACCTTCCATCTTATCCTTGAGCACCTGGCGGAAGTGCTTCATAGCTTCATCAACATGTAGTCCATGCAAGTCTAATATGTTCTCTGGCAGAAGGAATTCATTAGCTCTCTGGAAAATCTGCACAGCTGCTCTACGATTTTCTTCTTTCACCTTTTCCCCATAGAGATGACCCTATAATAAAACATTCAAATTAATATAAAACGTTTAATCTATTTCTGCAGTCTGGTGGGTTTAGCACTATAGGGTCAGGAATACATGTTATAGTGATCTTTTAAGTTATCTGCATTTAGGTGGCTTGCCCCCACTTAGCCCCCTCAAAATGGGTTAAAACTCACCTTACTTTCAGCTCTCCATGGGTCAGCCGGCGCTGGCCCTGCCCCCTTGGTGACATCATCAAAATTTCCCATGGTAAAAGCATTGGATTGGCTAAAATCGGCACAGGGGCGAGGCCAAATGCTGTTTTGGCCAATCAGCACCTCCTCATAGAGATGCATTGAATCAATGCATCTCTATGAGGAAAATTCAGCGTCTCCATGCAGAGCGTGGGGACGGTGAACGGCACTGCTGCCTACTGTGCAGCACTGAGCCAGGAAGCCCCTCCAGTGGCCATCTGAGGAGTGGCCACTTGGAGGTGTCCCTAGGGGCAATGTAAACACTGCCTTTTCTCTGAAAAGGCAGTGTTTTCATGATAATGCCTGAAGGCAATGATTATAATTACCAGAACAACTACATTAAGCGGTAGTTGTTCTGGTGCCTATAGTGTCCCTTTAACATTGTCAGGATTACAGAATGATCCAGCACGTAGAATTGTGTAACACAGAGGACTGATAGGTAACATATACCGGACCTTAGAATGGCCAGACTAACGTACCAAAGAATAGTCAGGAATAGCCGAGGTCAAGGGATACAGAAAGAGACACAATGATAAGGAAAAGCCAGGAGTCAGGGATACTGTGTGGACAGTAAATGCCATTAACCACATTTTTATAAGCGGATGAATACGTGACAAACATACAGAATCTACAAAAACATGTGGTAATGACATTTGAGTGATGCATGAATTTAACTTTACAAGTTACTTTAGATTATTTTTAATAAGAGTGCACACCCTCGTCTATATTGACCATGCTCAACTGCAAAAGTTAGAGGGGCTCACTAACCATGGGTTACAGCAGACAACCTAGAATGATTCCGACTATGGAATTAAGGAAAATAAAATAAGCAAACCGGCTCTAAGTATGACCATACTGCCTACAGATAGCCGCACAATTCCAGCAAAATACAAAGAACTAGCCAAAGCCAAGAATGTTTGCAAAAACCATACACAGCACAGATCTAATACAACCTGGAAAGTTATTAAAATTCTATAGAACGCCAGAAATTACTCCTATCCAACAACTCGAAAAGTAGAACTTCAGAAACACTGCAAGACCTCTTAGATGCAGCTAATCATTCCATAACCCTTTTGTTGGATGAGTAACTTCACCGAATGCTAATCTAAAATATGAATGCACTGAACATGTCAAACAAGTCATAGCACTTTTTCTTTTTTCTTTTTTTTCTGTTATTAGGAGAAATGTACACATTGACATCACGGGTCTAACAGTTTCGCATAGAGATTGTGGAGTACAAAAGCAGATTATTCTATAATGTTAGTGTAAAAATAATTTTTTGCTTTTTCACATATATGGGGACAGAAGGGTTCTTTACTTGCAATGCCTATCCTTGCAGCTCTCTTAGTGAAGTATGTGCAGTAGAGAGACAGCAGGAATAGCCACGGCCCTGGCTTTGTGGCTTTGGTAAAATCCCCAGAAAGTAAGTCTGCTAAGTGAGCCCAAAATAACTGAAAGCTTAAAGAATTTTCAGCATGTAGCAGCAGCAAAGGTCCATAGCAGTTTGGTGTTTTATACCACCTTAAAAAAACAGCATATTTTAAAGCATTATATCTGAAGATCTACAGAGATAAATGCTATCTGTACGTCTTATCAGCGGATCCTCTTAAGGTTATCTCTTACCCATTTAACTTTATATGATAACACATCATATAGCAAGGGCTATGGGAGAGATGGGCTAAATATCACACTTTAAGGGTGCCTCAATCATCTTACTAGGTTTGCAAGAATCCTTCAAAAATATAAAGTTCTGTTCACCTGTTGTGCATAAAAAGATGCAACATGCTTCATGCCCCTGGAGTGAGCTTCGGCCGCCTTCTTGTAATTCTCTTGCTGCTTCTTTCGATACAGAAAAGCTTCAGCCCTGAAATCATCATAATCTGGGGCATCGAAGTCTTGGAAGTATTTTCCAGAAAGGATTTCTTTTTCTAGGACAGATTTCTTAATGCGTGAGAAAATAAAAAGAGAAATCGAAAAATATTACATTATGGAACACTTTAGAGAAAAGGCAAACCATAGTATATGCCTTTGGAAATATTAAGTTTAAACAGGAATAAAACTGATACCATTTCATTGCATTCATAATTGTGGTATGGTATAAATAAAGTATAAATAATCAACATTAAAGATAATGTAAAAGGTAAAGCCATACCTCCTATTAAGCAGGTGTAGTTTGAAAGGTTATGAATCACACTCACTAGTATCTCCAAGATAAACACCATTAATCTACATCCAATCTAAAAAACAGTGTCTCTCCCTAAAGGTTTATAAGATTACAACTGAAGGTTCTAGGATACAACGAACACCTTGTTCATTGTTTCAGGAGATGCTGCCCATAAATCAGTTTATGTATTTTGTAGAAAGTAGTTAATTATATGCTGCAGCAGCTCTACCCTCTGGAGAATGTATAACAGTATAAGCCGGATAAGAAGGGGGAAGGTAGTTAATCAACTTAAGGAACCATGACACTACTTCACAAAAGCAGGTAAGGGATAAAATCAGAATGGGATAAAAAAACAATTATGTTTTTAAAGGTGTGTCACCATTTTTATGCCAGTAAGAAATTTTAAAAACACATACCACAAGTCCGGGTAAAGGGATGAATTTAAATATACAAACTGGAACACATATATATCAACTGGAACTCAACAGCAAATGCTTAAGATAATTAACCAAAACATAGTGTATCCACTTTGATAAAGGTGTATATACACCAAATACTAAGTAAGTTGAATATTGCCTCTCCAATGTGCAAGACTGACAGATGCAGACTGCAAATAAACAAATGGAACAGTTTATATACAAGTAAAAAAAAAAGTAAACTTAAAAATTCCTAAAGTAAAAAAGGAAGTGGACAAATGTTTCTTTAATTAGACCCCAAATTAAAAAGATCATGAATTAGCAAGACACTCCTACATATTTTAGCCAAGCCAAAGATTCACTTTTGCAGGATCTGAAAAATGGTCCTAGCTTTTTAGGTTATACATTAAATCTTACTGCCAACAATTCATCATAAAAGGGATTTAATGGAAAGATTTAAGAATGATCACAGTAAAGCAGATTGAAATTAGAGTGGGATTGCTTGGTGTAACACGTTTGCCCAGAGCCCCATTTACATTTTACTTACATAACTTACAAAGTGACACTAAAAGCAGCAAAACAGCTTAATGAAGCAGTTTTGGTGAACAGATCATGTCGCTGCAGTCTCGCTGCTCAATTCTCTGCCATTTAGGGGTTAAATCGCTTTGTTTATGCAGCCCTAGTCACACCTCCCTGGTTGTGACATACACAGTCTCCCTACATATTTCCTGTAAAAAGACATCTAATGTTTAAACTTCCTTTATTGCACATTCTGTTTAATTTAAAATTTCTTATCTCCTGCAGAATCCTCCTGTGTGATTAAAGTTTGATATGAAGAGCAGAAGTAAAAAATTTCTATAGTAAACACACTGCTGTCAGACATGACTGAAAATAAAAATAAAAAAATCATGCAGGCTGTGTGAGTCACAGAGAGATGAAGGTGTGGCTAGTTTTGCATAAATAGAAACAAAACTGATTTAACTCCTAAATGACAGAGAATTGAGCAGTGAGACTACAGGGGCACACAGACCACTTCAGCTAATTGAGGTGGGTCTGGGTGCTGTGCAGCTCTAAGTCTGCCTTCTGTGACTATCTAACAGACAGCCACTGGAGGGCTTCCGGAATCCAAAACAACCTTTGGTCGGTTATCTGAAGCTGGACATCCTCACGGACATTCAGCGTCAGATTTTCCCCATAGGAAAACATTGAATAATTTCAATAGGTAGCTTTCCAATAGGGAGGTCTAATGCGCATTAGGTCTCCCCCGCCGTCGGACGTTGGCGGTGGAGGAGCGTGGGTGGAGTTTCAGGTAAGTGGCTGAAGGGTTTTTAACCCCTTCAGCAACATGGGATGGGGGGTGGGAGGGAGAGGGACACTGTAGGATCCTGCAGTGCCAGGAAAACTGGTATTTTTTCCTTAGACTGGAGAGTCCCTTTAAGTTCATTTAATTACCTTTTCTCTTGATTTCTCAGTAGTACCACTCGCTGTTGGTTTGATATCTGGAGCCATAACTGTGTGCACCGGACCAGCTTCAAGGACAGAACTCATAAACTGCACTGTTTTCGCTAAGGAATAACTAGAGGTAAAAATACATTAATTTACATTAATTCTTTCATATAAGCCATGTCATACGTCTTCTACATTACAATGATGTCTGGGTACGTATGATTAATAGGGTGCAAAAGGCATTACAACATATTCGTGCAACAGGTACATAATGAAAAATAAGCTTCTGTAAATGTATTTCAAGCCAAGGAGGTTAAAAAAACATATTTTAGTAATTTTATATGGTCTGTCTTGCCAAGTGTATGCTGAACCTTGAAATTAAATGCTGAATAACATGATACTGGAGGGAAAATTCTGATACTCGGAGACTTAGTTACAGGGTTAAGAAAATATGCCATAGCTGATACTATTGAGACATTGCGTTTCTTTACATTTTCAAATCATATTTAACTTTCATTGCATGTAACGTAGAATAACATTTCATTAATGCAGTGCTGCCAAATGACTAGCAAGCCCATATCACCATATACCTAGAATGCTACACTATAAGCCTGCCTACTTAGCCACACCTGATCATGCCAGAAAGACTTCCTTGTCAAATGTACGTACACCGTTTCAGTTTTAACAACACTGAATAAGCTGTTTATTTATTCACAGCCTGGTTGCAGACAGTCAGAGAAAGTACAAACAGGTAGTGATATCCTGCCTATATGTCTCCCTAGGTTTCCTCTCAGTCCAATGCAGTTTGTTTTGTTGTTCAGATCATGCAGTACTGTCAGTAAATGTGCTGTATGCATACATTTTTGACAAGGAAGACTTTTTCTGGAGTGAGGGGGTGTGGCTAAGGAGGCAGGCTTACAGTGCAGCATTCTGCAAAAAATGTATTGGTACCCAGAGTGTCCCTTTAAGTATCCATTTGGAGCAATGACAGCTTGGCTCTCATCTTGGGAGGAAGAGAAACGTATCTAAGCATAACTTCACTTCATCTGGTGATGGTGCCAGCACTGGATACAGATTAAAGATTCACCTTTCTTAAGATGAACATCTGAAACACCAGGCCTGGCATGAACATTAGAGATCTCCTCCAGCAGGCGCAAGGAGCGTATGGGCCCAAGATGGCCGCCGAACTCAAGGACTTCACGGATTCCTCCGAGGATCTGGACCTGAATGAGGGTATTAGCGGGATGCCACCTCCGCCTAAGCCACTGCCAGCCCCAAAACCCAGAGACGACGGACCTGTGATGGCAGCGATGCTCAGGGAGATGCTGGGCAGCCTCTAGAAGATGCTGCAGACAGACATGGATATGCTCCACAATGACCTCACTGGCTGGTTGGCCGCCTTGGAGTAGTGGAGAAATCCATGGATCAACACCCGCAGACCATCGCAGAACTCAAACTGGAAGTAAACTAGAAGAAACAGCAAGCACTAGCAGAGCAGCGGTTTGCCATGCTTGAAGACCTAAGGTGCCACAACAAACTTAAGGTCAGAGGGGATCCCCACAGGGGTGCTTCAGCAACTGATATGGAGACTAGTGGCCCCAAAACAAGCCAATGGTGTCAAAAGGACTAACACTTAACACCAAGATTGCTCTCTCCCAGGACTGATGTTATTTGCAGTTTGAAGGTGATTTATTATTATGTTGATGCCTTCTCCATTTATTTTATTTAATTTTAACACCAACAACCCAACTACCAGTATGTACACTGGCCCACGACCAGATGCTCTCCCCCCCTCCTCTTTACTCGATTCCAAGTCACAACCCTGACTAGCTGAGCCTGGGGGCGTCACTAAGTCTACTAAAGGCCAGTTACCCTATGTTTATCCTCTCGGCCGAGCTGACTTTCAGCCAGGCAACTGGCACCTTAGCCCAGCGAAGCCAACTATGCACTTTAATGTGCCCTAAGCTATTGAAACTCCCTACGCCTTACACTATGCACTATCTGACCCTTCAGCATCTCCATGATCAGTACCATCTCTCTAACTGACCCTATGCAGTTACAATACAATAGCGACAACACACAGTAGTCCGACACAAGGCCGGTTCTCAGTATGTCCCCACTAATTCCAGTACTAAACCATATATAAATAAAACCCTCTGCTCATAGGCCCCGTATGCAGGATGTTATGAACTATGCTTTTTCCTTTTGTTTGCATTAAAACTACTGTATGTCCTAAACTTGCCCTTGCAAACTTGCGCTTGCCCTCTCGTACCCGTGAGTGGAGCAAAAATAAAAAAGAAATAAAAAAATAAAACAAAAAGGTTAATTTATCACTAGTGATGTCCCGAACGGTTCGCCACGGACGGCGAACATAAACATAAACTTTGACCCTGTACCTCACAGTCAGCAGACACATTCCAGCCAATCAGCAGCAGACCCTCCCTCCCAGACCCTCCCACCTCCTGGACAGCATCCAGTGAAGCTCTAGTGAGCTGTCCAGGAGGTGGGAGGGTCTGGGAGGGAGGGTCTGCTGCTGATTGGCTGGAATGTGTCTGCTGACTGTGAGGTACAGAGTCAAAGTTTATGTTTATGTTCGCCGTCCGTGGTGAACCGTTCGGCGAACCGTTCAGGACATCACTATTTATCACAATTAAAAAACAAAAAAAGGTGCGCTGTGTCTTTAAGTTCACAGATATCTCAGTGACATAATGCAATAATAGATCACAATAAAGTGCACTATTATAGCATTATTAGTATGAGATATCAGTGATCTTAAAGGCACAGCACACCTTTTTTGTGCTTTTAGTTGTTTCCAGTGTTTATATTGAGATTAAGCACAGTGTAAGGTGCAGCTTTTTTAAAACAAAAATATTTTTCTTTTCCTAGTGTATGGAATATTAGTGCCTTTTTTACTTGTTTCTATTATATAATTTATCACAATGCATTATTTAAAAGACAAACGTGGCTCTATATGTTAGAGAATGATTAACAAAATATGCATTTATGGGTTTTATAATAGTTGAGACAGATTTTATTACATAAAATCAGAATTATATCTCTTTAAAAAATGCCCTCCATGCAAATGATTCCGAAATGGAAGAATAGGGAATTTGCAGATGAGCATCAGGTATGTAATTTAAACTACATGCAAACATTGCGCAATCGCTCACTAATTAGTACTTCGGTACCAGTGATAATTCTAGAACCTGCTAAAACTTTGGGGGTCACAGATTTCAGAAGCCAAGTTTTTAAACATAATATATCATTTCTATTTATAACAGGTAACTAGAAAACATTGATTGCCTTTGGAATTGAAAGGGAGCATGTTTTCCCCATAATTAAAGAGATCCATTCTGGAACAGTAATAAAGTGATGGGAAATAAAGAGGATGAAAATGATGGACTTTTATTATTGCGTCCACCCATAGTATGCGTGATAAAGAAATTAATTTTAGGTAAAATTACAGGCAGCTAATTAAATGTCAACTCTGCATGATGCTACGATCTTACTTGTTTTCTTTAAAAATGTCCATAAGCAATTTCTGTTCAACAAAAGGAAACATTTCGAAAAGTTGTTTCTCCTTCAACTTTGAAGCACAGTTTTTTATCGGGGAAGATCTTTTCTACATAAGAAAAGGGACAAATATATATTGTTACTGAACAAGTCAATCAATCATCTTGAGTGGGGAAAAACATCCATTAAATCGTCTTTTCTTTTCTTATGTTTTTAATCCATTTCTTGTAAAATTCATAAGACAAAGTAGGAACTACTTATTATTCCTACACTTAACAAATCAGGACAATAGAAGATAAAATATTTTTCTCTACCCCCACTGCCCTGTTAATTCACACTCTTTAAATTTTACCCCCTCTTAAAAACCATTTCTGAATGCAGAGTTATGCACGATCATTCTTAATCTATTAGCGCTCACAAGTAATATCCTTCCAGCTATGGCGGACGGCTTTCCTGAAACTGTTATGCATAAGTGTTACTCGTTTGAAATTTTTATTTTTTGTCATACTGTTAGTTTACATAATACTTTGTAGCTTTTGTTTTGTAAATGTAATACTTTACATGTTGATAAAACCACACACTTTGTATTATTATACTATACTCCAACAAAAATAAATAAAACATTTTTACAGAAAAATTGCTGTGTCTCGGCAACATTTAAGAGGAGTAAACAGATTCAGATGGAGAGGAATGGAGAGGAAATCTCCTATCTAGTTGTCTTTTTTTGACCATTGAAATAAAATTGAAATAAAAGTTAACAAGCCGTGAGAAAATTGACCTTCCAGGAATCAGCTTCAAAAGAATAAAGCTTATTCTGAGAATTCTGGAAGGATCTAGATATAATACGCTCTTAGCAAAACTGTTTAGGACATCCAAGGCTTGATGTAAAATGGATTTTTAGAGATTCGCGAGAAAGGTGCCACTACCCCAATGTGAGGGGCATTTATTGACATGTATCAGTTCCATTAGCAAGTCTCTCCAAAATGCATCTGATAAACATAATGAGATTGGTCTATAATAAAAATTATCATCATTTTGCAGGAATGCATATTGGTAGTGTAGAAATGTACTGAATATAAAAAAAATGACCGTACCAAATCTTCTTGTGCTTGTAAAGCAATTTCCTCTGACATTATCTGCCGCAATGAGACTTTCTTAGTGCGTGCATTCCACTGGTCCATGAATGGAAACACGCCTGATGTCTCCTGGGTGTAAGTGTCACCAGGAAATTCATCCTTAATAATCATATTATCCACATCCAAATGTTCACTGTCTGTAACACAAATAGACTAGGGTTAAATCGGTACAGGTCTGCAAAAAGAGATACAAATTAATGCAGAATTGGAATCAACTTTTGTTATAAAGATGCATCTTATTTATTTTTAACAGTGAAAGGTATGAAATTGGGCCAGTATGTGTTAATGGCAAGGAATGAGGGCTAGAAAGGGGCCATAGCAATTCATTCCTGGAAACCTGCTAATGCAAAGTTGCCCAAATTATTAAATACCAAGGAGGTATTTTTTCGTGTTTAACTATCCTCCACTGCTTTTTTGACTAATGTAAATGCTGCAACTGCATGCCTGGAGTGGAGACACAAAGCAGTTCTTTATTAACCCCTTAAAGACCAAACTTCTGGAATAAAAGGGAATCATGACATGTTACACATGTAATGTGCCCTTAAGGGGTTAAATGGGCTCTGTCACCTTCTGGGGTCTTTGCATATTTTGTAAGACCCCCTCATCCCGCCATGGTGATACTGTTGATTGGTGTGTGGTGACCCACAGGTGCAGTGGAGGTGAGTTATACTTACCTGATGCTGTCCCCAGTGGGCATAGCTGCTGGCACTTCAGCCGCTCAGAGTTCATGTCTATGGGGGATCCATTAAGTCCTTCCATAGATTTTATCTTGCGACAAGCGAGATAATGCGCTATTCCCACAACCTTTGATAGTGATGGGTTTAACAAATGACAAAATTTGATGGCGGTAACTCTGCCTTTAGTAAGAATTTACTGTAAGACAGTAGTCAAACATAGTCTTCTATCTTTGGACTGTGTTGGGATTTCAATGAAATTCAAACATAGTCTTTATGAGCATTTTATAAAAAGAGTTTATCTTTATGAAATGCTTAAATATTTTTCAGGGGTAACAGAGCCACTTTAAGATGTAGATTCTCAAATTTTTATGGTGACGATGATTACTAGTAAAAATGTATACGTGATTTTTATCTGTAAACACCAGAGTATGGGTTTATTAGGTAAACCAAATGGTACCATGCAGGATCTTTAAAACAAAATACCTTCAAAAATAAGTTGATATGACAATGCTTCTTGGCGCTCCTGAAACATAGTGAGAAAGGTCATTAATGCAAATTCAAAAAACACAAATGAAAATTACATTCAGATAGGAGAATATCTGTATGAAATGCAGTTTTACTAAGAGCAGAAATCTTATCTGGGAAGCATAATATTAACGTAAAAATTTTGATATAAACAGGATGCTATTTTAATTAACCCAGAATAACGTGGCAGAAATATCTACAGGGATATTAAATTCCAGCCACAGATGCTGTTGGATAACTACAAGCAATTAAAAGTGGTTTTCCAATTCATTAACAGAACAGGCAGTTATAATATAACATTTCAGCATGTGTAAAAAAAAAAAACCCCCAAAAAAAACAAATGTGAATGAAGTGTACTAACTGTAATTGAGTCTTTCCATCTCTTGTGGATGGCTTGAGCCAGATTTAAATCTATTCGGACCACACAATCCTCAATAGTTAACGATCCTAGAGGAAAGTAAACAATCACAACAAAAAAAAAAGGTTAAAAAGTTTTTTATTATAATTATACTATGCAGCAACAACTGAATGGAAAACAAAAACAACTTAAAATATTCTAGTTGAGTGTTCCTCATATGCATAAAATACATGCCATTTGTCCCTGCTATTTTTTACATTCTTTATTTTTGCTGTGTAAATCAAAATAACATACAAGCTGACGATGCCATGATAGCAAAGTCTAGCACATAAGAGTTTACGTAGTAGGATATTGCTTTGGCATGCATATCAATTACACATTTATTCATTTTTTAGATGAGAAGAGAAAAAGCAGAATATATTTGTAAAAATAATGAAAGACAGTAGTCACAATTCTAACAGACTATGCAGTGAGAGAGGTCAGAATGCTATATGCTAGAATTGTAGATGGTACATAAAACGTAAATGCCACTGGGTTTGTAAGGTTGCTCGATGCAAATGCTCGTCTATGGTATACAAACCAAATTAATGAAAACAGATCCTAACCTTTAGCTAGGTATGCAAGACTAAAATATGATATGTTGCTTAGATCAATAGAAACTTAGCCTATCACATTGCTGACTAGAAATTATAAAATAAAACAAAGAAGTATGTATAGCTGTGCAGGATCTGTTGGGCTGCCACATGTTTGTTCAGCCAATGTCTGTGAGTGAAGAATCAACTTCCCATGATGGTCGCCTGTTTTGCGATGGCTTAGTACCGGCTGTGTCCGGCTCCAGGAGCAGATCTCCAGGTTTGTTTCAGTGAGGCAGTGAGCTGCTTGTGGGAGACCATCCCCCCTATTTGTCCCTGCTTTTATTACCAATGTTGTCTTGTTCCATTTCATGTTTAACATATAGAATGTTAATATTTGTTTATGGCACCTGTCTTTGATTTTACATTGACAATCTGAAATGTATGATTTTGATATCCTGCTCCTCAGTTCTTTTATTCAGATAGATAAGGTGCAGGACTGTGGTATGCTATGGGTTGAATGTTTCCTTTTTCTCTTTGCCCTCAATTAATGTATTCTGTTCATTGTTGTGAATATTATATAGGTCCGGTGACATTTAAATTGTCCCTGAATTTAAAGTAACACTGCTACTGTGAGGGATTTGGTGTAAATTAATCTTTTTTTTGGTGTCCCTTTACTTCTTGGTTTTTTTTCTTTAAATTCATCTTAGCTTTTAGCTACTACTTTTTATTATGGGAAGCAAGATCTTTGGCGATGAGTGGATCTTAAAGGGAGGCACAATAATCATTTTGTCTCATTGAATTGGTTACAGTGTCTCAAGTCTCTCTCTTTCAGTCAACGTTAAACCATTTTCGAGCAGTTTAAAACTGATGAGTGTCCCTGGTTTCAGATGACCAATCTAAGCCAATCAGTGGCGCCTCTGCCTGCGGTAGTCTTAGGTTTCTGTTGTCGAGTTTTCCAACAAGAGGATGTTGGAGTGGGCAGAGTGGTACGGCTCCGGAGAGGAGATTTTGGGGTTAAACCACAACGCACCTAAATGAAGTTATTATTGTGACCACAGAGTTACTTTATTGCAGAGAGCTTCTGGTTCTCATAAAGGAGGTGACAAGTGCCCGGTGGACCCTAAGTTAGTTGTGAAACCAAAGGGTGTGCTATAAATGTGCTGCAGTCGTTATCAGTGGCGGCTGGTGACATTTCAAGTTGGTGGGGCGCCTGACTGGACACATGAATTTGACCAAGCATTTTAAATCATAAATATGGCTGCATGTATGGCTCTATTACCACCAAAATATGAGAATGACCCCCCATATATAGGGAATAAACCGTATAAACAGATTCTCATACATAATTTGTAATCTTCTTGCATTAAAAGGAAATCTGAGGAAGTACAGTTTAGTTTTTTTCCTTAATATTACATATTATAATACTGTTGTTTTCCAACCAGCAGTGAACACGCTAAGTGTAAATCATCAGTAGTTGATTACATATTATATATATATAAACAGATAAAATTTGTATCTTGAAATACCTTTTTTATTGGACTAGCAGAATTTTTTAATGACAAACTTTCGGGAGAACCTCCCTTTCTCAAGTCTGAAGCATTTCTGAGCAAGTCGACACAGAGAATTCAAAGTTGCGTTGTGATACAGGGGTTAAAGCGACATGAGTGCAAGTAAGACACAGGTTTGATACAAAATAGAGGGTCGTAAATATCTTATGCAAAGATCACAGAGTGAGGGGGGAGAGAGAAAAAAAACAAGCAACAGTGCAGAAGATGGTGCTAGAAGGGGGAGTATTAATATAAAGAATGCATGAATTCCCATCCAAGAGTTACAGGATATGCACATGATGGCCTATACCCAGCATACACAGACACATGCACACACTGACACACGTATATATAAACAAGTAGTGCATATGTGCAAGTATACACAAGAACATACACACTATATACAAGTACATACAATATACATATAAATATAACCAAATGTCCAAATATATGTACATGCATACCTACACATACATCCACACACAAGCACCAATACATGTATCTACACATATACCAATGTGCCTAAACATACATAGACCCATATATATGTATATGTACACATACACCTATTCACATATATATACATTCATGTATATATACACTTTATACATACACACACAAATACATACATGTATATGCATACACATAAATACATGAACACATATACATACATGCACATGATATATATATATGTGTGTGTGTGTGTGTGTGTGTTTGTGTGTAAATCATCAGTAGTTGATGACTATATATATATATATATATATATATATATATATATATATTAAAAAATATATAAACGTCATATCTGGGTATATATTAAAGGGACACTATAGTCACCTGAACAACTTCAGCTTAATGAGGTTGTTCAGGTGAGAACTATAGCTCCCTGCAGTCTCTCATGTAAACACTGTATTTTCTGAGAAAATACAGTGTTTACATTGAAAGCTAGGAACACCTCCAGTTGCAGTCACTCGGAATGCCACCAGAGGGACTTCCGAGTTGATGGAGGCATAATATGCCTCCATCCACTCAGATCTGCTTTCAGCAGAACACAGGGCAGCACTGTGCATGAGCATCCTGTCTCCGCTGAGGCTGTAAGGGCTGGCTCATGCTGACAGCCTGAAGATAGAAGATAGGAATGTGGATTCAGAAGGCTGGAGACAAGAGTCTGGCTGGAGAGAGGAGGCTGGAGACAGAAGGAAGAATAGAGGAGGTGAACTTCAAAAAGTGAGTACTCGTTTTTTAAAATAAAATAGTACTGATTTATTTGAATCTTTATTAATTTATATTTTTTTAAATGTATAGTTATTTATTCCTTAGATGGCTGTTACAGATCCTTCCTGGGTCATGGCTGCCTAAAATGCATCCAAACATTCAGTATCTCCTCCCTCTGCATGCAGACACTGAACTTTCCTCATAGAGATTCATTGATTCAATTCATCTCTATGAGGAGATGCTGATTGGCCAGGGCTGTGTTTGAATCATGCTGGCTCTGCCCCTGATCTGCCTCTTTGTCAGTCTCAGCCAATCCTATGGGAAAGCACTGTGATTGGATCAGGCTACCACATGTTAGCAGACTGCTTGTTTTTCTGAGTCTAACAGCATGCAGATTTACAGCTTCAGGCCTGAATACAGTAAGATTTTTACTATATTTATGGAGGCATGAGGGACCCAGGGGGAGCTAGATGGTGGTGTTAACACTATAGGGTCAGGAATACATGTTTGTGTTCCTGACCCTATAGTGATCCTTTAAGGCAGCATTGTTGCTATCCAACTTTAAATTCATGTAACGAACCTCTATTTACAATAACCAATCTTTGTCAAATTGTTTTTTTATTTCTAAAATGATGATTGTTACAAATGAGATTTATTCTGAAAACTGCTGAATTAAAGACTGATGACATGTAGCTTGCATTATTCAAACACCATGAACAGTCAACAGTAAATAATAGACTGTAAGCAACATTTACCTGGATCAATACCAACTGGTCCAAACAATTCACTGAGCTGATGGGCAAGTTCTGGAGGCAAAGATAACTCTAGATGATCAAACTGCAAAGACTTCTTGGATACAGATTCACCATCACTTTTCTTTGTCTTGTCCTCTTCTCTGGGATCAGTAGATACTCTTGGTGGGTCACCTGTAACTTCACAATTTTCCACCAATGAAATTTTGTTCTTAATGTCAAGTTCCTCTTGAGACTCATCTGAGTCAGAAAGACTTGGCTTTTGAGAACTATCTGGAAGCGTATCATTTAATTCTAAACAAGAGTTAATTCTTTCCTTGGCATAAGTTGACCCATGTAGATTTTCGGTTTCTAAATCAGACTCCTCACTAAGAGACACAGGAAGGACTTCACAGTTTTTGTCAAGGCTACTTTTATAAATTATATCAGGAGACTTATTGGCTGTATTTGATAAGTCTGAAACAGATGAAGCATTGAAATTACTGGACTCTTCTGAAACAATTTGGAGAACAGTACTCATCACGTCAGAGCATTCCATTAGTATTTCAGTGCCTACAAATCTGTTGTTACCAACCACTGAGATGTCAGAAGATCTATCAAGACTTGCAAAATTGTCGTAGTTCTCCTTCAAACTCAGATTTGATTGGCAAAAACTATCTGAATCTGTTTGTTCTTCTCCTTCACTTCTATCAGAGCCTGCTGGTGAGCAGTCTTCATCAATGTGCAACTTTTCTCCAGAATCAAGCAGAAGGTTTGTTGCCCACAGGATATCTTTATTGCATCTTTCATAGAGGTCATTTAGAACATCAAATGAGAGAGACCTAAATAGCTTACAGAGAATATTAAGATTATCCTCATCACCCAAGCTGGTTATCTCATCTTCTTCCACAAATGTACTTTTATGATGCATAACTCTGTACGGTATAATTTCCAGACAGTCTGAACTTTCATCCACCAGTTTTGATTTAAAGCGATCACTTTTCCCAGTAAGAACTTTTGTAGGTTCAAGGGCATTTAAGTTTTTTCTCTCTATCCTCCATAATAATGCAAATTCATGCGGTTCCGTTTGGGATGACTTGTTGGGTCCAACACTTATGTCCTCATCTGTCTCTTGACACTGAGATTTGGACTGGTTTTCATCCATGTTAGAAGAATCGGTACAATTTGAGACAGGTGACGTTAATTTGTACTGATGGCAGTTACGCTTGAGTTGCTTTGGCAGCACACCAGGTTTACCAAAAGAAATTATGTTTTCATCTTCATTTATACTGGTCAACAGATCTATGTTTTGCTTATCTTCAACTGCCTCGCTCACATTTTGCAGCAGGTTAGAAATCAGGTCAACTACCTCTGGATTAGGGTTTTGTTCCCCTTCAGAATCAGAGGCATCATCTGACATTCTTTCTGAAATAATACAGTCTTCATTCTCAGCACTTAATGCATCTACTTCCTTACATTGTCTTGGAACGTCACCACTAAGCTCTGAAGAGCAGTAAACAGAGACATCTTCAGTTAGGGACAGGCCAGCTGGTTTTACAGGGTCGCTATCTGTTTGCTTTGATTGGCTGCTAGTATTCTTATCATCTTCGCAAATCTGGTGAGAAGGCAATTTATGTGTTTTATTTGGTCTGACTTTCTTTCTAATTCTTGGAGCTCTCTGACACATTGTCTGTTGTTCTACAGGCCAGTCACCAACAAAATTTAATAATTCTGGCTTTTCACTCAGCAATAATGAAGACTCATCTGAATATTGAGTATTCAGGGGCACTTGACTAATTTCATCACACTTGTTGACAATGTGTCTGCTACACATTTTGTCTCCAGATGGCATTAAATCATTAGATGTCTCAGCCTCAAAATCTGTATTGTCTTCCTTTTTTGAAGTGTTGGCATCTGATGTGATTTCTGAGCAGATAGCAGAAGTTCCTGAGACACTGGTGTCTATAATAATTTCATGTGTTTTCTGTGAAGAAGTAACATCATCTTCTTTTATCAACATTGTGGACAATATATTGTTTTGCCTGGAAATACAAGGAAAGCATTGTGTTATTTTACTGAATTTTAAAAGTGAAGAGATCAGTGTTTTCTCTGAATATATATTTTGTTAATGCAACAACCTAGTATTGGTTATACATTTTTGGGGGGAAATACAAATGGTTTTACTCAAAGTTTCATTGATTATACTCAAAATGCACCTCCAGTGGCCATCTGAGGAGTGGCCACTTGGAGGTGTCCCTAGGGGCAATGTAAACACTGCCTTTTCTCTTAAAAGACAGTGTTTGCATGAAAATGTCTGAAGACAATGATTATACTCATTAAGCTGTAGTTGTTCTGGTGATTATAGTGTCCCTTTAATTAGTTTGAGTTCGAGTCAGTGTCAGCTCCATTATTAAAGTTGTATGTATTTACATTAGAAGTTCCTATAACCTGCTCTGAATTTTAACCACACACAGGAGATATCAATTCAAAATTAAACTGTGCAATAAGGTAAGCTAAAGAGCTTTAGGCTTTTTTCAGAATGTGTGTAGGAGGGCTGAGTGAGTGTCAGCGATTAAACTCCTAAATAGCAGAGAAGTGAGCACTTAAACTCCAGGGGATTGATCTATTTACCAAAACCACTTTATTGAACTAAAGTCACATTGGTGCTTGGAGTGTCCCTTTCTGCAGTTGTTGCATTTTAACAGTAATAGCAGCGAGCTCTGCTCAGACCAAGAAGTAGCTTTGCAATACAATTATTTGTATAGCCAGCCAGAAATAGATTTCTCTGCTCTGACATCTGTAACAAAAAGGGCAGGTATAGCTGCAGTGATATTTGCCATCACTGCAGGTATAAGTTAATGCATGCAATGAGAAATGGGTACTTTTTGCACAAAAATTTATACAATGAGCATGAGCTCTCATGGCTACAGACTAAAATGCATTTATATTAAAGGTCACTTAAAGGAATACTCCATTATATTGGTGTATTAATCTATATACATATGTGCGTTTTGGAAAAGGTTTTGAGAGCTTAAAGTAGGAGGGAGAGAAATCAAAATTAGCATGACGATAGTATTTAATAATGCAATATTATTTCCATCTTACCCTTCTTTGTTTGCCAGAGTTGTTTGACCAACATTAGCTTTTTCTGAAATTTTGGGGTGCGATAAATTCAAGATGGAATTGACAGTAACGCGCTCAAAACTATCTAACATTCTTGCGATTTTGTCTCTCTTCACTCCGTGTTTGTTTCGCCTGAATATAGGAAGATATCACAGTAAAAAAATATTTTTATGAAGGACAAAAAAGTTCACCTTGAATACAGTGTGCTACATTTCAACCGAAATATACACCTGGCCACCAAAAATGGCCCATGTATTCTGTTCTACACAGCTCACTGCATGTATTGAAATATTGCTTCCTTTTATTATCACAATAATAAATCACATTTGAAACATGTTTAAAAGGCACCAGAAACGATTTTAAAATTTCAACTATTTTCTACACAAGTAAAGTTTAATAATACTTGCATCTAGTCTAAGGATGAAACACTGTGTGCTTACACCAAATAATTTAAATTACGTAGTTTAGTGTAAAACATGCAGGATATCCTGTTTGCGGAGAGGGAATTATATGATTATTCACTAAACGCTAATCAAATCTGGACTGCAAAATCCATACATTGTTCACAAGATTTATCAATGCCCAGGTTTTTTGTTCTTTTCTTTAATAAAAGCATATAAATATCCATTAACACTTATCAAAAATGCACAGTAAGTACTGCTTCATCTCCAGAGCAGTGGCATGGGCAGGGATGTATTTACCACAAGGCAAACAAGGCATTTGCCTAGGGCAGCACTTTCAGGGGGGGCGTCAAAAAAATTTCATCCCAAGCTCCCAGACAAGTGCCTTGTTTGCCTCGTGTTCTGGGGCTGTCCACCTTATTGTGAGTGAGTGTAGCTGTCAGTGTGTGTCTGTGAGTGAGGGAAAGTGTGTGTGTCTTTCAGTGAGAATGGGTGTGCCTGTGAGTGTGTCAGTGTGTGTATGTCATTTTATGTGTATCTGAGAGTGTGTGCCTGTCAGTGAGTGTGTGTGTCAGTGTGTGTCTGTCAGTGAAAGTGTCTGTTGGTTAAACAATGTGTGACAATAACTGTATGTGTTTTCCAATGACTGTGTATCTGTTAGTGAGTGTATATTAGTGCATGTATCAATGAGGGTATGTGTCTGTCAGTCAAAAAAGTGGCCTTGACACATATTGTGGGGGCAAATTTAGATTTTGGGGGTGCCCGAAGTTAGTTATGCCTAGAGCAGCACAAATCCAAAATACACCACTGGGCATGGGGTATTGTGATAATGAGAATAAGCAGGGGGGACCAGTCTTTGGTCACCTTTTACTTCCTCCACTGCCAAGCAGTTAGAGGAATAAAACAAAAAAAGTCAGGGGCGGGGCCTGACCATCAAGATGGCCGGACATGCTTTCTTCTAGCTCTGGACCTCTAATCATAAAAATACGGCTAAATTGCAAATAAGCAACGCAGAAATCATACCAAATCAACTACAAACCAAGATTACACCTGCCTGCATCACAACCTGTCGTTTTTTTTAGCAGGTCTGACAAGTAATCACCTCGTCTTTGATCTGCGGCCTAGTGTGCCCGGTGTATGGGCTGAAGCCACCATGCTGCCCTGTTCCCCCCCCATTTGGATCGGTGGGGGTGATGCCGGTCCACACCTCGGAGGCTGCTGGGACACAGTGCACAAGAGGGGGGACCCTACAGAAGCAGTAGCCAAGCACCTCCGGCTACCCAAGATGGCGGAGGCCACATGTCCCCACCAACCCAGCTACGCACCACTCACACTCAAAGAAAAACTGGAGGAAATACTCACCAACTTCTGGAGCCGGCTGCAATGAAAATCCAGCGGTCACCAGCGACAGCATACCATCCCGAAGGCCCGAACACAGCCACCTCGGAGAAACCACAGGCATCCTCAGCGACTAACTCCAGATCGGAGCCGGCTCCGAGTCAAACGGCGGCAGAGGCGCCTGGATCCCCACAGAAAGAACCAAGCCAACTGCAAATCACCAGCACGACGGCCCATACATGGGGCCACCCTTAAGCCGTCCAGACAGTCAGGCATGCTGGAAAAGCCTTGGAGGCCGCAAGTGAACCTACCCCCCAAGCTCCAGCACGACACTAGCACAACCTCCGCACGAAGCCCTGAGTCAGGTAATCCCACGACACACAACGAGCGGCATCCAACAACAGCGGGCAAGAAACAGATGGGATGCAGGGGACAGCTCTCACACAGATAGCTCTGCAGCAGACCTCCGCCTCCACAAGCAGAAGAGCCTGACATCGGGGGCCTCGGGATGGGGATCTATGATGGACCGATCCGGCGAAGGGCAGCAAGTAGAGACTCTGACGCTGGAAGGCATAGGCTAAATAGGGGGGCTGTGCGGGACTCCTGGGGACTTGCTCCCCCCCCTGGAACTGTGCGATGGCATGGAAATATCTCTTCCTCAAAAGTTAAATTACCTTATGAGCAAAATGTTTACCTGTTTATTTTATTTTATAATTAGCTTCATGTAGCGATGCCAAAGCCTGCCCGTTAGCCATAGTGTGCCCGCTGAGGGATTTCTCATATGTTATTTCTTAGATTTCTTACTCTGAGCTCCATATATATATATATATATATATGTATATATATATATATAAATTACCTGCTAGACACATAGCCCAAAAATTTCCCCATCGTTGCACACAGGACACAGGTAACGACTTCCGTCACAGAAGGGGCAAACCAGCACCCAGCAGGGTAATAACAGTAATGCTTAGCATATAACCTGTGGTGAGTACTTCCAGCCTAGAATATATCTGCTCGAAGTTAACTAAGCAGAAAACTCTTTATAATGTGTCATGTTTATAAGCTAGGGGGGACTCTCTTGCACACGGGAATATTAAATTGTTAAAGCGCCTCTCTAACCCCTATCAGCCTGCTCAGCTTATGTTTTGCAACCATTTTACAAGTACGCATATCTTGATGTTATAATGTAATCTTAAAAAAGTGCAGTGAATCAGGCATGTAATGTACTCAACCAGTTGATATTTTGTTGATACCAAATGCATTGCCTCTGTTAATATGTACAACTTGCAAAGCACTACAAAAATAAAGAATTAATAAAATAAAAAAGTCACTGGGCAACTATGTTTACCCGGTTGCTAAAGGCCCAAGAGATGGGCCTCTAATAATACTGGGGTATTTGCTATTGGTTTACCCATCCAGCCCCAACACACTGGCATTACTAATGGAGGGGTAAAACTGACAATGTTTCCGCCCAGTCCTGAATCATCAGATGGGGATATTAATGTAATGGGGGTGGGAAGATATCCTCCCCTCGCACCCATCTATCAGCAGCATATAAGTAATGGATGTAAGTGACCTGTCAATGGTTCACTCCCCCAGCCTCCACCCATGGGTATCAGGTGGCAGCATGACTATACCACACAATATGAAGACATGCCAGCAGCCTCCTATTACGCTATTTAAAATTCTAAATCTCGCCAGCAATGCTAGGGGATGCCAAGTACACCTGGCATTACTGACATAAGACTTGAGAAGAGAAGTGTTAACCAAACAGTTAACATCCACAGCTGCAACTCCTATGTTGTTCTGCAAATCTGGATTGAATTATTTTATTTTAATTTAATTTTCTCCATCTAGACAAAACTTGTTTTTTTGTGGAATAACCTCATTAGTGCAAGCTAAAGTAAGTGACTAATTTGCAGATATTTCATCAACGTCTTGGTATGTCAGTGTTAACCAACACTGGCCTTTTAATGTTATATAAGAATTATTAAATAAATAATAGATTGGAATCTAACCAATTTTAAGCAAAACAAGCCTCTCATGATTGGCTACAACACATGGTGATGCTGTTATAAGGTCACCGGCCTAATAAGTCATTGTCTAGTAGTCAGTGTAAAATAGTATGCAACTTCAAAGATACACACATTGCTCAGACAGCAACACACATTTAACTTTTCCTTATTTTAATGAAACACAAGTTATAGATCTAAGGGTAAAATTATTACTTTATGAAACTTTTGCCAATTGACTTCATTATGAAATTCTTCAGATTTCGAATATTACCTTTCAAGTTCTTTTGGTTTATACTTCCACCAAGTATCTGGTTCACGGAACATTACTTTGTATTTGTGTTTCACGGCCTGGTAGCAAAAACACAAAAAAAACCATTAAAATAATGAAATAAAAAACCTTCAGGTAAAAATTATTTCTGCAACCTCAGTAAACTAGGGATCCAATGCTAGGCAAAGATATACACATATTATTATTATATTACTTATGTGCTGTGTATATTACATATTACATATACACACCACAAATACACACATATACACAAACACACATTGCCCCATACATATACTCAGCACATACATGTACACACAGACATACACAAGCAGACTCGCACTGCCACAGAGATACATACTTCCATACACACAGCACATGCAAACAATTACACACTGCCATACACATACACTCAGCATATACATGTACACACAGACACACATATACATAAACAGACATGAACTGCCACAGATACATACTTCCATACACACTGTAATACACAAACTCACAGCACATACAGATACACACAGACACATGTACACAAACCGATACACACAGCCATACATATATTAGTGACATGCACAAACACACACATTGAACTCTGTTTTATCCACCTTCCTCTCTGCTAGATCTGGGAGGCTTCCCTGTTATCCTGTCTCAGACCTCCTTATCGCTAATCCGATTCTGGGTCTCGCTAGAAGCATAGGACTTCAAATTGTAATCCTTGATTTAATCTAAGCATTGTACTATCAAATGTACAGAGAAAATATGATTAGATGAAATCCAGAGGCATAAAGGGAAATAAGATGTACGTGCACATCAAACATTGCTTGATGCTGAATCCTAAAATGTTGCATCCTACAACACATGGCAGCATGGGGAATAGGATCCAAGGATTTTGACATGTTCTACATGCTTTGGTACTAAACCAGTTGAGAAAATGTAATGACAACTAATAATGAGAAGGAGAGGTAAAGGTCGCGGATAAGGGCTTAACAGAGCTCTCACACCCTGTGCCTTAACCAATGTGGTCATCTAGACTAGGAAAACGGGGGTAACCCAATGTAATATATAAATATAGAGGAAAAACCGAAGAGGCCACTCTCATGGAGAGTGACCACTAGATTAAAATCCCAGTCCAATCTAGAAAAAGGTCTTAAAAGAAAATAAAAACTTAATTACACAAAAATCTATATAAACTGAAATATGGAATTATAACAATTCTATTCACTGGATTTCTTACTAAAATGTTTAGAGGACATTAGTTTAGACACTAAACTGGCCAAAACTTTAAATCATGTAATATTTCTAAATCGGCCCATGTAACACACACACATTTGCGCATGACAGGTCAATGTCCAAGCATCATCAACACCTTTAGAGATACAAATATTACAATTAGAACATCTATAAAATGTCATGTAAACATATATTGGCGAAATTGCCTGACCAAAGACACATAGGGCTTCATTTCCCATCCTTGCATATTGGTGTTGTCTATGAGGATAGGTGACACATTTTTCTCAAAGGCTTCTTTGGCTGAAAAACACATATTCACACATTATTTTTCGGTTTTTAGCACAGACAATTTTAGCAGTTGTAAAATGCAATGGAAATTCTAGGACCCAGGGTGGTAAAGTGGCCCCTCAAATTAATTGTATATTAAACAATTATAAACATATATGTATAACGCTTTATATTTAGATTTGGAAACATCCATAATTCCCTAAAATAAATATTAAACTTATCTGTAATCTAGTGGCAAGAAGGTCTTTTGCTCTCTCCGCCAGTGATGATCGTCTGGCCAACAGAATGCACTGTGCCTGCAATGCTTCTTAAAGAGAGACATTGAGACCAATGAGAAGCCTTCACAGCCGCTTTGTACTGGGGAACAGAGAAGCTAGAAAGGGTACTATCCCAGCTGTGCAACTGATAACTGGTTAGGGCACAACCTAGAGACGCTATAAAAGTACCAATTTCCCCTGAAATATATATATATATATTAAGGGGGCTTGAAATTCATGTAGAATGGACGTGATTTGAGAGTGCTCCTCACTTATCCTCTAATATTGGTGGATTAATCTATCATTATTGCTCTCAATGAGTGATTGGTAGAGACCTACCACCTTATTTCCAACTTGGCTGGTCCACCACCACTTGTGCGCTGGCGGCTAGCTTACAGCCCTGGCACACACAACTTAGGCAGCCCGTAGCTATGTTTCAGGCTGCCAAATGTCAATTCTGTGCAAATTTTACAACTGTCATCAGCGTGCAATGCGTTCCCTGCAAGGGGAATCTTATGACTCCCTTCCTAGCAGCCCTTCACGCCTCCCTATCCCATCCGTGTAGATTTCTAAATACAAAACAATGAAACAAAACAGAAAAAAAACTTATTTTAGCACAAAGGAACCGATTGCAGTACGCAATGGGTGCCCTGTCTGCCAATTCACAATCTACACATACTTTGAAGTGTCTTTATTAGCAGGCAAAAGAAAATATAGCATTTTGAACAATATATTTATCATACAGCAATCCCTTATATTATTATAGGTTTCGACATAAAACAATGCCAAGATTAAAAGAACGCATTAATTTAAACTTCTTACCACGTTTATAATTCCATTCATGTGCCTCTCCTAAACAGGATGGATCATATCGGTACAGGCCTTCCCGAGCAAAATAATCATCTGTACTTAGGATAATTCCAAATGGGTTTTTCTGCAACAACATCCTGCAATAAAAGATACAGGTTATATATATATAGTACTTTATACTACGGTGCATCACACTAACATCATGCTCTTACTGAGTAATGAGTATTATATTATACACCATGGCAGACTCCAACTGCAGCATACTGTCTTCTTCCTTGTGCTCTGTGAGTAATATGTATCCTCATCAAATTTCACAGTACCCTGTGTTCAACTACCCAACAGAAGATGCCCTACTGCTTGACCTTAAAGGAACTGCTGTTTTTTGTTCAAAGTGATCCAGAAAATAAAAGGTGGTGTATTCCGCGATTTTGATAAAAGGGAATTCTGAAGATTTATATGATAATAAAAAATAAAAAGAGATACAAAATGTATTTTTTATTATATGCTTTTCATTCTATTCTTCACAGACAAGAGAATTTTTAAAATAAAAAAAAACACAATCCAAGCACCATCACTTCTACAGTGGGATGTAGTGGTTATGGTGCCAGGGGTGCCCTGGTGCCCCTTTCATTGTAAGTAGTCATACCATTTTAAAATGGTTTGGACTTCTTGCAGGGGGCCACTCCTTGCCTCCAGAACCGCAGATAGAGAGGCAAGAGCAGGGCTTTGTTTATTGGCATGGAGCCATCAGCAGACCCTCTCAGGCAATAAGCTAGCCCTGCACTGCTGAGTTCAGGAGAGTTAATAGAAGATCCTGCTTACCAGCTTCAGACATCCTGTCGGAACTAGTGGGGATGGGAGAGGCATCCAGAAGACCCAAGTTAGCAATCAAACCACTCTAAAATGACTTGACTACTTCCAATGGGTTAGCTCCAGGGATCACCTGGCGCTGTAACTACGACGGCATGCTTATCTTGTTCTGCTTATTTGCGCTACTCCTCAGATAAGGGATATTCTCTAAAGTAATAGCTACTGAGAATGTAAAGTGAATTTCAAATATAAAGCCAAATAGCCAGCCTGAAAATAGGAATGACTTGGAGATTTTTTATTTCTAATTTAACTACTTTGGGCATAAATGCTGTAATTCATTTTAAATTCCCAGCAATTCTCGGTTTTGAATAACCGTGTTAGCTAAAGTACCAACCCAAATCATTGAAGGAAGCTTGTTGTTATTCCACTATTACTATAATTTGTTATACGTTAGCTAACCATTCACTATTAGTGATGTCGCGAACATAACATTTTCGGTTCGCAAACGCGAACTTCCGCAAATGTTCGCGAACCCGGCGAACCGCCATAGACTTCAATAGGCAGGCGAATTTTAAAACCCACAGGGACTCTTTCACCTGTGGGACCCACAGGGACTCTTTTCACCTGTGGGACCCACAGGGACTCTTTTCACCTGTGGGACCCACAGGGACTCTTTCACCTACTCTCCTCCCCCCCCCCCTGGGGTGGGGGGCCATAATGATAATGAGGGGGGGGTGAACCTACTGTCCTCCCCCACCCCCCCGGCCCCCACCCCCACTCTTCCTGGTTGCCGTAAAATAATGTTACTTGGCCCAATTGCTATGTAACTTGATTGAGACCTAGGTCAGTCACCAGTCAAGTTGCACAAAGAGCTAAGAGAAAAAGAAGGAATGCTTAATGGACTTTAATTGCAGAATAAATAACGGTTCAGGTACTCTGGGATAACAAAAAATAGCAGCTTTATTGGGGCAAAACCAGCAATGTTTCAACCCTCCCAGGTCTTTACCGAGCTTTATGAGCTTGATAAAGACCCGGTAGGGTTTAAATGTTGCTGTTTTTGCCCCAATAAAGCTGCTATTTTTTGTTATCACGGAGTGTCTGAACCGTTATTTATTCTGCATATCTTGGAAGGGAGGCCTGGCCAGCCCTGGCTTTAGAGCACCTGGGTTACTTGGTGAGTGTGGTATCCAGAAAGTCTCTACTAATAGACTTTAATTAACATTCTGACCAAACCAAAGATATAAGATGGTTTAAAAAAAAAAAAAAAAAATGAACATATTAAATTAAATTAGCATTTACTTTAAAAGCAGGCATATAAAGAGAAAAATAATAACATATAGACAGAATTATGAGAATTCCATGATAAAAAAGAAAAAATATATTTCAACAGTCCAAGCACAGTAGTTGCACACGATGTACAATTATGTTAGAACCATATATATTGACTTAGTGACCGAGTAAAGAATGATTCCCTACCTTGCCAGTGTAGATTTCCCAGACCCAGGAGCACCTCTCAGCAAAATAAGCACTTTTCCTGCAAAGTGTGTCATTTTTTTGGGGCTCTGAAGAACTGTTTGCGGCTCAGCTTCATGCTGACTTGTGGATGTTACATGGTTACCATACCAGTTGTTTGGAGAAAATTGGCCAATATTCCATGTGTATGGGGCCACAGGAGGAGTGAAGTAGGTGCCTGGAGCAACAATTGTTGGATCTGTAACAAATGTCCATGTGGCAGGAGCAGTGGAAACCGGTGTAACAAATCTTTGTGTTGGAACGGATACAGGGTAAAATGTCGGAGCCAAAGGATTCCACACCTGTTGATACTTACAAGATTCATGTGACAATGAGCTCCTGGAAGGGATGGATACTGGTTTAACATCAAAAGGATTAACTTTTTGATCACCTGTCTCAATCTTCTCAATGGATTCTGGAACGCAAGCAGAAGCTTGGGATGACTGTTTTGCAGGTTCTGAAAACATATCTAGTTTTACGCTGAACTCTCTTTCCAGATCATTCATCTCAGATGTCTTTGTGAATTCTGTTTCTGTACTACAATCAGTAATTGCGTCATTGACTTTGTTTTCCGGAATGCCCAGGTACATGTGATATGCAATGTCTATGTCTCCTGAAGTGTGGCCATCGGTCTCTGAATGCTGCAAGGGGAATGAGACATCTTCAGCAGAGGCAGTTTGAAGTAAATCTTGAAAGTCAACATTGTCAAACATGTTACACTCTGCTGTGTCAGGAGCATGTTCTGAATTGCTGAATCGAATAAGTGCCTCATCTAACAACGAATCTAGGTCATTAGACAGTGCCATGTCCATACAAAATTCAGCCTGAGATTCTTCAGTTGAAGTGGGTTCATTAGCAACATCTCCAAGTATTCCAGGGCTCAAATTTACCTGATCGCCATCCAGGTATGATGCTATCATATCAAAACCATATTTGTCTGCGGATTCAGACTGGGATTCCATTTTTGCTGCATTTGAAAGCTCCAAAAGATGATCTACAACCTCAACTAATCACACAGAAAAAAAAAATATATAAATAGACAAACATATAAATAAAATGATTTAAAAAATTGAAATGTAATGTAGAATAAAATAGTCCTTCCTAGAGCCAGTCATAGAATTATGAAACATATATTTTATGAAACACTAACCCGGCATGACATAAGGTTTTTATTCCCTGTTATGTTTACTAACAGGGATATATAGAGACTTAAATTACCACTATATCTCAATGAAGTGGTTTGGGTGCAGTAGCCATTTAGTTTTAACCATGCAATGTAAAACATTGCAGTTCTGTAGAAAAATCAATGTTTCCACTGAAGGGTTAAACATAACTCTCGTGGCTATCTTCCTGACGGCCACTAGAGGAACTTCCGTTGAATAATAATTTTGCTGCACATGCTCACTAGTCTTTTAGTGTTTCACCAAGACTTATGATTTCAGCTAAGGAAAATTGAAATAATGAGAAGAACACTATAGTGTTGGGAATACATATATGTATTCCTACCAGTCAAGTTAAAACTAGGAAAACAGTTTGACAATTTTCAATTATGTAGCATGCTAGTGTCATTTTCTAACATTCTATATAAGGAATAGTGAAATATGTTTACCTTCTTTGTATTCACTGAGAACCATTTCCACCAGGGTAGGATCCAGGTTGGAGAACATCTCGCACATTCTGCTAAGCAGCCTCTCATTGCATTTATTACTCATTGCTTGTGGTAGAGGTGGTACAGCAGAAGATGAAGATGATGGCAGCGGTGGCCAGCTAGCTGAAGTAGAGGCGGAGGCCTTTCTTAAAGGACTAAGAACCAGACTCTTTCTTTTCCTTGGCATTTTACAGTGTCAAATTGCCTTTGTGTCTCTTCATACAAACATCATGATGGAGAGATCACACACTGAAATGAAAAAGAAATATGAAGTAAAACTCCATTTACATCCTGTAAAATATATATTGAGCATCCATAGATACTTGCATCTGCAGGAGTTCATGTAGACTACTCAGAAGCAGATAACTGGACACAATGATAAATATAGTTATTAAATATAAAGAGCAGGACTAGAAACATCAGGATTGTTGCAGATCTAGGTTTTAAAAATGTGCCATTCTATCAATTGATGTGAAGCATTTCTTTGATTAAATACAGTCGGTTCATCTGACCAGAATACAGTGTCTAAATTGCCATGTGGGTAATTTTCTTGTTCAATCTGAAACCAGGCATTATTTTGAATATTTAGTTTAGTTCATACCATCAAATTAGCAACTAGACATGTTAGATGTAACTATGGGAATAAAATTCCACCTTTGTCATATTTGTTTTGTAAGATCCTCTGGGATATTCTCGGGCATTGATTACCCCAGATAAAATTTAGAAAACAATCTTTGAAATTGTAGGATCCTATCTTTGCCTAGTTTAAAGGGTAAGAACCTGAATAAAAATAGCAATTTCGGAACAGAATATGCATTCACTATATTCAATCGCCCCAACCATGAAATTTCGATTTTGCCTGACTTAGTCAATTGCTTATGATTTAAAGTATAGAAGTCTTCATAATTTCAGTGCAATATATTCGGAATATTAAAGGATAGTGTGATACCCAAATTCTCAATATACTCCAGGTTCCAATTAAATTGGAATTTAGACTTGAGTAAAGATAATTTAGCCTCAGATATATATAGCACCAGAATTTGCATTTTCTTGTTGTTTCTTGTGTTTATTTTATCATTTGAAACATTTCCATATTTCTCAATAGTTTTTATAACCTCTGAAATAGAAATTGAGGGCTTCACCAGGGACAAAAGTACATCACCAGCAAATAGGGAGACTTTATATTCACGATCGGCTAATTCAATCCCACGGATTTCTTTATTCTCCCTAATAATGATAGTCAGTGGCTCGATAGACAAGATATAAAGTAATGGAGCCAATGGGCAACCTTGCCTCGTACCATTATTTATTGGAAATATGGATGATTCAAAGAAAGGATTTATAATTTTCGCCGCTGGCTCGGTGTATAGTGACATAATTTTATCTTTAAAGGGACCATGAAACCCACATACACTACCTAAAAATCTCCACTTAACCCTATAAAATGCTTTTTCTGCATCCAGGTCCAAAATAACCATTTGGGAATTGATAAGATTACTTTTGATTATCAAGTTAAGTATTCTGCGGATATTATCCTTTGTACCTCTGTCCCTGATGAAGCCCGACTGATGCACCAAAATCAGATCAGAGATTACTAGTTTCAATCTGTTTGCTAAAATATGAGAATAGATTTTTATGTCTAGATTTAAGGAAATCGGTCTATAGTTTGTAGTATTTGTAGGATCTTTTCCTGGTTCAGGGATCGGGATGATAGATGCCAACAACATCTCTTTAGGAAAGGTATTTGTAATAGAAACTTCCAGAAATACTTTCTGTAATATGGGGGCCAAGATTTTATAAAACATTGCTGAGTAACCATCCGGTCCAGGGGCTTTGTTAGTTTTAAGATTTTTTTTATTGCGTTAGTTATTTCCAAAGTGCTAATTAAAGCTTTCGGCTGATTAAGTTTTTCATGAGATAACTTCGGAATATGTTGTTTATTCAAAAAGTCATCAATTTCCAAACTAGGCACCTTAGAATCTGGTATGTTACATAAAGCCGTATAGGAATCTACAAAAGCCAGAGATATATCTTTAGGACCTAAAAAACACTTCTCTCCTCCTTAAAAAAAACACAAATCTCTATTATTTTTTCAATTGTTTTATCCTTAAAAGTATCTTTCAGTCTATTCGTAAGGACTTTACTAACCTTATTGTTATTGTGATACCATATTTGCTTAAGAAATGTTATAGATTTATTAACCTCATCCTGAATCCTTTTATTCATATCGTGTTGCAGGCGTGTAATTTCGTTAGTAATGTTTTGAGTTGTTTCTAGCTTATTTAATCTTTCTAATTTAGCCAACTTAATATATAATGTAGAGATACTTTCATCTTTGTTTTTCTTTTGTCTCGAGCCAGCTTTTATTAGAACCCCTCTAGTGAAATGTTTTTGAGTACACCAAACAATAGATGTAGAAACCATCCCATTATCATTATTTTGAATAAAGGAGTCTAATTCCCAAGCAAAGTCAGTGGCTACCTCATCTATTCGTAAGAGGCTTTTATTCAGTCTTCATCTAAAGAAGGTTGGAATTGTGTTAAAAATACTGGGGCATGGTCCAATAGAATAACTGAGCCAATCCTAGAGTCCATAATCTTATCCAGAAAAATAGGCCTAGCTAAAAAAAAAAATCTATACGGGAGTATGTCTGATGAACATGAGAGAAATATGTATAATCTCTCAAAACTGGATTGAAAGTTCTGAATCGTAAAGTGAATTTTTGAACAAAAAGTCATTGAATTTATTGATGGATGTTTTAATTTTGGGGTCCCATTCATTTTTGCTTTTTGTCTAATTTTAAATTGGGAATGCAATTAAAATCCCCTCCCACGATTAAGTTTCCACACTTCACCTGGAGATGCAATCATCCAGGAAACTCATTGAGAAATCGTTCGGGGCATATATATTCACCAGAATAAAAATCTTATCATTTATCCTAGCAATTAGAAGAATAAATCTACCATTAGGATTACTTTCAGAATGCATAAATTCTAATTTGAGGTTTTTAGACAAAACAATAACTACTCCCCTTTTTTACGGTTTCCTTCAAGATTGGCGTAGTAGAATGTAGGGAAGTTATTGAAATGCCATAATTTAGTAGGAGAGGATATCTCCTACTAAATCATCACATCACTGAATAAAATATTTAAAATAATCTATATGTTGTGTGAACCTTTTTTCATGTAATGCCAGTTTCCATTAAATATCTGTTAATAATTTAGGACACTTTGAGAAAGACTGTAATCTTTGGAAAAATGCATTAGTGTTTATTCCTTTTATGGTTTTAATCTTTTTTTTTTATACATTTTGTTATTTTTAACCGTATTTGGACCTTCCTGATTTTATCCAGATGATTTTATTTAAAAGATCCTGACATCATATTCCATGGTGGGGAACATGCCACCTAAGCTGCAAGGATTGAGCAAAACCCATTTTTTTGCTCTCCACTAGTAAGTATATCTCCTTTTATCGCCTATGTTTATTTTACTACTTAGAGGACTATATATTTGTATTCTTTTATATATAGTGAATATATTGGTGACTTTGTGCTACTAACCTCCTGTACACTAAAAAGCATAAATCCTGAATACCTTGAGCTAGGGAGCTCATACCACACTAGCTACCAAAACAACTATCAACCGTAAAGACTCAAGATATTCCACAGATCCATAGGCAGGGTTTATACTGCCTGAACGCATATATTTGGAACTAATTACTAGCTCCAAAAAAGTCTACTGACATCGGGATCGGTCGGACCGCCACTCCCACACCAGGAAAGGATGCATTAAGCATCAGGGCTGCCGGCCACTATGCGCCCGCCCCTTTTAAAGTGGCGGCGCATGCGTACCAAGGCCCTGTGGTCAGAAGAGCTCTAAACAAGAGAGCTCAACGTACACGTACCTTTTGGGGACGTGGTTATGAAAATCAAGCCCCCAATCATATAAAAGCCCAGTCTGCCTCCAAATCAGTGCCCTGTTGTGGTTCTTAGTGTGCCTTGTGTTCCTCAGCGCGTTCCTCTATTCTTTTGATTGTTCTTTGTGTATTGTATCTGATTTCTGGCTTCCCAGACTTGGCTACGTTCCTCGCTATTGTGTATTTCTAGCTTTCTTTGACCTTGGCTTGTTTCTGGCATTTCTTATAGTTTCTATTATATTCCGGCCATTCTAAGGAACGGTTTAGGGACTTTCTACCTATCTCTATTGTTCTGGTGATTTCTACTCTGCGTATTGGGTATTAACGTTACACAAACAAACACAAACAAGCACAAGAGACCTTACATTTTGTACTATTTAAAATTACCTATAGTTTGTGTAAACCTTTTTTTGTTATATGATGCCAGTTTTCATTACATATCTGTAAATGATTTAGTCATTAATGGAACACTGTAGGGTCAGGAATGCAACCCTATAGTGTTAAAAACACCATTTAGCCCTTCTGGCTCCCCTAAAAAGAGTAAAATCTTACTTTTATTTGGGTCTGCAGCTGCTGCCTCTGCCACTAATCTGCCTCCTTGGCTTACATGATCAGCAAAGATTATCCGAGCCAATCACAATGCTTTCTCATAGAATTGTCTGAGTCTGTCAAGGAGGCAGGTCAGGGGCAGAGTCAGCACAAGCCAAACATAGCCCTGGCCAATAAACATCTCATCACAGAAATGCATTGAATCAAGGCATTTCTAAGTGGAAAGTTCAGTGTCTGCATGCAGAGGGTGGAGACACTAAATGGCAGTGCTGCACACTGTGCAGTATTGGCCCAGGAAGCACCTCTAGCAGCCATATGAGGAGTGGCAATTGGAGGTATCCATAGGCTGTAATGTAAACATTGCATTTTTTCTGAAAACACAGTGCCTGAAGGGAATAATTCTACTCACCAGAACAAATAAATTAAGCTGTAGTTGTTCTGGTGACTACAGGGTCCCTGAAATATTACCACACAGTTCTGTCGTAGAGTAGCAAGGACACAGACGGTATTGGCAGATATTTAGAACATTGCTGCTATACCTGCTCTTCCACATATTAGGTTTAAAGGTACGCTCTATGTTTATTTATTGACATTTTTTTTATTTACTGATTTTGGATGAGAGAAAAATACAAGGGTATTGCATTGGATACTAATTTATTTTAACTTTAGAGTGTTCCTACAGTAGTTTAGATACAGAGCTCCAACTGTGAGAAGAAACATTTTAAAAAGTTGAAGAACTGATGTCTTATTGTGCATGCACATCAATCGTACGGTTTCTGCAACCAAATGATCAAATGAGTAACAGCAGCAAATGGAGTCTTCATACTGTGTGTGATGATGCAGAATGTGAAGATCTTCAAAAATCGAAACACTAAAGGTGTTTTCTTTGCAAAATATAGAAATTCTTATTTTGTTAAAAGTCAATGCTTTATATTGTCTGAGAAAAGGGACAGCATCTATATTCCAAAATCACTATGTTATATTTAGCACATATTCTGCAGCACTGTACACGAGGTAAACAAGACAAACATTTCATTCTAACAAAACATGTATGACATACGGGAACAGTAGGTAAAGAGCTTACAATCTAATGAAAATTAACTTCACTTCAATCAGGAGGTTTCAGACATTGAGTGGAAGTTTATGGTGAGGACCATCGGCACTGACAAGAAGAGGGATAAAACCATTAATTTATGGGTTTAACCCCTTTATGGGGTTTCTACATTTAATTCCTTAGTGCCACAGCCTAATTTTGTTTGTTTGGATCCAAATAACTTTTGACATTTTTGCAGTGAACACGTTCAGCTGTAACTTCCAAATATTATGCCATACTTTTTTTTTACCAAACTAATGACAGATTTGCTGGACTCGTGTCTTAATTTGCACCATTTTCAGTATCTCACGAACAAATTAGTCTTAAAGGGTTTATAGTATTCCAATTTAGCTGTGCTGCAAATTACAATTGAACTGTGTTTTGCAAACCCAATTTGTGCTACGGTAATAAAAAATAAAAAAAGCACCTCTAAATGTGCTCTTATATCTCCCGAGTACAGAACCACCTAACCCTTATACCTTTGATAAGTTTTGGGAAATTGTAGGGTTACTTGAAAGATATGCACATTTCAGTTTATATAAAAAAATTGAATATAGTCGGGCCATGCCATATGTCTAGACATTTTCAATTGACTTTATAAGTGCAAATATAGACACTGTGTGGTCTCTCCCTTGATTATTTAGGAGCAATGTTTTCACCAAATCCTTCCAAAGTTTCTGGCATTCATAAAGAGACATACAGGTGATACTCAAAAAATTAGAATATCGTGCAAAAGTTCATTTATTTCAGTAATGCAACGTAAAAGGGGAAACTAATATATGAGATAGACGCATTACATGCAAAGCAAGATAGTTCAAGCCGTGATTTGTCATAAGTGCGATGATTATGGCTTACAGCTCATGAAAATCACAAATCCACAATCTCAGTAAATTAGAATATTGTGAAAATGTGCAATATTCTAGGCTCACGGTGTCCCACTCTCATCAGCTAAATAAGCTATAACATCTGCAAAGGGTTTCTGAGCCTTTAAATGGCCTCTCAGTCTGGTTCAGTAGGAATCACAATAATGGGGAAGACTGCTGACCTGACAGTTGTGCAGAAAACCATCACTGACACCCTCCATAAGGAGGGAAAGCCTCAAAAAGATAATTGTGAAGGAAGTTGGATGTTCCCAAAGCACATTAATAGAAAGTTATGTGGAAGGGAAACGTGCACAAGCAGCAGGGATGACCACAGCCTGGAGAGGATTGTTAGGAAAAGGCCATTCAAAAGTGTTGGGGACTTTCACAAGGAGTGGACAAGAGCCACCACACACAGACGGATCCTGGACATGGTCTTCAGATGTCATATTCATCTTGTCAAGCTGCTCCTGAACAACAAACAACGTCAGAAGCGTCTTACCTGGGCTAAAGAAAAACAGACCTGGTCTGTTGCTCAGTGGTCCAAAGTCCTCTTTTCTGATGAGATCAACTTTCGCATCTCATTTGGAAACCAAGGACCCAGAGTCTGGAGGAAGAATGGAGAGGCACACACTGCAAGATGCTTGAAGTCCAGTGTGAAGTTTCCATAGTCTGTGTTGATTTGGGGAGCCATGTCATCTACTGGTGTTGGTCCACTGTGCTTCATTAAGTCCATGGTCAACGCATCCGTCTACCAGGAGATTGTGGAGCACTTCATGCATCTTTTCGCAGACAAGCTTTATGGGGATGCTGACTTCCTTTTCCAGCAGGACTTGGCACCTGCCCACACTGCCAAAAGCACCAAAGCCTGGTTCAATGACCGTGGGATTACGGTGCTTGATTGGCCAGCAAACTCGCCTGACCTGAACCCCATAGAGAATCTATGGGGCATTGCCAAGAGAAAGATGAGAGACATGAGACCAAACAATGCAGAAGAGCTGAAGGCCGCTATTGAAGCATCCTGGTCTTCCATAACACCTCAGCAGTGCCACAGGCTGATAGCGTCCATGCTACACTGCATTGAGGCAGTAATTGCTGCAAAAGGGGCCCAAACCAAGTACTGAGTCCATATGCATGCTTACACTTTTCAGAGGTCCAAAATTGTTCTATGTAAACTCCTTGTTTTTTTGATTGCATGTAATATTCTAATTTACTGAGATTGTGGATCTGGGGTTTTCATGAGCTGTAAAACATTATCATCGCACTTATGACAAATCACGGCTTGAACTATCTTGTTTTGCATGTAATGCGTCTCTCTCATATATTAGTTTCCCCTTTTACATTGCATTACTGAAATAAATTAACTTTTGCACGATATTCTAATTTTTTGAGTATCACCTGTATCTCTTGGATGTGCGAAAGAGGTAAAACAATAGCTACAAACTGTCTCAGGGTTGATTGATGAGTAAGAGAGGCATAATTGGTCTGGGCAACGTACAGTGAGGGAAAAAAGTATTTGATCCCCTGCTGATTTTCAACATTTGCCCACTGACAAAGAAATAATCAGTCTTTAATTTTAACTGCAAGAGACAGAATAACAACAACAAAAATCCAGAAAAAAACGCATGTCAAAAAAGTTAGAAATTGATATGCATGTCAATGTACTTGGTGGCAAAACCATTGTTGGCAATCACAGAGGTCAGACATTTCTTGTAGTTGGCCATCAGGTTTGCACACATCTCAGGATCTCTTTGCAGATCCTCTTCAAGTCATTAAGGTTTGGAGGCTTACGTTCAGCAACTCTAACCTTCAGCTCCCTCCACAGATTTTCTATGGGATTAAGGTCTGAAGACTGGCTAGGCCACTCCAGGACCTTAATGTGCTTCTTCTTGAGCCACTCCTTTGTTGCCTTGGCAGTGTGTTTTGGGTCATTGTCATGCTGGAATACGCATCCACGACCCATTTTCAATGCCCTGGCTGAGGGGAGGAGGTTCTCACCCAAGATTTGACGGTACATGGCCCCATCGTCGCTTTGATGCGGTGCAGTTGTCCTGTCCCCTTAGCAGAAAAACACCTCCAAAGCATAATGTTTCCACCTCCATGTTTGACGGTGGGGATGGTGTTCTTTGGGTCATAGGCAACATTCCTCCTCCTCCAAAAACGGCAAGTTGAGTTGATGCCAAAGAGCTTTTTGGTCTCATCTGACCACAACACTTTCACCCAGTTCTTCTCTGAATCATTTAGATATTCATTGTGGGGGACCTTGCAGGCTCTGCAGGATTTCAGTCCTTCATGGCGTAGTATGTTACCAATTGTTCTCTTGGTGACTATGGTCCCAGCTGCCTTGAGATCATTAACAAGATCCACCTGTGTAGTTCTGGGCTGATTCCTCACCGTTCTCATGATCATTGAAACTCCACAAGGTGAGATCTTGCATGGAGCACCAGACCATGGGAGACTGACAGTCATTTTGTGTTTCTGACATTTGCGAATATTCGCACCAACTGTTACCTTCTCGCCAAGCTGCTTGGCGCTGGTCTTGTATCCCATTCCAGCCTTGTGTAGGTCTAAAATCTTGTCCCTGACATCCTTGGACAGCTCTTTGGTCTTGGCCATGGTGGAGTGTTTGGAATCTGATTGATTGCTTCTGTGGACAGGTGTCTTTTAAAAAGGTAACAAGCTGAGATTAGAAGCACTCACTTTAAGAGAGTGCTCCCAATCTCAGCTTGTTACCTGTTTAAAAGACACCTGGGAGCTAGAAATCTTGCTGATTGATAGGGGATCAAATACTTGTTTCACTCATTGACATACAAATCAATTTGTAACTTTTTTGACGTGTTTTTCTGGATTTTTTTTTTTTTGTTATTCTGTCTCTCACTGTTAAGATACACCTACCATTAAAATTATAGACTGATCATTTCTTTTCAGTGGACAAATGTTCAAAAGCAGCAGGGGATCAAGTACTTTTTTCCCTCGCTACATATGCAAAAGTAGAAACACACAGACTTGTTTTCCCCAACATCAACGGTACTTGCTGTCAATTTTGTACAGCTGCTTGATATCTCCTAATATGGTGAGTATAATGACCTAGTGGCCTAATGTTGATTGTTTGTATATGCTAACAATATACATGTATCTCTGTCTCATTTACTCTTGCAATACTGAATTATACTGTATATCTCTTCTTTTCTGTATTAAATATAAAACAGTAAATAAAGAATGTAAAAAAAAAAATAATAATAAAAAAAAAAAGAGGTAAGGGTGTTTTATACTTCTCTTTTCTGCTCAACTTAGCTTTCCTGAACTAAGCCCTACAGTGCAGGGTATGCTCATTGGCTCAGATAGTCAGCTGGGCTAAATTGTGCAATCACAGGCTTAGATCACATAAAGAGCTTCCAGCTCTCTGGTGAATGTAGTGAGCATCACCTGGCAGTCTCACATTCTAAAAGAGTTTGACTATTTAAATTAAGGGGGGAGTGCCAGGGCACTCCCGCCACTACAGTGTGCTGTAGTGGTTATAGGGTTTGGAGTATTCCTTTAAATTTGTGATCATAACTATATATATATATATATATATATATATATATATATATACATATATATATATATATATATGAAACAAGGGGGGGTTGGCTGCACTCACCTGAACATGCATAAATGGGGGTGCTGCTGGGGGCCAAATAATACAAAACACAAGATCCAGCGCACTCACCTATCCACTAAACAGCAACTTCAATGTTGAAAGATTTTATTTGTTTTTTTTTAAAACACCTAATCTAGGCAAAAATAATGGGGGTTTAGTTACATTATATGATCATACATTGCATAAGCCTGCCACAACGTCAATGTACCCCATCTTTGGCAGGTCCTACACTAACAACCTAATGTCTGCTCTTATGAGATTAACCTACTTGGGGAAAATATCTCATAAGAGCAGACATTAGGTTGTTAGTGTAGGACCTGCCAAAGATGGGGTACATTGACGTTGTGGCAGGCTTATGCAATGTATGATCATATAATGTAACTAAACCCCCATTATTTTTGCCTAGATTAGGTGTTTTTAAAAAAACTAATAAAATCTTTCAACATTGAAGTTGCTGTTTAGTGGATAGGTGAGTGCGCTGGATCTTGTGTTTTGTATTATTTGGCCCCCAGCAGCACCCCCATTTATGCATGTTCAGGTGAGTGCAGCCAACCCCCCCTTGTTTCATATGTATATATTTGGGAGTCTAGCCAACTCCTTGGTTTTGCACCCCTCCCTGTCACAGGTGCCTCATCCCAGGGCCCTATATAGCCTTGTACTGCAGAGAGCCCCAGATGGAATTTTTTTCCCCAAGTAGGTTAATCTCATAAGAGCAGACATTAGGTTGTTAGTGTAGGACCTGCCAAAGATGGGGTACATTGACGTTGTGGCAGGCTTATGCAATGTATGATCATATAATGTAACTAAACCCCCATTATTTTTGCCTAGATTAGGTGTTTTTAAAAAAACTAATAAAATCTTTCAACATTGAAGTTGCTGTTTAGTGGATAGGTGCGTGCGCTGGATCTTGTGTTATATATATATATATATATAGAGAGAGAGAGAGAGAGAGAGAGAGAGAGAGTGTGTGTGTGTGTGTCTATTATGGTCTGCATTCAAAAACACAACATCAATGCAATATTGTTTATTGTCAAGCCTGTTTCAACTGTACTTTTTTCAGTAATACCTAGAATTTGCATGTGTGTGACACTATTCAAACGATTCCACGTAAAATCAGACCTGCAGACACAGTATTTTGTTTATGGTGGGAAACCACTTTGTCAAAGTGTTGCTTTGTGTACTTAATAAAAAAAAGAGGGCTGAACACTTTTGTGAGTGTGTCTACAAGAATGTATCTTGCTTGTGGCACAATGCTAATACTGGCTACTTATTTAACATACAGGAGTTCTGTGTACTGTATGTGCAACATTATTCTGTTGTTACCACTTAATAAACTGCAACTATACTGTAATACTGACAGTATCAGTTGTACATAATTGTTAACTCACACTGTCTAACAATAAGCCTACATTTGTATATATGTATTAAATTAAAAAAAATTAGGACCCAGAGTCTGGAGGAAGAATGGAGAGGCACACACATTGTATTAAATTAAATATCACTCCTTTATAACATCTGTACGAGTTTGCTTTTGTTGGGAGGGGGGGGGGAGGTTCTGCATACCAGACACGTTCAAACTACTACATGCAAACCTATATTTTAGTCTGCAACGATTGTAAATAATACATTTACATTTCAAACAGCAGGTGGTCTGGACATGTGTTTTGAAGCATGTATCCCTGAGTTTCCGGAAGTAAACATCACTGACTCACAACAATAATTTTATTTTTTTTAGAAAATTCCTGCTCGGGTTATGTACTAGTATGATATCTATAAGACCTCTCCCGTAGCAGTTTTTTTTTTTTTTTTTGAACAAGCCTTGATATGTGCATTAAGACACTGTTCTCGCTGTGTGTACAGGAAGTAAACATACACAAGGTGGTAGTAGTCCCATGGCTAGAAATAGTGACTGCTCCCAGCCTCCAGAACCTGGGACACGTGGACTACTACCAGCATTGATGTCTGGAAGTAAATCAATTAATAAACCGCCAAAGAACGAAACGAGAAGCACACACTGCATGAACATTCTACTTCAGAATGGTTAGGAAAAACAAAAACACTTACTCTTTGTCCTGCCCTCTCACCTCAACTTCCGGCTTCATGGTAATATTAAAGTCGCCCTACAAAGACGCCACGTCCGGGGCTGCAAGCAGTTACTAGGATTGCTTAGTATAACCACAAGATGTCGCTGGTATCATTTGGTTTGTTATATTAGAGAGACTGCAACGATTTTAGGTTTGTTTGTTGTTTTTCTCAAAAAAGAAACAACCTGCAAGCGTTAACAAGGGGTTTATAGAGTGGCCTGCTTAAACAAGCTTAATATATAGTTTGTTTGCTTTAGAATGATCAGTATTCAGCAATCTATATATATATATTATACTTGGTATGCTGAAAGTACATTTTATGGAATACTCATAGCAACATAACCAATGCAGTTCTTTAGACTAGAGAGAAGCAGGACCAATGCAAAACCGCAATCAATAGCTGAGAGTGTTAAGCGCTCTGAGCAAAATGATGCTGAAGTTGGTTTCTTATTCTGCCACTTTCCTATTTGTGGATGCTAAAGACTGTTGTCCTGCATAGCTCTAAAGCAGGCACCTTAAACTGTGACACCAGCAGATGTTGCTTAAAGGACCACTATAGTGCCCTGAGGGTGCCCCCACCCTCAGGGTCCCCCTCCCACCGGCTCTGGGGAGAGGAAGGGGTTAAAATTTTACCTTTCTCCAGCGCCGGGCTTTCCTCCTCCTTCCTAGCGACATAATCGGCTGAATGTGCGGCAGGAGCCCCGCGTGCATTCAGCCAGTTCATAGGAAAGCATTTACAATGCTTTCCTATGGACGCTGGCGTCTTTTCACTGTGAGAAGCACGCAAGCGCCTCTAGCGGCTGTCAATGAGACAGCCACTAGAGGCTGGATTAACCCTCAGTGTAAACATAGCAATTTCTCTGAAACTGCTATGTTTATTAAAAAAAAAAAAAAAGGGTTAACCCTAGCTGGACCAGGCAACCAGACCACTTCATTAAGCTGAAGTGGTCTGGGTGCCTATAGTGGTCCTTTAAGGAGATTCTATATTGTTAGGAATACAAAAACACCCCACCCCTTCCGTGTGTGGCAAATAAAGGGATTTAAAAAAAAAAAAAAAAAAAAACTTATTTACTCACCCAATTCCAGTGCCGATGTCCCTCGTCGCTGGGTTGGTACTCCGCCTCCTTTAAAGTAATCCGACAGGAGGGACCTAATGCTCATGTGTGACAAAAATAAAAAAGATACATCAATATGGGGTTTTCACTGATGGATGTCCTCTTGCAGAGCGTGAGTATGTCCAGCATCAGTTAGGTGACCTAAATTCCATTAAAATCCCAGAGGCACCTCTATTGACTGTCTGGTAAACAGCAACTTGAGTCCTGCAATGTAAATATAGCTGTTTATTTAAAACCGCAATGTTTTTCATTGAAGGAGTAAGGGGGACAGGGACATTGTATCAATGAGATGAAGAGGTCTTGGTGCCTATAATGTCTTTTTAACTAACAGTTCCACAAGTTGTAGGCCTTTAACGAACGGTGGGCCTAAGTTTGAGATCCCATTGCTAAAGTGGCTAGCTTGGAGTATTCCTTTAACAGCACTCACTGAATCCAAAATTGATACACAAACATATTTATTTTTATATAACCCCCATGGTATTTACCTAGCAACATTTTAATGTAACCATTACCACTAACTTCTGCCAAATCTCTTTAAATTAATGTTTTATCTTTAATTTAATGTTTTATTCGGATGCATGCAACATATTGTATCTTTCTGTTAATATTGTAATCCTAGTTTACTGCTAAAAAATTATTTTGTGTTCCGCTACATCCTCAAAGTACAGAAATATCCTTGTTAACATCTAGGTAGTGCATTTGGAAGGTTACAAAGCCAGATGTGAGATTTAAAAAAATGGAAATAACCACGAGAACCCAATGGATTTGTTGTAAGATGCCAGGTAGACAGACCAGGGCTCTCTAAGGGCTTAACACTGGTGATCAGTAGACAACAAAACAAAAGGTAATTATATGGGCTACTCCCATAGAAACAATAGGAAAGTCCTGTCTGGCAATTATTTGATCACCTACTTGAAATTAAATAAATGCAACTGGTGCAAAAGATAATTGTTTCATAGGCTAGAAATAAATAATCAAACAAAGAGCAATAATCAAAGCAAGGAAGGGTGTGGGGAAAATAAGTAAACAAACAAAAAAAAAAAGTAATGGATGGAAAATGAGGTTGATTATCCCTGCCACAATCCTGAAGTAGTCTGCGAATTTAGCTTATGCCTATCAATTATATGGTGGGCTAAGAGATTTCCTCTTGCCTATGGGTTATGTCAGTTTAAATACCCCTAAGCTGGCTTATAAAGTGTATATAGTCCACATAAAGGTGGCTATTGGTAAAAAAAAACAAAAACAAACAAGGGGGCACAGAATACAGAAAAAAATGAATACCTGGGCTGAGTGAATGATCACTGACAGCCTACATACACAGCCTCTCTCTGAAACTAATTAAATAAAGGACAGGATACAGAAAGAGATCATATCAGTGTGAAGTGCATAATATACTGCAAGAGTGAAATGTGAGGTGACTAGCACTTCCTCTATTACACAGTTATTGTTTAATCATTTTTTGCCATAACCTCCCTTCGTTTCATTATTACTCTTTTATTTTATTTTCTTTATTCTGTGAAACAATGATTTTACCAATTTGTAGTAGGTAATTATGTAGGTAGGATATAAATGAAGCCTGAGAGGTTTATCATAATTTTTTTTTCATTGTGTAATTTTTTTTTTTTTAATTTGCTTTGATGGCTACACTGTCCATTTTTGCAGTTAATTGACAGGCAGGACTTCATTGTTTCTATTGGAGTAGTCCACAATATAATTATCTTTTCTGTTCTGAGGTGGGATTTGCTCATTTTTGTTTTTAAATTTCCAATTTTGAAAGATTGTTTCCCTGTGTCCATCTTGCATTGGGTTATATACAACAGGCCAATGTTTCCCAAACCATTCCTCGGGACCCACCAACAGTCCAGGGTTTGTCAGTATATCCATTGGAATAAAAAGGAAAATGCATAAATCCTGGATTGTTGGTGGTCCATGAGGACTGGTTTGGGAACCACTGCCCCAATGTAGATCTTTGTGTAGCTATAGGTTCTAACTGGTGACCAGTCCATTTCAGACTTACTATTTTGACAGGATTTTTAACTCTGTCCATGTCACGTTTGTGGCAAAATTGCAGCTTCTTACTGCTAATTATCCCATTATGTCAAACCTTTTCTAAAAGTAAACCATCTAAGATGTTTTAAATATAATTGCATAGCCATTTTATCACTAATTACTGCTTAAGTGTGTGGGTTTTTTTCACTCATGCATTGCATTTTCATTAAAATTCACGTAGGCCTAAAGTGTCCTATTACAGTAAAATCCATGTGTGAAACAGTCCAGTTTTGACAGCAAGATTGGCTGAGCTTGTATTTATTTTATTAAGGATTTAGAGAACTCAAATTCACATCCTCTGTCAGATATACCACCTGCAAAACGAGATAACCAAGATTAATTAAAAAAAATAAAAACTCTTAAAGGACCACTATAGGCACCCAGACCACTCCAGCTTAATGAAGTGGTCTGGGTGCCAGGTCAATCTAGGTTTAACCCTGCCTGCTGTAAACATAGCAGTTTCAGAGAAACTTCTATGTTTACATTAGGGTTAATCCAGCCTCTATTGGCTGTCTCATTCCATAGCCATCTATGCAATTACATAGCCATCTAAGTGTTTAACCCCTTCCTACACCTAGAGCCTGGTGGGAGGGGGGCTATGAGGGTGGGGGAGGGGGACCTATTAACACGATAGTGCCAGGAAAACGAGTTTGTTTTCCTGGCGCTATAGTGGTCCTTTAATGGAGGGACAGTGCCAGGGGACTCCAGACACTATAACCAGTTCAATGAGATGAAATGGTTCTAGTGCCTACAATGGGGATCCAACACACCTTGTTGTCCATGGGTTTGTATTTTAGTTGAAGTTTATAAAAAATAAAATACTAGAATTGCTTCTTTTGTGCATACATATATTGTGTGTGTGTATATATATATATATATATATATATATATATATATATATATATATGATTTGAGGCTAACAGATTATCATTGGCATTACTTTATTTGTACACTAGCATGTGGGACGGTTTGCAGAAGTTCTCCTTGCATTTATTTCATATAGTGTGGAGGGCTTTGGGTGACTGGCAGGACTCTGTTCCTAAAACAGCTTAGGAACCTCAATTATTTTATGGGACAGGGAGGATTAGGAAACAAAATATAGTGCTAGGTCTGTTTCTTTAGCTTCCCTTTACATGGTGGAGCACATATATAGAAGTCATGCTATGTGGAACATGACTGGGGGTAGAGGGGTGGGGGTGCTGATCCAGCTTCTCGCCAAGGGCGCTAGAGACCCTAAGTATGCCTCTATTGACAAGGAGCCCTCTCACTGCACGTCCATTCTGCATGATGGTCAGGCCCTGCCCTTCTCCCCTTGCATCTCTGCAACAAATATTACACAAAAGGTAAATTACAGAATTAACATTTCTGTGAAATACAGCAACAGATAATTATAGTGCCTTCCTCTCTGTTTCAAAATAATGTAAAAAAAAAAAAAGAAGGCAGGATCAGTTTGGCACTAGACTTCTGCAAAAATCCTTTTTACCTCTATGAATGAATGAATTTTGTATTAATCTAATCCAAAACTAATCGATCTGTCATGTAAATCCTGGTAGTATCTATTAGTTCGGGAGTAGATTAACCCCTTAGTGACCACGGACGTATCGGGTACGTCCGACAAAAAACGGACGTTAACAACCTCGATCATACCTGATATGTCCGCGGCAAATTTGTTCGCTGGTAGTTTCCCCGAACATAGACCAACGCGCCAGAGACCTTAACTCCCCACTTACCAAGCAATTCGTTCTTACGACAGGGTCGTAGGAACGAAACCCGGTCGGTAAGTAAGGAGTGTCTGTAATTGTACAGCACTGCAAAATATGTTGGTGCTTTATACATGCCAGTAATAAATAAATATGTGGAGACTAAATATGCATATTTCTTCACTAAGAAATATGCCTTACTGTGCCCTACTCTTGGTGCATTACAATCAGTTTGGCACAGACCGACCTCAACTCTGGTGGCACAGGTGAGTCGTCCCCTATTAGTACATTAAACATACTATATGTGGTTAAATTCATCAATGTCTGGCATTTTACTTATGCTATAATGCACTGTATGCAGGGGTGAGCCCCTGCTGGACAACTGGGGTGATCCCCCATTCATTTCTCACTGCCGATCTACGATAAATCAAACACTTCTTATTATTAAGAGGCCTGCTAATGTGGTGAGCCTCCATCTCTGGCTCTCGTGTTTGAATGAAGGGGTGTTTGTAGATAATTTTAGTGATTTAATGCAGGGGTGTGTTTGTATGTAATGTTTGCTTTTGATTGCAGTGTGTGTGTAGTGGATGCAGTGTGTGTGTGTGTATATTGTGTTTATAAAATATACATATACACAATATGTGTTTGAATGTAAGCATGTTTTTTGTATGGAGTATGTGTGCAGTGTATACACACACTGACACAGCGATACACACAGACACACAATGACACCTAGTTTTCCACACACAGATACACAGACACTCATGTACACAGATACACACTGACACACAGACACACAAATACACAGACACACACACTGATACAAAAGGACACATAGATACACAAACACGCAGAGACAGAAGGTGAGGGTGACAGTGTGTGAGAGAGGTGAGAGTGACAGTGTGGGGGGCAGTGTGAGAACGGGTTACAGTGGGCAGGCAGGGGGAGAAAGGGTTACAGTGGTGGGGGCAGGGAGAGAAGGGGTTACAGTGTGGGAGGGGCAGGGAGTGAAGGGGTTACAGTGTGGAGGGGCAGGGAGTGGAGTTACAGTGTGGGGGGCAGGGAGTGAAGGGGTTACAGTGTGGGGGGGCAGGGAGTGAATGGGTTACAGTGTAGGGGGCAGGGAGTGAAGTGGTTATAGTGTGGGGGAGCAGGGAGAGAAGAGGTTACAGTGGGGGGTCAGGGAGTGAAGGGGTTACATTGTGTGGGTGTTAGGGGGCAGGATGTGGGGGCTGTGTCCTACCTTTAATAAATTCACAGGTGGTCCAATGTCTCCCTGGTGGTCCGGTGGTTACAACTCCGGTCTGCAGCTCCGCCGGGTGCAGAGCTGCAGACCATGTAATAAAAGTCTTGCAAGCTCCCAGAGTGTTGCCATGATAACGCTCTGGGAGCTCGCAAGACTTCTATCACACGGTCTGTAGCTCTACACCCGGCGGAGCTGCAGACCGGAATTGCTGGGCAGACTGATTGGAGGGAGCCCGGCGGCATACAGGGCAAGCCGCCGGGCCCCCTTCTGGTGTCGGGCCCTGTCGATCACGGACCGAGAGCCCAACTAATCAGTCTGCCTGCCTGAGTCCCCGGCGGCCCTGCATGTGTGAGTCAGCACGACCCACTGGGAATCGCCCTGCGACACTTTGGGAACCGCTGTGTACAGTGTAATTTGTTCTGATCTGTGCTGCTGTTGGAGTAGTGTTAAGGACCAAGCTTCTGGAATAAAAGGGAATCATGACATGTCACACATGTCATGTGTCCTTAAGGGATTAAGAGAGAATTGCAAAATGTGAATCCTAATGTCATTAATATTAAGATAATAGTACACTAAAGAGCATAATCTACAATTGTAGGGTATATGTCTCCTATTATTTTATTTCATATTGTATTTGGTCTCCAGGACATACTTTGAAAAGAAGAGATGTCACTGTATCCTTTTTGGGAAAATATTTTATATCTAAATATCTTTTTCACCAAGCTGCGACTAGTCAGGGGTGACCAGAAAATTACAAATGTAAAGGAAAACTCCTACCCCATAAAAACATCTTATTCAAGTTGTTATAGGGGCAGGAGTCTACAAGTGCCATCTTACCTTCAGGGCTTAAATCATTTGGAATGGGTAAACACTGAAGTTGGTTATCCAGTGTCAGACACAGCTGCCCCTGACTTCCTTCCTCTCTGCCTTGGTGTCATGCACCAGAGGACCAAATTCAGAGTCAAACCTTTTGTAAACCAGTGTGATTCCTGAAGGTAAGACAGCACCCAGTCACTCCTGCATCCACAACATCTTCAATAAATCTAATATAAACACAAAAGGCATAAATTAATTGATTGTCTGTTCTATCAGCTGTAGGGAGGAGATACCCTTTTGGTTAAATGATGCAGTGACTAGCCAGGAAACCTGATTTGTAGAAATTCACCAAGTCAGCTATAGCTAAAGCCATAGCGTGGCTGTTTTAACCACATTTTACCATTTGGATTTCATGTTTAATGAATTACATGGTATTTTTAGAGTTATTCACTGAAATGAATTGCCTGGAATTCAAAGGGCTTTATTCAATAAACCCAAAATTACAGGATTGTTCCAAATCAGCATCTTAGCCTAAATTTTACAGTCTGGGTTTTTTTCCCACTATATTTTGGTGTTTAGTGAATTAATCTGTTTAAAGTCGCTCTGCCACCTTCATTTTTCTTTTGAGTGCATATTTTGCAAAGACCCCAGATGATGATTGCTCCATTTGCATTGCAGTTGCTCAGGGGTGGATTGCAAAGTAATTTTCACTTACCTTAGGTTTTCCCTCAAAGGCATTGCCATCATAATATGCAAGGTCCTCTTCTGCGCCTGGTACTTCATCTAGCCCATCATAGTTTTTATTTATTTGTATATTTTTTATTGGTTTTGTATGAAGCAGGTACAGCACATATTCACTAATCACAAAATGTTATGGATAACAAATGTTACATTGGTACATAGATACATGTATAGTCATGTCATAGGGGGAAAAAAAGAAGAATCATCAAATGCTATTTAAACAAATACACTGGAAACAACAAAAGAGTGAACTTGAAGTTAAACATTACAGCTTTGGGAATTTACTGTATGTATTGTGGTTTACGTCTGTAGAAGAATTATCATTTAAAGATGGCACCGTATGGTAAGGGGTTGAAGAATACCTTCGGCTACCTTTCCACTTAGGAGGTAAGAGGGGTCTTGCGGAACATGACCCAAGGGGTCCATATGAATAAATACTGATCATAATGTGGACTTGGTGAATACTCAATCTCCTCCATGGCTCTAATGCTTTCTACATTATTTAACCAATGAGACAGGCAAGGGATTACTATAGATATCCTGTGGGAGGAATAGCCATCATAGTCTTTGCTGCATTTAATAAGTGCAGTAGTAGCGATAGTTTATTTTGCCGGTGGAGGTAGAGACATGGTGAAGCAAATAGAGCTTTGGAGTGAATGACACCGGAGTTCCCATAATTGAGGTTATAAGGACTGATATTTTGGACCAATTGGACTGTATTCAGTTACATTGCCACCAATGAGCTGAACTACTCGGGTGGACACTGTATTTCCAACACTAGGCTGATTTACTGGGGGAGATATGATGCAGCGTCAACTATATATTAGAGTCTGTAGATGAAGCCTGTAGGAGCAAAAATATCAAAAAAAATATTTTTTGAGATCTCGTCTATGAGGTGAGGTTTAGTGATAAAAAATAGTAAGTCATCGGCATAAGCTGCAACTTTATTGGTCCTCCCCTTCCAATCAAAGCCTGTTATGTCCACGGTCCGTCGAACAGCTCGTAGAAGAGGTTCCAAAGTAAGGGTGAACAATAAATAGAACAGGCAGCCCTGACTGGTCCTATTATGCACCTGGAAGGCTCCCATTAGAGCACAATTGACACGTATCCTCACGATCAGAGAACTGTAGAAGTAGGTAAGGGACAAAGCCCATGTAATGCAGAACCACTATCATGAACGACCAGTCCACCTGGTCAGAAGGCTTTTTAGCATCCGTGGATAACGGCACTAGAGGCATGACCTTCTTCTTTTGCGCTGAGTATTGAATGGACAGTAATCGTAGGATGCTGTTTGATTTGCGGTAGAAATGTCCATAGCCTGGTGGCTAATACTTGCGTGAAGAGCTTGGCATCGACATTTAAAAGAAAGATCGGCCTATAGCTTCCACAGAGCTCGGGGTCTTTTCTGGGTTTAGGTAGAATCATTATAGTTGCTGCTAATGATTTCGGGTCAAATCTCCTATCCTTAGTCAATACGTTGAGTGCTTTCATGAGGATCGGGAGGAGTTGGGTGCTAAACTTTTTGTAATAATCTAGTGTAAAGCCATTTGGTCCTGGTGCGCGTTTAAATTTTTTCTAATATACATATATATTGGCCTTCAAAGGGTCCTTCAAAGGGTCCAGGACCTAATTTTGCTCAGTGGCCCAAATGGCTATAAGTCCGTCCCTGAGGGGCACATAAAAAATATGATGTTCTGAAATGTGGTCTAAAATAATAAATGTTAGGTATCGACCATGGAAACTAGCAGGTACATAGCACTGGTGACTCTGAGACCATTCCCTGTTTGCATCACTCTTCAGAACATACACTTTTTGTACATGACCTAGTGCAGAGCTCGACAAATCCCAGACGCCAGGTCGCCATGGTGACTAGAAATATTTTGCTGGCTTTTTTCAGCCCTTTACCTAAAGCGTCTGGCAAGGCAGACAGCCCTAGGCTGCATGGAGGTGGCCGGTTTATGGAGCGTTGTAGTTGGCCGCCCTGGGGAGCAAGGAGGCGGCCGTCTCAGGGAGCGATGTAGCTAGCTAGCTTCCCACCCTCCCTGGGAATCAAAGAGGTCGGCTGAGGCAGCAGTGATCTTCCTGCAGCTCCTTTCTGCTCCCTCGTGCTGTATAGTGATGCCAGGAGCTGGAATAGGACGTCACTCCAGCCCCGGCATCACTGCAGAGAGGAGCTGCAGGTGGATTACTGCTTCCTTGCATGCAGGAAGAGAGAGCAGCCTCACTGAACCCCAGGGAAAGATCCACTGGCAAAGGTAGGGAGGTTGAGAGGACTAAAATAAAAATCTCAGTTTGTGTGTGGGAGAAAATGTGTATGTCTCTGTCAATGTGAGCGTGAGTCTGTCAGTGCGTGCGCGAGAGTGTGTCTGAGAGAGAATGTGTGTCTGTTTAGGTACCTGCCCCCCTCAGATCAGGTATTTTTACTCACCTTTTTTCCCACAGCTTGTGCCACCTCCATAGCGGAGATCATCAATCTTTATGATCTCAGCTAAGCCAATCCTTTCCCATAGGAAAGCACTGGGAGATATTGCGCATGTTCTCTATGGGTAACATTTAGCACCCAATACCTGATACTGAGTGAGTGGGCACTATACATTACCTGATACTGAGTGAGTGGGCACTATACAATACCCGATACAGAGTGAGTGGGCACTATACAATACCCGATACTGAGTGAGTGGGCACTATACAATACCCGATACTGAGTGAGTGGGCACTATACATTACCCGATACTGAGTGAGTGGGCACTATACATTACCTGATACTGAGTGAGTGGGCACTATACAATACCTGATACTGAGTGAGTGGGAACTATACATTACCTGATACTGAGTGAGTGGGCACTATACAATACCCGATACTGAGTGAGTGGGCACTATACAATACCCGATACTGAGTGAGTGAGCACTATACATTACCCGATACTGAGTGAGTGGGCACTATACAATACCCGATACTGAGTGAGTGGGCACTATACAATACCCGATACTGAGTGAGTGGGCACTATACATTACCCGATACTGAGTGAGTGGGCACTATACAATACCCGATACTGAGTGAGTGGGCACTATACAATACCCGATACTGAGTGAGCGAGCACTATACATTACCCGATACTGAGTGAGCGGGCACTATACAATACCCGATACTGAGTGAGCGGGCACTATACAATACCTGATACTGAGTGAGCGGGCACTATACACTACCCGATACTGAGTGAGCGGGCACTATACACTACCCGATACTGAGTGAGCGGGCACTATACACTACCCGATACTGAGTGAGCGGGCACTATACATTACCCGATACCACTATACAATACTGATACTGAGTGAGTGGGCACCTATACAATACCTGATACTGAGTGAGTGAGTGAGTGGGCACTATACAATACCTGATACTGAGTGAGTGGGCACTATACAATACCCGATACTGAGTGAGTGGGCACTATACAATACCTGATACTGAGTGAGTGGGCACTATACAATACCTGATACTGAGTGAGTGGGCACTATACATTACCCGATACTGAGTGGGCACTATACATTACCTGATACTGAGTGGGCACTATACATTACCTGATACTGAGTGAGTGGGCACTATACATTACCCGATACTGAGTGAGTGGGCACTATACAATACCTGATACTGAGTGAGTGGGCACTATACATTAGCCGATACTGAGTGAGTGGGCACTATACAATACCCGATACTGAGTGAGTGGGCACTATACATTACCCGATACTGAGTGGGTGGGCACTATACAATACCTGATACTGAGTGAGTGGGCACTATACAATACCCGATACTGAGTGAGTGGGCACTATACAATACCTGATACTGAGTGAGTGGGCACTATACAATACCTGATACTGAGTGAGTGGGCACTATACATTACCCGATACTGAGTGGGCACTATACATTACCTGATACTGAGTGAGTGGGCACTATACATTACCCGATACTGAGTGGGCACTATACATTACCTGATAGTGAGTGGGCACTATACAATACCTGATACTGAGTGAGTGGGCACTATACAATACCCGATACTGAGTGAGTGGGCACTATACATTACCTGATACTGAGTGGGCACTATACAATACCCGATACTGAGTGAGTGGGCACTATACACTACCCGATACTGAGTGAGTGGGCACTATACACTACCCGATACTGAGTGAGTGGGCACTATACAATACCTAATGATAAGAGAGGGTGCACTGCACATATCTGAGGAAGTACTGCATGGATGAAGGGGCTCATTATACATTGCCCAAGGAAAGAATGCAGCTATATGGGGGCGCTATATATCACCTGGGTAAGTGGTACATTATGCCCTGTGTTTGGTGTGTGCGGTGGGTATATGGTGGGTATGCGGTGTGTGCGGTAGGTACAATGGTTGGTGTGTGCGGTAAGTCAGGGTCCCCGTGGCTGAGTGAGTGCAGTGTAGGAAGTGATGTGGTGCTGGTGGGAGGAGGCACTCAGTGAGTTCCCGTTTTGGCGCCAGGCGCTAGGTGTCGCTGTTCCCCGCTCGGTGCGGCTCTCAGCTCGCGGACAGGCTGGCGCGTGGGGACTGTGCTTGGCGGCCGCGAGCCTGGGCGCGTCTCCGCCGATCGTGAGTGTCCCGGAGCCCGGTGGTCACGTGTGTCGGGATTCCTCGCGGGAGGGCAGACGGTTAGGAACCTCCTCCTCCCCCCTCTCCCCGGTACCCCCCCTCCCCCTCCTCCTCACAGCCGGACACAGAGCGCGCGGCCGCCGGATACATGCTGGGGGACCCTCGCACTCCTCCTCAGGTGAGAGCCCGGGGTGGGGGGCCCGGCATGGGGGGAACACTCAGCCCCCCCCCCTGCTCCCAGGTCACGCCCAGCCCGGGAGTGAAAGTTATTCCGGGCAGTCAGGACCCCCGGCCCGGCTCAGGTACCGCACTGCCCCCGGCCGCCCACGTGTGTCCCGGGCTAGGCCGGCCCCGGTACCGCCACATGCGGCCTCCCTCTCTCCCCCCTCACAGTGTGCGGCCTGGGCGGTAGGCCTCAGTGTGGGATCCTCCCAGCCAGCGGCCCCGGACAGCCTCCCACCACCACCCCCCGGACCTGGGATCCTCCCTCCCCCAATATTACCCCAAATAATTCACCTTTACCGGGGAGCCCTGAGGGCACAGCATCCCCGCCATCAAAAACCGGGGACAGCCGGCCCCATCAAACTGTGCCCGGGTTACTAGCAGTGTGTGGCCCCTGAGGCAGGGTTTTCACAGTGTGTGGCTCGGTGTGTGGTGTGGCCCTAGGGCTGTGTGGCCCCTGGGAGCGGTGTTTTGTGTGTGGCCCTGGGGCGGTGTTTTGGCAGTGTGTGGCCCCTGGGGCGGTGTTTTGGCGGTGTGTGGCCCAGTGTGTGGCCCTGGGGCGGTGTTTTCAGTGTGTGGCCCTGGGAGCGGTGTTTTGGCAGTGTGTGGCCCCTGAGAGCGGTGTTTTGGCAGTGTGTGGCCCCTGAGAGCGGTGTTTTGGCAGTGTGTGGCCCCTGAGAGCGGTGTTTTGGCAGTGTGTGGCCCCTGGGAGCGGTGTTTTGGCAGTGTGTGGCCCCTGAGAGCGGTGTTTTTGTCTCGGGATGTTCCAGGCTCACAGTCTGCTTTCTCTCCCATAGAGGCCGCTAGAGTACTGTGACCGGAGGAGAGCGCCGCCGCCAGCATGGAGTTCCCTACCCAGCAAAAAGCCGCGGATGGCAAGATCATCTACCCTCCCGGGGTGAAGGAGATCACCGATAAAATCACCAACGACGAGGTGGTGAAACGGCTGAAGGTGAGTCCTAATGTGCAGCTGGGGAGGCAGTAATCACTGGGCTGCTCTCCTGCTCCCCCATGGGCTTCCTCAGACAGCTGTTTGGCTGCTCCTCCTTTGCTCAGTAATGATACGTGTTTTAATGCTAGATAAAGAGCTGTTTTGAGGTTCATGGCAAACGTGTATATTTAGTTGGTGTTGGGAAAACTTGCTCATTAAGGTTTTCATTACAAAATAATCTGTTTGGAAGAGGTTATGTCTTGAAATTGCTGTTTTGTCCTTGGCACACTACTTCTGTTTTTGATTGCTTTAGTCATCACACTGAAACTGATAAATGTTTTGCCTATGTACTCCAGGCTGCCCAAACCACTCCAATGGGCAGAAGTGGTCTGGGTGCCAGCTCCCACCACCCTTTAACCCTGCAAGTGTAATTATTGCAGTTTTTATAAACCTCAATGATTACCTTGCACAGTTAAGTCCCCTTCTAGTGGCTGTCTATCTTAGAACACGAAAAGTGTTTTAAACTACGCAGGGCGTCCTCACGTTATGCATGAGGACCTCCAGAGTTGCCGAAATCCCCATAGGAAAGCACTGAATAATGCTTTCCTATTGGGAGGTCTAATGCATGCATGGCCCTTGCAGCGCATGCGCATTAGGTCTCCCCCAGTGGGGGAGGAGCCTGACCCAGTGCCGAGGGACATCGGCGCTGGATTCAGGTAAGTCACTGAAGAGGTTTTAACCCCTTCACCAACATGGGATGGAGGGTGGGAGGGAGAGGGGCACTGCAGGGTCCTGCAGTGCCAGGAAAACGGATGTGTTTTCCTGGCACTGGACTGGAGTATCCCTTTAATTATATTTGTACAAGCTATGGCCAGGATACCTTTGATCTAAGGAGAGATGTGACTACCATTCTGTGGTAAAGAAGGGATTATTTCCTCGTTTGTTGCAAAATTGTTTTTTTTATGTTGTCTTTTGGATATTTGGCAAAACAGATGCGAGTTTGATCGATGCAATTTTTTTTTTATTTTTTTTCATCCTGTATAACTATGTAAGTTCATTACTATGGATGTGGAATTGTTTTTTTGTTTTTTACTTGCATTATGTAGCTGCATTTGGGGATAAATATGGTCAGTAATCTAAATTGGCGAATATTTCACACTTCAGAAGAGCAACAGTTTAATTTTGTAAACCAAGCAAATGGTGTATTGTCATTTAGCTAGTTTATTACAATTCACATAGTATGATTCTTTTAGATTTCATTCTTCTCTACATAAATGCTTTCTTCTTTGAACTTGTTTGCCACTTTTAATATAGGCTGAGAATCAGTCAGTGTATGTGTATATGTATGAGCCAGTTAAAATCCACTAATTGAGTGCATGTTTCTGTTGTTACTGGTCTTCAATGTAGGATAAGTTTTGTAGTTTGTGGTGCTAGAGTCATTTGACACAAAAGTAGTGGAAAGCATTTCAAACTTCCTCTCCAGTACATAGTTTTCTCAGCATAAATAAAAATTTGAGAAATTTTACCTATGTTGGATTATCTTGTAAAAACCTAAAATGCTACAAGCCTACATATATGAGAATCTTGTATTTGATTTTTGTGGAATATACATTTTTTGAGGGGTGTTTTGCAATTTATGTGCCAAATAGTAATTTGTGTTAAACACGATTTCTTTAAAGGTATGCTTTATAAGGACACAATAGTCACCAAAACAACTGTAGCTAAATACTTTATTATTAATGAAGCTGATTTGGTGTACAGATCATGCTCCTGCAGTCTCACTGCTCAATTCTCTTCCATTTAGTAGTTAAATCACTTTTGTTTCTGCTTATGCAGCACTAGCCACACATCTGTGCATGTGACTTACACAGCCTTCCTTAACACATTCTGTAAATTCATCTAACGTTTACACTTCCATTATTGCAAATTCTGTTTAATTTAGAATTTTTCTCCTGCTCTGTTAATAGCTTGCAAAACCTTGCAGTAGCCTCCTGTGTATTATTAAAGTTCAATTTTCAGAGCAGAAGATACAATTTTTTATTAAAGGGACACTATAGTCACCAAAACAACTATAGCTTATTGAATTTGTTCTGGTGAGTAGAATAGCTCCCTTCAGGCTTTTTGCTGTAAACACTGTCTTTTCAGAGAAAATGCAGTGTTTACATTAAAGCCTAGTGATTTCACTGGCCACTCCTCAGATAGCTGTTAGAGATCCTTCCTGGGTCATAACCTCGGATACGGCTAAGGTGCTGGTCCATGCTCTTGTTCTCTCTCGCCTTGACTACTGCAGTACCCTTCTCAGTGGTCTTACGTATTCCCAGATTGCAACGCTGCAATCTTTAGTGAATGTGGCGGCAAGGCTCATTTTCCTGTCCGCTTACGCCTCTGTCAGTCCCTGCATTGGCTTCCAGTTAGATATAGGGCTCAATTTTAAAATTCTGGTGCTTGCTTACAAGTCCCTACATAATGCTGCTCCAACCTACCTATCCTCCCTAATACACAAGTATGTCCCATTGAGGCCCCTATGCTCTGCCAAAAACCTACGTATATCCTCTGTCCGTACGCCCACCTCTAATGCTCACTTCATTAAGCTAAAGTTGTTTTGGTGACAATAGTGTCCCTTTACGTGTACTAGTATGAAAGAGTTCACAATATCTAAATGAAGTATGTATTGCAGGTATCTTAACCCTGCAATGTAATTATTGCAGTTTCCCAATTGCAGGGTTAAGGGCACAGGGACTCTGCTCCCAGACCACTTCAATGAGCTGAAGTGGTGTGGGTGCCTCTAGTGTCCCTTTAAATACTGGGTTTGCCCAATGTTTATCGTTATATTCACGCTAATATTGTTTGCGACACAAAAGGGATGTAGGAGAAAATAGATTTTCATACAGTATTTAGATATCTGCCCGCAAGCAATACACTGGAATTTTCAGATGGTTGTGTTCATTCTGCATGCTAGTAACTGCCTGGAGTGAGGCTATCTAAACATGTTTATGACACGGTCAATAATTCAAATTGTGTTCATAGCTGGATTTGAAAGAAACAAAACACTTCTTACTTCCCTCTTTCTAACTGTTTTTGTTTTTATTTTGACTAGGGAAGCATATTGGCTGTCTTTTTATGACCTAATTATGCAGTAGCCAATACTTGCATCATATTGCTATTCTATACCTGATCATGAGCTAATATTGTGGTAGCGTTGCACTTGCATCATACTGTTTTTCCTAGTGTGAAATGGCTTAGAGTGATGCTGCCTCACGTCCTCTTCAGTGAATGAGGTACTACAATGAGTTTTGCATCCTTTTTGCCACCTATGAACCAGCTAACTTCTATGTGTGCCTGTAGCAAACATATTTCCTGCTCTGGAGAGCATCAGTTGTGGCTGTGCACATGCACCGTTGGTATACCGCAGCAGATTGCTGTACACAGCCCTCTTTACAAAATGTATGATCCAAGCTGCGGATAGGCTAATCAGAGCTATGGTAAGACTATCAGCTTATTGAACAGTCTGCATTACTGCTGGGCTAGGTTTTACATGCCAATATAACTACCACAATGGAAGCTATTTTAATTTACTTTGAAATCTTATTTTGTGATGTATGTGTTATTTAGTAAAAACAAATTAGATCACTTTCAGCATATTGGGCAACTTGTTTTTTCTGCATTAAGGTGTTGTTGCATTGTTTATAGTCTTGTTGCCCTACTTTGATTATTTATTTTTAGAAAGTGGAGTTTCTGAGACTGGACACTGGTTAAGGGTTCTCAAGTCATTTTGAAAGTGACACTTTTATTAATTTTTTTAGGTGGATCAGTGTGGTGTGTGTGTGTGTGTTGCTTATTACTTTGAAAAGTTGGCCTTGTGTTTTAACTTTATTATAAACTTCATATGGAGTGTCCCTTTTAAGTAGCATTGGTACTTTGCTTTATTATGAATATTCTAAGATTCCTGTTTTTATTTATTTTTTTTCTTGTATAATTTTCTTTTAATTAACCACAGACCTTAGAAAACATTGTACAGTACTGCCCTATCTGTTGGCTCTTGGGCCCGTAGTGCTCTGGTGCTGTCCCTTAAACCGTCTTTGAAGTCAGTTTGGTAAATTATCTGAATCCCACTGGGCACACATTTCTGCAGCTCTTGCTTCGGGGATTACTCTACAGGAGAATCCATTTAGATGTGCAGGGCCGTGGCCATTGTCAGAGAGCGTCACCTTGGTATTCTCAGCCATTCTTGACTTAGGACTTGACACATTTGCTTAGACTCTAGGAGCCAGGTTTTTTTTTTTTTTTTTTGGTAATAAAGCTTTATTTCCAACTACAAAAATACAATTCTTAAAGGAAGACTGTAGTCAGCTAGTAATTAACAAAAAATAGGCTCTGTTTTTTCATGCTTATTGAATTTAACAAGAACCATCATATAAGTCAGGGCTTGACAAATTTGCTTCAATTCTAGGAACCAGCAAAAAAAGTTAGGAGCTAGGTTTTTCAATGTCAAAAATAGAATTCTTAAAGGGACAATATAGTCACCAGAACCACTACAGCTTAATGTAGTTGTTCTCGTGTCTATAACCTGTCCCTCCACACTTTTCAATGTAAACCCTGCCTTTTCAGAGAAAAAGGCAGTATTTACATTGTTGCCTTGTAATGCTTCTATTGAAAGTCACTCAGTGTTCCCCATAGAGATGCATTCATTCAATTTATCTCAATGAGGAGATGCTGATTGGTGCAGCATGGTGTTTTGCCACAAATAAGCAATGGCTTCCCAATGCTTTCCTATCCAAGATTGATGATCGCAGTCATGGAGGCATGGCCAGCTACGGCAAGACCAGCACAGCATGGGGGAAAAAAGGTGAATCAAAACCCATTACCCATGTGATTGGAGTGGGACCGGTCACCTAAACTGACACACGGTCACTGACACATACACATGCTCACTCGCTCAGTGACATACACACACTCGTTCAGTGACACACGCTCACTCGCTCACTGACACATATTAAGGTGACCACCCAGCATCCCTACCTGGAGCTGGAGTGGTTCGGCTTCCCCTGGGGTCCAGTGTGGCTTCAGTCATCTTCCTGCTCCACTCCATAGAGTGCTGTTTAGTGATGCCGGGGCCGGAATGACTTCATATTCCGGCTCCCGGCATCACTGGAGGACGCACAAGGGAGCTGAGCAGGGAGGAAGGTTACAACTCCCTTGCGCGCCTGCCGGTCTGCTTCAATCATCCAGGAGCCTCCCGCTCGTGCACACACCTCACGTTCTCCACCAGCTGGCCGGCCGACCACCCGCAAATGCTCTCCCTTTAGCCGGATGGCCGCCTGCCTCCACTCATAGGCAGCTGACCACCTCAGGGGCTGAGTAGGCTAACAAATCCCAGACGCCAAGTTTAAAATCCTAGTCGCCGTGGTGACCTGGCGCATGGGATTTGTTGAGCCCTGATATGTTATGTCTGGGCCAACTGCCCAAATTCATTGTTTATTGTAATACCAGTGTTGTTTCAGTGGAGCACACATTGACATTAATTACAATGTTATTTATAAAAAATAGTGTAAAGGGGTGCAACATGAAAATGGGAAGTGTCAAATGCAGTGTATTGGCTGGTTTCTATGGTGACTAGCCAATTTGCGGTACATTAGTCCAATTTTTAGAAATGTTCTTCTAAACTCGCCTTCTATCGGGACATTTCACGCCATACCACTTTATGGAGGCAATCATTCTGGTGGAGAAAGGCTGCAACGACCTACCCTCACCTTTCAGAGGTACCTTCGCTGCTCTGGGATTCGGGGTTACTGGCGGGTCTATCCCGACAGTGAATCTGTGGACTGAATTACACTATTTGTGCTGGGAATAGAAGCTTTGACATCTAGCGACCTACCACCAAGAACAGCACTCTTGTTTAGCATTTATCATATGTGTGCTCCCTATACGTTTGTTTGGTTTTACTGTTTTAACCCCTTAAGGACACAGCTTTAAAGGGACACTATAGTCATCCAGACCACTTCAGCTCAATGAAGTGGTGTGGGTGCCAGGTCCCCCAGGTTTTAACACTTCACGTGTAAACATAGCAGTTTCAGAGAAACTGCTATGTTTACATTGCAGTGATAATCCAGCCTCTAGTGGCTGTCTTCTTGACAGCCGCTATAGGCACTTCTGCGACGCTGGAATGCGAAAATCTAATTCAACGTGCAGAACGTCCATAGGAAAGCATTGAATTCTTCCTGTCTGCTGTATTCAAAATAGGGACTATTTGTCTTATGGAGGTTTCCTACACTTGACCAGCCTAGGAGCAAAGTGTGCTTCATTTCTGGTCAGGCAATTTCCCCACAATTCTCACCTTTCCTCCGTGATGTTGCGATGCTTCCTGTCAGTATTCCCGAACATCCTGTCATTTAGACAGAACGCCAACGAAACTACCGAATTTTGTCCTAACAGAATGAGAACAGTTTGTTCATTTGTTAGGATGCATTCGGGACTTTGTTCGTATCGGAATTTCACTCATATGAATCAAACTCCGATCCTATGTGTGCCCTGAATGAAAATGGTGGGGGGAGAGAGACCTGTTCCCGGCCCCCACCCATCAGCAGCGGGTGGGGGCCCTAAATGAAAATACAGTATAGCGAGTAGGGGAAGAATTTACTAATACTAAGTAATCTTTACTTGGTATTGGTAAATTTGGCTGAAAGACAAATTTAGGTCTTTTAGCCTTTTGGTAGATAGCTCCCTGATACTGTGGGAATTAGGGAGTTATCTACTAAGCGGCTGCAAGATGCAGCTGCGCCACAAATAGGATCGTAGTTTCATTCCTATGAATGAAATTCCGATACGAACGAAGGCCCGAATTGCGTCCTAACATGAATGGAGAAACTGTTCTCATTCTGTTAGGACGAAATGTAGGAGTTTCGTGATAGGATGTTTGGGAATAGTGACAGGAAGCATCGCGAGATCACAGAGGAAAAATAAGAATTGTGGGAAAATTTCTCTAACAGGAAACAGAGCACACTTTGTTCCTCTACTGGTCAAGCGTAGGAAACCTCCATAAGACAAAGTAGATAATTTTTTTTCACTTGGCTTTTTGTGGTCATGAACGTGCCTTGTACTTTTAGAATTAAAGTACCAATGGTTGACAGTCTTTGCAGGATCAAACTCCTTCACAGATGGACAATTCATGTTGATCATTAACAAATCACCTAAACTTTCTTACTGCATTGATGATCTGAACTTATTTTTTACAAAGTTCATTAAATTGAACCCTCTTTCACAACATGCGCTTGAGACTTGCTACACAGACACTATAGACAGCAAGTTTCCCAAAACTGGAACTCTGTCTGTGTTGGAGAGTGCCAAATCCAGAAGATCACTCAGTTTCTTCCCTTTGCCAAGGACTTTAAATTCATACCACTCATTGTGAATTGTATGCATACATTTGTCATGCATTTCAGGCAGTGAAAGTTGTTTCTGGAAATGATGAGCCAATGCTATAATGTCATCAACCCCATAGTCTTGTGATGCTGCTCCCGATGGCCCGGCAAAGGTATCAAACACTGCTGTGGAACGTTCAATATTCCACGGAGTCAGAAATCGCTCTTCCAGGTATTTAACACCATGCTCAATCAATTTTTTTCATGTTGGATCGAAGAAGTTGCAGTATGGCTGAATCTATGCAACTGTATTTTTTTGATACAGTCCTTTAAGTGATGTTCCACTGATAAATCTCTCCTCATGCTGTTTTGGCACATCTTTGAGTGAGTTTAACGATGAAAGTGTTTTTTTCACATGCAACTCAATTGTGCTTAAGAAAACCTCTTCCCTTTGAAATAAAAGGGAACATTTCTTAATTTCAAGGCAGTCAATCAGAAAATGGAGCAAATGAACAAATTTAAAATCGGCTAGTTTCTCTAACAAACCATGTGGAACTGCAGAAGCACTGTCTTGTTCTGCAGCAACACTTTCAAGGTGGACTGTCACATATTTCCAGTAATTGACAAGTGCAGAGAGAGCACTGACTTTGCTTGATACCCATCTTATGTTATGTAAGAACTGAAATTTCAGGATTTTTGTCTGAAAACTATCCGCCACCTGCTTCAACTGCCGCATTCTCTTGGGTGAATACTGGTAAAATCGGTACAGGTTCTTTAAAACAGAGTCGAGGTCATCAATGCACTTTCCGTCTTTCACAGAGCTTAATACACTTAGTCATTCACTGTGTTGCACACAGATTAAATTTATTACATGTGTGACTTTGCCGTACTTTCTGTACCAGTCCATTTTCAGATCCAATCATGCTGGCAGCACCATCTGTACCAAGTCCAATCAGCTTGCTTGAAGAAAGCCAGTCTAAGAGGCTGTGTGTTATCAGGTGTTTAGTGATGGTTTCTAAGTACCGATCTGCAGTAGCCATTTCAAGAGGTAGGACTGATAGAAATACTTCTTTAATCTTCTTGTTCTTGGCGTACCTGACATACAATATTAACTCTTCGACGCCTCCTTTATCAGTTGATCCATCTAGCATCAAACTGACATATTTCGCCTTCTTTAGCTCGCAGATGAGTTCTTTCCTCGTTACATTTGCAATATGTGAGATTAATTACTTGCATCTCTTGTCATTTGCATACTCCTCTCACAGCAATCCCTAGTTTCCCAGTCAGCTCTAGCAAACCATCAAAAGCTGTATATGGCCTGTTGTTTTTTTCAATATAATAAGCCGTTCATGTGGTTGAATATCCCTTGATCCATTTCCTTAAAGCATGCAGCCAATGGCGTAGCTTCTGGAGCCAACAGAGCATGTTTTGCCTTTACACATTTTTCATGCTGGAGAGACTTCCCATGTTTTTTGAAGGTCTCCAGTTTCAATGGTCCTGAAAACCCTTTCACACACTTAAATGCTTGGTCAGCAATCCCAGGGAAGGAAGCACAGATCTCACATATGGCTATTGGTCAAATTTTAGCCAGGTGAGTTCCTTGCACCAATTTAGCCACGTGAGTTCCTTGCCCGGCAGCTAGCTGTTACCTTCCCTTCAGTTCCCATGTCAAATCTCGTGAGTCCCGCGGCCTCACAGCGGTGCCACGTATTACCACGGCAATGCTGCGCTCGGCACACAGACCGCGAGAGTTAGACTGGGAAACTGCCTGGAGGTAACAGCTTGCTGCTGCCCACCCCACCCCACCCTTCCCCCACTGTACAGCACATGCCACTGGACCACCAGGGAATGCCATAGCCCCCCTCCGTGGCCAGGCAAAAAGAAGGGAGGGGGGACAAAAAAAAAAAAATATATTGCAGATAAAAAATAAAACCTATGAATATTAAAAATACAATTAGAAAAAAAAAATGCCTCCCCCCCCATTTTACACAAATTACATCCCTTCACACACACGCATTATATACACAAACTATCTATACAAACACACACACTATATACACAAACTATACACACACACACACACACACACACACACAATGCACAAACTATACAAACACACACTATATACACAAACTGTGAATATAGTGTTTGTATAGTTTGTGTATATAGTGTGTGTTTGTATAGTTTGTGAATATAGTGTGTGTGTTTGTATAAACTATACAAACACACACACACACTATATACACAAACTATACAAACACACACACACTATGCACAAACTATACAAACACACACACACACACTATATACACAAACTATACAAACACACACACTATATACACAATCTACACAAACACACACACACTATATACACAAACTATACACACACTATATACACAAACTATACACACACACACTATATACACAAACTATACAAACACACACACTATATACACAAACTATACAAACACACACACTATATACACAAACTATACAAACACACACACTATATACACAAACTATACAAACACACACACTATATACACAAACTATACAAACACACACTATATACACAAACTATACAAACACACACACACTATATACACAAACTATACAAACACACACACACTATATACACAATCTATACAAACACACACTATATGGCGCCACCGGGCCGACAGGCAGCCACGAGATTCAGCTCCAGACCCGAGCACATGAAAGTGGCCAAAAATGCAGGTTCAGAGCGCCCCAACGCCGACATACTCACAAGCATGGTGGAGAGCATAACCCCAGCTACTGTGGGATACCCGCGGGTCCCCAACGGCAATCCGGGAAGGGGAGATACCGACATCCCCGGCCTACACGCTGCTGGGAGCCTAGATGCAGGTAGCATGAGAGTGGGACCGATGAAGCGGGGATACCCTATTGTGGATGCCCGCAGCGTGAGACTGAGAGTGCACTTACAGTGCTTACCGGCGGTGCGGCCCCGCTCCCCCCCCCCTTTTTGGCCGGCGGGGGTTATCCCGGCCGCATGGCGACGGCCCTCCAGACGACGGGAGCCCCGTGCTGGATCTCAACCGTTCGCCCACACTGGCACAGGCTGTCAGGAGAACAGCCCGCCAGGAGACCTGAGCAGATGGAGATAGAAACAGAGGCGGAGAAGATTGGTAGTGAACAGGGGGACATCCACCGCTTACACCTCTGGCCCAGCATATACCACGGGCCTACTTCCTCGCAGACGCTGACACCAGCAAGCAGGATCAAGGAGGCAGCAGATCTCAACAGAGGGGTCCTGCCCTCGCCTCCTTTTCCAGGACTAGCTAAAATGCACCTTTGAATGACCAAAGATGGAGTAAGAATGATAAATACTCACCAAGAGGAGCGGATCAGGACGGCTCGTGAGGACTTTGGCACTACAGACCGCCAGCTGGGTCCCCCGCACTGACTGCCCGCTGGAGAGGTGGGTGCCCTTGCTACTGGGTCGGGGGTCCCCGGAAAGCATTGTCCCTGATGCTGAGAGCCCTGTGGGGCAGGTCTTCGCAGTCCGTCCGGCGGACCGGTGGCCGGGAGGAATGTGAGCCGGTCCCAAGTATGTGGCCGGCACCGGGAGAGACATGGGGGCACTCGTTTCACTGAGTTCTGGGTGGTGATGGGGAGGTGCAGGGAGTGGACTGCCCGCGGACTCAAGGTGTGGGGGTCAAGTGGACAGCTTCTACTCCTGAGTGCCCACAGCGCCACGGGGGGCTCTGACAGTGGGCGGGAGCCGGTCTGGGGAGGGCGGCTGGAGGCTTGGCGACCTAAGAGACGTACTGCAGCTCTGCCGAGTGAGGCCCTCATCAGACTTCTTCCAAGACCAGTATTAGTCTCTTAATGTCATCATTTTTATATTTTATGCACCCATCTTTATTGCATACATAGTTTATAATTTACTAGGCGCTGATACAACGCCAATAGCTGCGACCGCACACTGCCTGACCAAAATATCATATCTGCTATGAGTGCTTAAAACAACAATACGCAGCTATGACAATGCGTTAGACAGCACTACTATATACCTTTTGTTAGCTTGCTAGTTACACAGGTTTAGGCCTACCTAGACGCAGTTGAATTAAGTACCAAACTGATACACCCAAGGTGCTGCGGTATACCTTGGTAACCATACTAGCTTACCAAGGGACAGCGGCATATCTTCTCTACATATACGATTAATCCAGCAGCACACTTTATTTTCTGCCCAGATAGGCATAATTTAAATAAGTGGTAACATACAGAGATTGCAGCAGACCAACAGGCTCAGGCCTGGCTAGACGCGGTCAAACTGCACCCACCTCAGTTTTATTAAATCGACTTACGCGGTCTGACCGTCATGTCACGCTAGCAGTGTCGGCCTCATGCAGCTGCGTGGGATCATGCTCAGCCACCGCGGGAGCCGAATAGGTGCATAAGACGCATAAACCGCTGTTATAAGGTAAATGACCACGAAGCTTAACATTCAAGTGAAGTCAGCCTGGTGTGTAGCATTGGCTCAGTACTTGCAGTTTAGAATCAATACCATTAAATACACGTAACATATGCTTATATACTTAAATTTTTTCGCCCTACCAGGCACAGACTGTGCGAATTTGTTCCATATTATGCTTGATGGTAAATGCCTCTGATATACGTTAAATATGATTTGCTTACCTCCCCTGCGTGGGATGACCGCTGATCCAACATTACAACTCTCACAACATGAGCCAAACTGTTAGGCCAGAGGGTAAAAGTAATTCAAGTTCACCATACTGCTGTATACTTTACCTGAATATTTAGATAATGTTTCATATTAGCAGATAATCCATAGAATCAATACCGTTAAATACACGTAACATATGCTTATATACCTAAACTTTTCCGCCCTACCAGGCACCGACTGTTTGAATTTGATTCATACTATGCTTGATGGTAAATGCCTCTGACATCTGTTAGATAAGATTTGCTCACCTCCCCTGCGTGGGATGGCCGCTTATCCAACATCGCAACTCTCACAACATGTGCCAAACTATTAGGCCAGAGGGCAAGAGTAATTCAAGCTCAACATACTGCTGTATACTTTATTTGAATATTTAGATAATGCCTCATGTTAGCAGATAATTCATAGAATCAATATCGTTAAATATACGTAACATATGCTTATATACTTAAACTTTTCCGCCCTACCAGGCACCGACTGTTTTGAATTTGATCCATACTATGCTTGATGGTTAATGCCTTTGACATATGTTAACTATGATTTGCTTACCTCCCCTGCGTGGGATGACCGCTTATTGAATGAACCAATAAAACAGATTTAAAACAAACACACACTATATACACAAACTATACACACACACTATATACACAAACTATACACACACACACTATATACACAAACTATACAACACACACACTATATACACAAACTATACACACACACACTATATTCACAAACTATACACACACACACTATATACACAAACTATACACACACACACTATATACACAAACTATACACACACACTATATACACAAACTATACACACACACACACACTATATACACAAACTATACACACACACACTATATACACAAACTATACACACACACACACACACACACTATACACACACACACACACACTATACACACACACACACACACTATACACACACACACACACACTATACACACACAGTGCATTCATTATATACACAAACTACACAAAACACTCACTGCATTCACTATACACACTACACACACACACAGCTTCCCTGTCTAAACACACTGTCTAAACACACTGCATCCACTACATGTGGCATGTATATTTTGTGCATTTACCGTTAGAAATTATTATTTTTTTAAATGGTAAATGTACAGAATATCGGTAAGCTATCGGCCTGAAAGTTCACAGATTATCGGTATCGGCTCTAAAAAATCAATATCGGTCGATCCCTAATCATTCAAATATATTGTCAAATTTTAAGTAGCTAATCCCCTTTTATATGGAAATTACTTGGCTGAGATCATCAGAATTGACAATTTTAGCCAATCTGATGCTTTCCTATAGAAAAACTTCTGATGTCAGCCAAGGAGGCAGGTCAGGGGCAGAGCCAGCACCAGTAGACTGGAATAAAGGTAAGATTGAACTATATTTTGACTAGATAGTGGTTTAAAAACCATAGGGTCAGGAAAAAAATTGTGTTCCTGACCTTATGGTGTTTAAGATATTTTCAGTAACTCATATGTTCTTAAAATTCCCATCTTGCTTTGAAAATGTGATTCCTAGAAAAGTTCCAATATGAACCAAGGCAGAATAAATGCTCATTTGATATGTACAATAGCGCAGCTATGATGTCCAGCGTCAAATAAGGAAGCTCTCTAATGGCTGGCTGGTAGACTGCCACAGTAGGCAGACTTAAAGCTGCAATGTAAAAAATTTAAAAATCTGCAGAAGTAGCTGCTCTAAAAAACCCTGTCGTCAAGAAGGCTGAGACCTCTTGTATACGATCTTTCCAGACTGCTGGGTTTCGGTATGGGTCTTTTCTGGCAGGTGCCGCGGTGTCCCAAAAACATATAACTTTGTTTACAATCGTTAATGGAGGTTTTTTTTAAGTCTCCTGATAAGCAGCTCGTCAGCTTTCTGTTTTATTGTGATTGTCACATACTTTATATGGATTTGACGATGACAGCCAAGATCATGGGTTGATCTGCAGTTTCCCTTATATCCTGGTGGCTTAAGCTTGGACGGCAGTACAGCGTCCTATTCGGTCCCCTGTTTACTCCGATTAGGAAAAGGGATATCTTTTATAATGTCAAAAAAGGAAAAAAAGCTCTGCCTCAAGACAAGTAGAACTAGGTCCGACATGGGTAGGCGTTTTGGATGCCAAGAAACTTGGAGGCGTAATCCTGCATTTCTATACTAAGTGTGGACAGCTCAGTGGGTTTAGACCTTGTTCAACCCTTGGGGTTCGCAGGTTTTTCCCCTGCAGGGCTAACTCAGTACTTCATCCTTTTGAGGTAGATGGCTGGAGTACCATTTAAAGGAACACTATAGTCACCTAAATTACTTTAGCTAAATAAAGCAGTTTTAGTGTATAGATCATTCCCCTGCAATTTCACTGCTCAATTCACTGACATTTAGGAGTTAAATCACTTTGTTTCTGTTTATGCAGCCCTAGCCACACCACCTCTGGCTATGATTGGCAGAGCCTGCATGGAAAAAAAATCTGGGTTCACTTTAAAACAGATGCAATTTACCTTAAATAATTGTATCTCAATCTCTAAATTGAACTTTTAATCACATACAGGAGGGTCTTGCTGGGTCTAGCAATCTATTAACATAGCAGGGGATAAACAAATCTTAATTAAACAGAACTTGCAATAAAGAAAGCTTAAATAGGGCTCTCTTTACAGGAAGTGTTTATGGAAGGCTGTGCAAGTCACATGCAGGGAGGTGTGACTAGGGTTCATAAACAAAGGGATTAAACTCCTAAATGGCAGAGGATTGAGCAGTGAGGCCGCAGGGGCATGTTCTATACACCAAAACGGCTTAGTTAAGCTAAAGTTGTTCAGGTGACTATAGTGTCCCTTTAATGGAGTCACTTAACATACCCAGGTTGCATTTTGGAACCAGTATATATCTGAATGTTTCTTGACTGGCTTTTAAGTAGAACCTACTTGCAATCACTGGTTTCTTGATCTAGTTAAAGAGGGCACTGCTGATGGACGCCAAGTTTTTTCCGACAAGTCTGTCCTTTCAACATATAGAAGGAGTCATTTTCACCACAGAATGCATCTAAAACACTTGTCTAAATTCTCTAATGTGCCAGCGTTCTTCGTCTTAAGAAAAATAGTCCACTAGTTTCAGAGCTCTTAAGGCAGTTCTTCACTCCCCTCACCGATTCAGATCTTCGTTGATTGAGGGACCTATTGCAATGTGGTCAGACAACGACAACAGACAGGGTGGTGCCAGAGGCAAGGTCTGTTTCAGCTATGTACCAAAACGGTGTACTGGGCTCAGGATCTCTGGGAAGTCCTCTCTCCATTCAACTCATGATGTGTCGACAATGTCATCACCTACAACCTCAGCAAAAGAAATTGGGATAAAGAGTAATGGTCTATAGATCTGATCATGTTCACGGTCTACAGAGAGATTTGGAGTGCCCGGAAAGACCTTATGGCAAAGAGGGAGAACCTGAAGATTCTCAGGTTTGCCTCTCTGTACAGGACAGTTCACGTTGAATAGTTAGTCTATCTATCTAAGAGTATTTCTCCGGGCTTACATTTTTTTTTCTCCTATAGACTGCTCCCAGGACTACTTCAAAGAGGTGAACAGACAGAGCAGTGGTTCTGCCAGTCTTTTCGTACTGGCCAAACACAAGCCAGTTTTCAGCCTTGGTGGAGATGGCTTTCAAGTTTGGAGATCTTCCGATCTCTAAAACACTTTGGGAAGACAGGATATCCTGCTGGAAGTGTTGAATAGGTTCTTATTGATGGTAGAGCAACTGCTTGGTGGATCTTTCATCTCTTGAGTCTTCATGAGTCAGAGTCCACTTGTTGCGTATAATCTTCTAGTCGTTCTGCCTCTAACTTTACACAAAGATTTGGGTAGAGTTTCTACATTTTTGTAAGGAACGTCATTGTCTTCTAGTTCATTTGTCCGGGTGGTTACACTTTCTGCAGGAGATTTCCACAGGTTGGGTGTTTTCATGTTAAGAACAAATTGTATTCTGTAAGCTTTCTGAGAAGGGATTGGTCTTCGTAGTTATTGGTTAGAAGTTTCTTTAAATCAAAAGGCTTCGTAGGCCAACCAGGAAGTTCTGTTTCCCTCCTTGGATCTTTCTTCAGTCTTTCAGGTCCCCTTTTACTTTGGAGGTGGTTCCTTTTAATATGCTAAAGCTTAACCAGCATTCTTAGTTGCCATTCCTCTACCAAGAGAGTAAGCAAGCTTCAGTGGAATTTCTTATATTCTATCAAGGTGAAAGTTGTGTTTCATCTTAACACTTCAATTCTTCCAGAGTTATCTTTTAGAGCCGTAATTGGCTCAGCCTTCTATAATTATGCCACCTGCCCGCTGGAACTAGATGGCATATTCAAAGGGCATTTCAGATGTACCTATTCATATCAGCTGAATTCAGAAGATCAGACCACCTGTTGTCAACCTCTAAGGAATTTTAAGAGGAATGTAGCCTCTCATAATTCTATTTCTTGTTATTTCGTTCGTCATAATGGCCTTTGCTTCAGTAGTTTTGATTCGCCAGCGTCTTTCACAGCTCATTCCACAAAGGCAATGGCCACTTCGTGGGCAGAGAAAAGCTCCTGCTTCACCCGAAGAAATCAGCATGGCTGCTTCTTGGACACCTTTTAGCACCTTAAAAAAACGTCAGGCATTTTCAGGCTAGATGTACTCTGACTCTAAAATTGCGTTAGGGTGTAGGTAATAGAAAGCTGTTTAGGCATAAGGCCCACCCGATTGGGAATCTTTCTTGCTATATCCCATACGTAATTTATTATTTTCTTAATATTGTGGCAGTACAAATCTCCCTCCCTCTAAATTACAATTTTGCTTACAGTGTGTGGCTTAGGTGTTTGTTCTTGCTATGACTGAGGTGGGTTTGCCGGGGGAAGCCCTTTATAGGTTAAAGGGGAGGGACTTTTTTCCTCACAATTTACAAGTGGCCAATAAATGTTTTCATTTAAAAAAAAACACTGTAAAATTAAAACACACTATATATATAAATCAATAATGTATACTTTGATATGAAAAAGAAAAGCATCCTAAATAACTGCTTATGTCATTAATTTCATCAATGCCAAAAGTTCTTTATTTTTCATCTCCTAATTACCTTGATTACCTATTTCCAGTCATCTCCACTAGTCACCAACCCCTCCCCTAAGGAGTGAGAGCAGCCAGCGGGGAGGATAAAAATGGCAATCACCACCTACAATAATTATTCCCTTCCCTGAAATAAAAGGGGAAGGATGGCAAGGGGAGCATTCCCCACCTACAGTGAGGAAAGAAGAGGGGAAAAAAGGGTATAATTTCTCTCCCTCTCCCCGTTGAATCAGCGCTTTTTCCACCACCGTTGTTACAAAACCTCCCCTTGGGTCGAAATTATAGTACCCAAACAATTCCTATTATTTGAACTATTCTAAAACTTTTCTCAAGATTCCAATCTCTTTGTGTTCTTCCCTTATTGTCCCCCTGTAAATTAAGTTTTCTATTTTTTTTTTTTTTTATATATTATTAATTTTACCATACCATTCTTTAACTGTGGATTTTTTTTTTATCTGTTTCCAATGAAGTGGGATAAGTTCTTTTGCTGCAATTATTAAGATTCCCAAAGAAATCCTTGCCCCATGAAATTGGGGGTCCACTACCACCTTTAAAATATTTTCTACCTTTTTCCAGAAAGATTGAATTTTCGGGCATAGCCACCATAAATGTAGCAGGTCTCCCACTGAATTTGAACAGTCAGTGTTTTTTTGAGAGTACTGGGAAATACCTATGCATATCGGCGGAGGTTCTATACCATCTAGATATAATTTTATATCCGAGCTCTTGATATTTATTTGCTATAAAACAGTTTTTATTTAACTTAAAAATTCTACTTCAGTCCTGACGGGATATGGTAATTCCCAGGTCTTTTTCCCATAACCTTGTAAAATATGGGAGATTTCCCCGTCTTTTCCCATAATAATTTAGATATTAAATGTGGTATACGTTCCTTCGTCTCACTTAATAACCCAAAACTATTAAAATTATGCGGGATCTCGTGTTTCTTCCTAAGTGACTGGTAAAAATGATGCAATTGTAAATAAGCAAATGGTGTCCTCACAAATTTTTATTTATTGGATTTGATTTTTCCTCCCGGGTGGAAAGTCTGGATTGTGAGAGATGGGGAAGAGGAGACTTGGGAATTTACTAATAGCGATTCATTGATTCAGTTCATCTATGAGGAGGTATATGTACGGTTTTCTGATGTATCTAATAACCTGATTAAAGTCTCCTGCACCGATAACGATCTCTTCTTGAAACTGCCTGAGTTTGGTTTGATTGCTTTGTATTTGGGGCAATGAAATTAGGGATCGACCAATATTGATTTTTTTAAGATGCCGGGAATCTGTGAACTTTCAGGCCGATAGCTTACCAATATTCTGTACATTTACCATATATTTTTATTGGTTGCAAATGTTCAGATTTTTTTTTTGTTTTTTTTTGTGATCAATGCACAAAATATACATGCCAATCAGATATTTTTGTTTTTCAAGAATATTTGTGTGTGTGTGTGTGTGTGTAGTGGATGCAGTGAGAGTATTTGATTAGTAAATGCAGTGTGTGTTTGTGTAGTGGATGCAGTGTGTGTGTTTGTGTCGTGTACACAGTGTGGGTAGTGGATTCAGTGTGTTGGTGTGTAAATAAGTGTGGTAGGAACCCACCCCTTACATGTATCCTAGTGCGCCCCCCATTCCCCTTAATGTTCTTCTCGCTTCTTTTAGTGGTCCCCTCCCCACCCCAGTGGTCCTTTTCCCTTCCCTCCCCTGTACCTTGGTGTCCTCCTTTAATGTTCCTCTCTCTCCCCTAGTGTTCTTCACTCCCTCCCCGTCCCATATTGTTCTTCACCCCCCTTCCCTGTCCCATAGTGTTCTTCACTCCCTTCCCTGTCCCATAGTGTTCTTCACTCCCTTCCCTGTCCCATATTGCTCTTAACCCCCCTTCCCTGTCCCATATTGCTCTTCACCCCCCCCCCTTCCCTGTCCCATAGTGTTCTTCACCCCCTTCCTGTCCATAGTGTTCTTCACCCCGTCCCATTGTTCTTCACCCCTTCCCTGTCCCATAGTGTTCTTCACCCCCCTCCCTTTCACATAGTGTCTTTGTGCCCACCTCCTGCCGGTCACTCCGATCTAGCGCCCCCAGTCCAGTGCGCCCTAAGGCAGCAGCTTGTGCCCTCTTATTGACGTGCCGGCCCACCCATTCATTATCGGTATCGCTTATTGGTTCTTAATTCAGCCATAAATCTATAGAAAGACATTTTTCCAAGCCTTCTTGGCATACCTTGTGGGAGTGTGTGCCTTAGCTAGCCCCTAGCTCTGGTGTCCAAGCTTTTTATATTTCTCTCTTTCCACCAGTCACTCTTTTTTTTCTCTCCCTTTCCTTCCCTTCATTTTCCTATCCCATTTCCTTTCTTTAATTTTCTTTCTCCTTCCCCATCCCTTTTATCTCTTTTTCTTCTTTTCCTCCCCCCTTCTCGCTTTCCTTCCTCCTTAAACCTTCCACCCCGCCTATACCAAATCTATTTTTGAACCCTGATATCCACCAAAAGAAAAACAGTGTGTGTGTGTGTAACCCATAGCATACTTAGATTACTTCAGCTTGCTATAAGGATTCATATAGCCAAAATGTGCTACCTACAATTCTCTCTAGATTATAGATCAGCACCAAAAGAAAAACATACATATGCATACATACACACACGCATACACATTACAAATACACACACACACACACACACACACACACACACACTCACTCTCTCTCTCTCTCTCTCTCTGAAAATACTGGCACTCAAGGTTTTCCAGAAGATAACTTCTCCATTTATTGCGGAAAAAAATTCGACGTTTCAGCTCAGTGTCCTGATGAAAGCTCCCCAGTGGAGCTGAAACGGCAATTTTTTTTTCCCGCAATAAATGGAGAAGTTATCTTCTGGAAAACCTTGAGCGCCGGTATTTTCACTTTGTTTATGATTAAGCCACCAGAGCACCAGGTACTATTTTTTTTTTTTTTTTATAAATTCTTTATTTTTCAGGTTTAGGTGAGGTAAAGGATACAGAATAAAGGTAGGGGTAGGGTAGTAGTGTCATTCAATGGCTTTACAGTTTTGTTTCGACTCAATGGCATTGGTACGATTTATTGCGAAACCTCAGAACAGTCTTCTAGGTTAAGTGGTACAGTTTTCTATGTCTCAGGTGGAGGTTGTCACTTGGCTTCGGGTCCTGTCGTTTTTGTCTCTGAGAGCGTATGTGGCTCTTCCTGTGTTGTGTTTGTCAGGTTTTGTCTCTTTCGTTTCTGTTTGGGTCTGGGGTTTGGGTTGGTGTGTCTGTTTTGAGTGCGGGTAGGGTCCGTGTGGGAGTTTGGTGGTCTCCGCCCATGGGTGGTCGCCTCATATAGGCTGTAGATGTGGAGGGTTTCCAGTGTGATGAGATCTGGGTCTACGCCTAGTGTCTGAGGTTGTCCTCTTATATTCGCATCTACTGCTGGTGGTCAGGTTGTGCGGAGTGTGGTATTTTGTTAAATGTTGGGCGAGTTCCCCAGTCTTGTGTTTGTGCATTGAATCGTGAAGTTGGTGTGGGGGGGGGGGTATGTGTATAGGGTTGGGGGGGTCTATGTGGGGTCCCAGTGTGTTATTAGTAGGGGGTCTGGTTTTGGGGTGGGGAGGGATCGCGGCTTGTTCCCGGGTCCTCCGCTTACGGTGCCTGTAGGTGGTGTTGGGTCCATGGGTCCCATATCTTGTGGAAGTTTCGAGTTGTGTCGTGTAGTAGGGCGGACAGTTTGTCCATTTCCATTGTTTCTTGTGTTTTGTGGATCATCGTGGTTAGTTGGGGTGTATTCTGATTGCCCCATTGTTCTGCTATTGTTCTTCTGGTAGCTAACGCTAATCTGGCCACTAGTTTATTTTGCGCTCTGGTGAGGGGGGGGTGGGGTTTTGAGAGCAGCCATATCCAGGGGTCTCTTGGGATATCTGTTTCTAATATGTCTGACGCGAGCGTGCTCACTCTTTCCCATATTTGTAGGACTTGGGGACATTCCCACCAGAGGTGAATGTAAGTGCCCTTCTGTGTGCAGCCTTTCCAGCAGGTGTCTGTGGTGGCGAGGCCCATTTGTTTCAGTCTGAGCGGTGTGAGGTACCATCTGAGTAGGGTTTTATAGGCTTGTTCTTTATGATTAACGCAAATGGTAAGTGAGGCCGTGGCTTCCCATATGTCTGCCCAGTCTGTAGGGTCTGCGGGGGGGGCCTATATCTCTTTCCCAGGCCTTGGTGTAGGAGAGTGCGTCCTCTGGGGAGTTTGAGTTTAGGAGTGAGTATATTTTTGTGATTTGTCCTTTCTGTATGGGTGCGTGGAGGCATGTATTTTCGAATTGTGTTGGTTTGGTAGTGGCGGCCGTCCTATTTTGTGGTTCGTTGAGAAAGCTGCGAATCTGTATGTAGCGGAAGTGATCGAATGTGGTCAGGGGTGTTTGTTTGGGGAGGTCCTGGAAGGGGCAGAGTTGTTGGCCTTGGAAAAAGTGTAGGAATCGTAATAGTCCATTGTCCTCAAATCGTGAGAAGTCTTTGGGAGTTAGGCCCGGGGGAAATTGCTTGTTTCTTAGGATAGGTGTGAGGGGCGATGGGTTGTTGATTATGGGATGTTTTGATGTGATGTCGTCCCAAATGAGAAAAGATGTGGTTAATGTAGGGGTGGTTAGTGGCGTGGGTGGTCTGTCCTTCTTGGGCAGCCAAAAAAGTAGTGATGGGTGGTCTCGTCCCAGGAGATCGTGCTCTAGGTCTACCCAGAGCTTGAATCCTGGTGGTGCGTGCAGTTGTTGTATTTGGGCCAGTTGGGCCGCTTGGTAGTAATGGTAGAAGTTCGGGAGGCCCAGGCCTCCTGATTTTGTGGTTTTGTACATTGTGGATCTTTTTATGCGCGGTCTCCTGTTTGACCAGATAAATCTGTCTATGTGTACCTGGAGCGTTTTAAAGTCGTGTTTGGAAATGGGTATTGGTAGTGTTTGGAAGAGATAGAGGAATCGGGGGAGGAGATTCATTTTTATTGAGGCTATGCGTCCTATCCAGGATATGGACATAGGTCCCCATTTTTGCAGATCTAATTGTGCTTGGTGGAGTAGTGGTGTGTAGTTCAGGGCATATAATGTGTTCAGGTCTGCTGGGAGATATGTTCCTAGGTATCGTATATTGCTTAGGTTGTATTTGAATGGGTGGGTTAGTTGTAGTTGTTCCAGGGTGTGTTGTGGTATTGCTATCGGAAGGGCCTCTGTTTTCTCCAGGTTTAGTTTGTATCCCGAGAGGGTTGCGTATTGTTGTAGGAGTGTTAGTAGGGGTGGTAAAGATTGGATGGGGTCTGAGAGTGTGAGGAGGATGTCGTCAGCATATGCCGCTATTTTGTATTCTTCTGATCTTATCTTAATGCCCTGTATTGTCTGATCATTTCGTATGTTTTGGAGAAGAGGTTCAAGCGAAAGGGCAAATAAGAGTGGTGAGAGTGGGCAGCCTTGCCTCGTCCCGTTTTTGATTACAAATTCTGGGTGTTTAGTATTGGGGATAAGAAGTGTGGCCGTGGGCTGGTCATAGAGGGCTTTCAGGGCGTCTAGAATGGTGGTCGGGAATTTGAATTTCTGGAGGGTGGCAAACAGGAATGGCCAGAGCAATCGGTCAAATGCTTTTTCAGCATCCATTGATAAGAGGAGGGTAGGGGACTGTCTTTTGTGTGTTACCCAGATCAAGTCAATTGTTCGTCTCGTGTTGTCTGCTGCCTGTCTTGTGGGGATGAAGCCTACCTGGTCAGGGTGGATTAATTTCGGTAGGAGTAGTTGGATCCGGTTGGCTAGGGTTTTGGTGATTATTTTAGTGTCTACGTTGAGTAGAGAGATGGGTCTAAAGTGGCCTGGGTCGAGATGTGTTTTGTCCGGTTTTGGGATGAGGCAGATGTTCGTTCTGAGCATTTCTTTGGGGAGTGGGTTTCCTTGGAGGAGTGAGTTCCCTAGAGCTGTGAGGTGCGGTATTAGTGTGCTTGCGTATGTCTTATAATAAAGACCTGTGAATCCGTCCGGTCCTGGGCTTTTGTTGGGTTTAATGGTTTTTAGTGTGTTTGCCATTTCCTCCGTCGTGATAGGGGCAGACAGTCTTTCTATCTCCGTATTCGTTAGTGATGGGAGAGGAGTGTTCCGGAGGTATGTCTCGATGTCATGTGTTAGAGTTGGCGATGGATCGGGGTTGTGATTATAAAGTGTTGTGAAGTATTGGGAGAAAATCCTCGCTATACTATCCGGGCTTTCGTGTGTGCTTCCTCTCGGGGAGTTTATTTTAGTAATGCGTTTATTGTGTGTTTTTTGGCGTAGTTTACGGGCTAAGAGGGTGTCTGCCTTGTTTGATTTTTCGTAAAAGAGCTGTTTACTCCATTGGAGGGCTCTTTGTGAATCTTTGGCCATGTAGGATTTGATGGCTTGTTGGTGGATTTTGATCTGTGTTAAGATCGGTGGGGTTGGGTGTTGTTTGTGTTGAATCTCTAGGGCTCTCAGCGAGAGGAGGTGGTCCTTCAGTTCCTGCAATTTTTGCTTTTTGTGTTTTGTGGCCTCCGCTATTAGTTTGCCCCTTATGGTCGCTTTGTGTGCTGCCCATAATATGCCTGTGGATTCTACTGAGTCCTTGTTGAGTTGGAAATACTCTGTGAGTGTCGTTTGGGTGGACGCCCTTATTTCAGGGATGTGTAGGAGTGTTGGGTTTAATCGCCATGACCATGTTCTAGCTGTTTGTGGAATTGAGAGTGTTAGGGTTATCTCTGCGTGGTCGGACCACGTGATCGTGCCTATAGATGTTGTAATGTCTTGGGTTAGGAGGGACGGGGATATCAGGAACATATCAATCCTAGAGTATGAGAGATGAGGGTGAGAATAAAAAGTGAAGTCGAGGGTTGTGGGGTTTTGCATTCTCCATACATCTTGGAGACCTGAGTGGAGTACAAAGTTCGAGAGTAGTTTGTCTATTTTGGCTGCTGGGGTAGTTTTACCAGTACGTGTGGGTTGTCGTTGTCGGTCTGTTTGGGGGTTGATGACCGCGTTAAAGTCCCCCCCTGTGATCATGTGGTGGGAGGGGAACAATTTGAGGTGGGCCTGGATGGCTGTCCAGAAGGACGGGTCTGGGTTGTTGGGGGCATATAGTGTAGTGATCGCGTATTTGTGAGTGCCTTGCTGTCCTGTTATAGTGAGAAATCTGCCTTGCGGGTCAGTTATAGTGTTTGTGAAGCTGATGGGGCATGTGTTCCGGATGAGTATTGCCACTCCATTACGTTTTCCGGTGGGGGAGTTTGCTAAGTGACATTCTTTGTAGTGTCTGTTTCTGAGTGGGAATGGTCTCGAGGTCTCAAAGTGTGTTTCTTGGAGGAGTATTACGTCTGCTCCCGTTCTATTGGCCCAGCGCATCAGCTGGTGGCGTTTAGCTGGGTTGTTTAGGCCTTTGCAGTTGAGTGAAATGCACTTCATTGTGCTGAAATTGGTTGGGGGTGTGGGTCTGTTTAGTGATTTAGATTGCGAAGGACCCGGGGTTTCTCGCCCGATTGGTTCCCGGGGGGGGTGAGGGGGGGGTTGTGGGGAGTGGGGTAAAGGTAAGGGTTGTGGGGTTTTAGTATCTAAAAAGGGGGTGAAGAACGGGGTGACGGTGTGCCCTGGTCTTACTATAGGATCGCCAGGTGGTGTTGGGGGGGTTGTATGTGGTGCCTTAAGGGTTGGGGTAGGTGTGGTGTGGTCCCCTTGTGGGGGGTACTGTGGGTTGTGGTGAGGGAGAGAGGAGGAAGGTTTTTCACATTCCCAGTACCCTCTCTCCCCCTGCACAATTGCCAGTGTATCACTCACGGTTGGTCGGTGGGTTCTTAGTCGGTTCGTTGTGTCTATTCTTAAGGTGGTTTATTGGTACGGGGTAGGATGCTCCGTTTTCGGTCTTTCTTTCTTCTGTGTCATATGTGAGTCTGTGTTGTCACTTGTGAGGTTCGCTTGGAAGAGAAAGAAAATATATTAACATATATACAAGAAAAACATTAACATTTTGTAATAATTGTGGTTTTTGCCTCTGCTTAACCTGTGTGTTGACTTCCAGGGAAGTTAATTATCTTGGGTAACTGCCTAGATGTGCCTTGTGTGGGTTTTCACTTAATTCTATCCCCCCTCTCCTCCCCTTCTACGTTTCTTTTTTTTTTTTATTTAAACCCGGTTTCGTCTTCGTCCCACTCTTTCTTCCCCCTATCCTGCTGTTGTCTTGTCCATTGTATGATCAGTGTCAGTGTTATGTGTGTGTGGTGTCCTTAGTCTGGGAGGGTGTAGTGAGTGTTATTGTGTCTAGTGGTCCATCTAGTCTGGAGTGTGATTCACCCTCTTTCTTCTTGCTACTAGGCCCTACGTGGTCAGTCTTGTCTCTCCTTCTCTGCCTAATCCCCCATTACCCTCGTGGTAATCATGTTCTACAGTGTAGAAGATTGCAAGAGTAATGTCTCTAGAGTTCACGTATTTTTCGTTTGGTTCTCTCTTCAGATCCGAGGCGGTTTTGGAGTGGGGATGTATTTCACTGGGTCCGTTGGGTGTAAGGTGGTCAGGGCTCGGTGCGTTGGTGATTTCTCCTCTGGTGTTGTTATGAGGGTCAAGCTGTGTCCGTGATGGTTTCAAAGGGGTACCGGTCCGGTAGTGCGGTGCGGGTCAGTTCTTGTATGGGGGATGTTTGAGAGTGTCGAGGGGGGACCTCTTGGTTTTATCTCGGGGTGTGCCCCTGAGGGGGGGTTGCCATGGGCTTGGGGTTCTCATTGCTGTTGGTTCTGGTTCCATGGGGCTGATTCTTCGTGGTTAAGTTCCTCTTATTTGGCGTCCGTCCTGTACTTCTAGCGGCCTGAGCGGTGCGGCGGGGATTGTTCCCCTTGACGTCTAGCAGCGGTGTTGTCTTCTATGGCGTGGGGGGGTCTTTTCTGTTTGGCCGGATGCGGGGATGCAGCCCTGTCTCTGGAGCGGTCTCTTCCCCTGTATCCCGTTAGTGGTGTGGGATTCTGGAGCTGAATTCCTAGAGAGTCCGCCATCGGGCCCATTTCTGCGGCTGTGGTGAGGATATGGGTTTGGTCGCCTTTTTGACCAGCAGTTTAAAGGGGTGGCCCCAAGTGTATTTTAGCCCCTGTTCTTGGAGGGCCAAGGTGAGGGGTTTTAGATCTCTCCTCTTCTTTAATGTAGTTGGGGCCAAGTCCTGGAAGAAGGTTAGGCGGACGTCTTTATACTTGGGAGGGCGGTTTCTGGCTAGTTGCATTAGTTTTTCTTTGGTTTGGAAGTAGTGGAGGCGGATAATTACGTCTCTTGGGGTAGAGAGGTTCAGATTTGGGGGTCGTAGTGCTCTGTGAGCCCGGTCCATTTCCAGGAGTGGCAGCGGTAGTTCGGGTGCCATTGCAGAAAAGATATCTTTCAGGGTGGTGCTTAGGGTCTCTGGCTGGACTGCTTCGGGCAGGCCACGGATTCGGATGTTATTCCTCCGTGATCTGTTGTTAAGGTCCTCCAGGTTGTCCTCCATGGCCGTGAGGCGGCCATGGAGGTAGGAGATTTCCTGGGACTGCGAGGTGGAGGTAGCTGTCAGTGCAGTGAGACGTACCTCTGTCTGGTCTGTGCGGGCAGTCAGTGTCTGTATTTCTGTTCTGAGGCCTGCTAAATTTCTAGTGATCTCTTCTGCCACGTGGGATTTTATGTCCACTGTGGCCTCCTTTAGCATGTCCCTGAGGCTCCCGATGGTGAGGGGGGTCGAGGGGTCAAGTGTGGGATCGGGCCCCTCTGAGTCAGTACCTTGATCAGCTCCTTGATCGGAGTGGGTAGGCCTCTGGGATTCCCCCGGCGTGCGGAACATGGAGGCTACCGACGGGGTGAGCTCTTCTTTCCTTTTCTTCCCGCCGCCCATATTGTGGAGCCTGATGCTGGGTGGTCGCCTGGGGGCTGTTTGGAGGGTGTTTGGGCCGTGTGTGATGCGGATGATGGCTGATTCTGTGCCTGGGGGAGAGGGAGCTGTGGGATCAGGCGTCCATCTTCCTCCGAGGTTAGGCTCCGCCCCCACCAGGTACTATTTTTATTTCTCTAGTTGGAGTGCATGGGTATATATATATATATATATATATATATATATATCTCCCATAGCTTATATTGCTTTAGTTTGTTATAAAAATTCATATGGCTAAATTATGCTTCATCCAATTCTCTGGGGAATATAAAGGATCAGGTCCTAAAATAAAAGAATAAACAAGAGAGGAAAAAAAAGTTTGTGGACCACAAAACAAAAAAACAAACTTAAATTGTCACAGAAACTTTACTTTGTTTCTATTTGGTATACAAATTTTCTGTGCAGAACATTGAGCTCTTTTTACTGGTATTTGCCAGGTGTTTCTCCTTTTTGCTCCGAACTCTCTTCACAGCACTGTGGCTAGGTAAAGAGCTGTAAGATCATTGTCCTCTTGTCCTTACTGCCTACATCTGATTACACTAATTTTGGTAAGAGTAAGTGTTTAACCATATACATTTATTATTAAATATCAAAGCACTAAAGCAGTTTTATGTGTGTGTATAATGCAGAGTGTGCGCGCGTGTGTGTATAATGCAGAGTGTGTGCGCGCGTGTGTATAATGCAGAGTGTGTGCGCGCGTGTGTATAATGCAGAGTGTGTGCGCGCGCGTGTATAATGCAGAGTGTGTGCGCGCGCGTGTATAATGCAGAGTGTGTGCGCGCGCGTGTATAATGCAGAGTGTGTGCGCGCGCGTGTATAATGCAGAGTGTGTGCGCGCGCGTGTATAATGCAGAGTGTGTGCGCGCGCGTGTATAATGCAGTGTGTGTGCGCGCGCGTGTATAATGCAGTGTGTGTGCGCGCGCGTGTATAATGCAGTGTGTGTGCGCGCGCGTGTATAATGCAGTGTGTGTGTGCGCGCGTGTGTATAATGCAGTGTGTGTGCGCGCGTGTGTATAATGCAGAGTGTGTGTGCGCGCGTGTGTATAATGCACACACACACACTGCTGATTGGCTGGAATGTGTCTGCTGACTGTGAGGTACAGGGTCAAAGTTTACTCAATGAGGAGTCCGCGGCGAACCGTTAGCGGCATCACTAAATGCAGAGTGTGTATGTGACTAATTTCCAATTAAACTTTTAGCACAGTCATATTTGGTTGTGATAAACTTGCAAAGTGGCAATTCCTCTTTACGGGAAACGGAACTTGGCTTTAAAAAGCAGACACTTGGAAAAGAATGATCAATTGTAATGGACCGTTTTGCCCAAAAGAGGTTAAAAACCGTTTAGGCGATATTCCCCTTTTTCAGCTGCACCGACAGCTACTGCAAGCACCAATCTCCTGAACTGCAAACCCACGAATTCACCAACTCCTGAACTGCAGCCAAGGGAATACTCGAAACTCCCGAACTGGAGACACACGAATAGCTGCTAGCAGACGAACAGGAAAAGCCCCCAAGCGGCTTACACTCCTGGCAATCAGTCTCTAACAGCATACAGTAAATCCTCCCCCAATAATGAGACGACACTTCACTTTGAGGGTTAAGCAGGAACTGATTTACTGGGGCTAACTGCCCGGCTTTTATGCAGGTCTCCCACCTGGTGGACACTCCCCTAGGGGACCAAATGGGAGACTGGGACACAAAGGGTAAAAGGACCGATCACAGACTTACACATTTCAACCATCCCACAATGCATCACAATCCATCCTCTCTGCTCTGGAGAGAATTGAGAAGTCATTCAATTATCTCCAAAGACAGAGGCAAAACTCCATTAACCACATGGCAGAAAACAAACAGTAAAAGACATAAAATTACCTACAGTTACATTCAGTACATAAAACATATACGTTCTACATATCCCCAGATAGCTCAGGTCTGAGCGCACATTATTAAGCGAATGGCGCTCAGACCACACGAATACAGTTTAATCGCCATGGAGCCAAAGTCTTTACACAGTCAGTTTCATGCGAATGGGCTCCATGGGATTCCTATCTGGGGTACAACACACTCAAACAAATCTACCGAACACCTGGCAGAAAAAAGCACGAATAAGTCTTTTCTGCAGGGAAAAAGATGTCTTTTAACATGGGGCCATAGTCCAAAGGCAGCAGGCGAGCAACCAGGCTTCTCCAGTGTACAGTGGCGAGGTTGGTTTCACCACATCAATATTGTATAAAGAGTAGGATCAGGGATACAATTATAGTAGTTCATTGTCAGTTAAGATAAAACAGAAAAATTAGATGTTTAGAATGCCATTTTTCAACCACACATAAGAGATTTCCTGGAACTTGTGTTGTAGAAATAAAGCTTGTATTGTGTCTCTGGGTACATTGGTGTGTATCACTTTATAATTAATGTTAAAAGGCTAATTGTCTGCATCTGCTGTCTCTCATAATAAAGAATAAATTTGTGATATCCTTTGTTTAATCCATATTACTGAAAGCCCTGCTGTTATAAAGCAAGTTCCTGTTCTTTAAGTGACTATGATTAATTGTATGTTATTACACAAATATGTAGCCCATGGCAATACAGCATAGAATAATATATGTTTATATGTAAATAGTATTAACCAAGAAATTAAAAAAACAAAAAAATTAAATAGAAATGGTTAATCCCTGGTGGTCCAGTGGTGTGTACTATGCAAGGGGGCTGGGGGCCGGCAGCAAGCTCTTACTTACATGTACAGCCGCTCAGTTCAGCTCCCCTGTGTAAATCTTGTGGCCTGCGTGCCACGCGGAGCTTTGCCACGGTAAACCGTGGCAAGGCTGTGATGGCCGCGGGTCTTTTGAGATTTACATAGGGGAGCTGAACGGAGCGGTTGCACATGTAAATAAGAGCTTGTAATGATCCCGGCGGTCCTGGTCTGTATTATGGCAATGTAAGTTGCCATAATACAGACGCTGGCTCGAGTATAAGCCGAGGGGGGCTTTTTCAGCAGAAAAAAAATTTGCTGAAAAACTAGTCTTATACTCGAGTATATACGGTAACTTACTTTAAAAGTTCTTTTTTATATATTCTGCTCTGTAAACTGAACTTTAATTATACACAGGCGGCTCCTGCAAGTTATTAACAGAGCAGGAGAAAATAAATTCTAAATGAAACAGAATTTTCAATAAAGGAAGTGTAAATATTAGATAGTGTTACAGGATGTTTTAAGGAAGGTTGTGTAAGTCCCATGCAGGGAGGTGTGGCTAGGGCTGCATAAACAGAAACAAAAGTGATTTAACTCCTAAATGGCAGATAATTGAACAGTGAGACTGCAGGAGCATGATCTGTACACCAAAATTGCTTCATTAAGCTACAGTTGTTTTGGTGACTGACTTTAAGGCAGTAAGTAACGGATTCACTTGATTCAGGAGACATTGAGCACTACTAAATGGAAAAAATATGGTGGTAAAACCTTTAAATTAACTTAAAATCAATGCTGTTTTTATTTTTTCCTTGATTGATTTTTTTCCCCCCCTAGATTGTAGTGGTCCTATTATTTTAATTGTTGACTCTAAGAATCTTATTACCATAATGGATTCAAAAAGGAATATTGTGTTTTCCTTTTTTGTGACATACCGTATATACTCGAGTATAAGCAGAGTTTTTCAGCACATTTTTTGTGCTGAAAACCCCCCACTCGGCTTATACTCGAGTCACTGTCTGTATTGTGGCAATTTAGATTTCCACAATACAGACCAGGACCGCCGGGGTCATTACAAGCCTGGCGGTCCTGTTGGGGGCTGACAGTGAGCTGTTGCTTACCTTCCTGCAGCTACTGTCAGCTCCGTTCTGCTCACAGTGTAAGTCTCGCGTATACTCGAGTATATCCGGTAATTGGAAATGCCCACATTTTTCTTTTTGTTTTGGATCAGCAGCATCAAATAATGTGTTACAAAGTTGGCCTTGTTGGACTTTAGTTTTTTTTTTTTCCCAACCGCGATTACTATGTAACTATGCGAACCGGTCAATATACAAAGGGGAGTGGGTTATTTAATAAGAAATGCCCCAAATCGTTCAAGCTCTTGAATTAAGTCTTGGCAAAATAAAAATAAAAAACCTGCAAAAGAGGGGCTCTTCCTCTTTAGTGATATCTGTGAATAGAGAATTTGGACTGTTGGACCTAGACGGTCATACAGAACAAAAAATATTTTATTTGATATAAGAATGCTCCAAATACCATAACCACTATATTACAATAGAAATTGGCACTTTTATAAATTAACATTGTTATATTCCTGGCAATTAGGAAACTGGTCCTGTTACTTCCTGGTTATTTATCTCAATGGGGCTAAACTAAAAAGACAAGCAATTGTCCAGAGCACTTGTCTTGTAAAGACTTCTCATTGAGCTGCCTTGTGAAGTGTATGATTGAACAGCCATAGGGATTTCTAGCTGTTTGTCAGATCAGTTAGTGCTTTGTTACAATGCTGCTGCCCATCATATTCGTTCCCTATTAAAGGGAAACTCCAGGCAGCCCTTTTTACTCCTTGTTCCAGCGCTGGGAGCCTCGTGAAGCCTCGCCCCCTATTTTGGCAAAATGACGAAATAGGCGGGCGAGAGCAGGGAGCAATCAGACGCTTCCATTCGGAAGAGTCATTGCTCCTTGGTGCAATGGTCATACTTCATAGGGCGGCATTCTGAGTGACGGCCACTGGAGGTGGTATTATCAACCAATGTAAACACTGTATTTTCTCTGAAAATACAGTGTTTACATTAGATTGCCTGCAGGGAGCTATAGAGCTCACCCGAACAACTACATTAAGCTGTAGTTGTTCAGGTGACTATAGTGTCCCTTTAAGGGTTAATAAGCATGTAGGGATGTATATAAAAAACACCCCTTTTTGTATCATTAGCGATATCTCTGCCAGAAGCTCAAGGAAGTAAGGTGAATGGTTAGTGTTAGGACCCACCTAAGAGGTCTGTCTGCCTTGATGTGGCAGGTGGGCATATCCTCTCATGGCCATTGGAGGTAACTAAAAACCTCCATTTGTTTAAATATACATAGGGATTTGGCAAAGAGTGCAGGTAACTTTCCCCTTTGGTTTTTACTGTATGTATTTGAGCTGATGTATACTATGGTCGTTGCTGCCGCCCAGGAGTAATGAGAGTTTGAGCGCAGGACTTGTTTTTTTGCATTCGTAACTTGTGACTTTGTGTTTATGACCAATGCTGTTAAATATTATTACACAGATGGTGGTAAAAACGTTTATGGATATGGACCAGGACTCAGAAGATGAGAAACAACAATATCTCCCTTTAGCCTTGCACCTTTCATCTGAATTCTTCCTCAGGAACCCCAACAAAGATGTTCGCTTACTTGTTGCTTGTTGCTTAGCTGATATCTTCAGAATATATGCCCCAGAAGCACCATACACCTCTCATGATAAATTAAAGGTACGATCTGATTAAACTTTTGTAGTATAAATGTTTACCATTTTTTCCTCAACTGTCAAATTTAATTGGCATGGTAAATGAAAGTGGATGAACAATATAATGCAATGCTAATTTCGTAAGTCTGAAAATACTGGCTGATTTTCTACTTTCTGTTAAACCACAGCTAGAGGACTGCAACTTACATTTGGTGTACCGTATATACTCATGTATAAGTTGATCTCGTGTATAAGTAGAGTGCAGTTTTGTGACCAACAATTGTGAAATATGCTATGCCTCGTGGATAAGTCGAGGGTAAAACTTGGGGCTATGAAATTCTGGGATTTTTATAATTATATACACACACTCATACAAACACACACTGCATTATATACAAACACACACTCTGCTTTATATACACACACACACTGTGTGTTTGAATGCATAGTGTGTGAAGGGAGGGGGGAGGGCATTTTTATTTTATTTAAATTATTTTTTTTTTATTCCCGCCTCTGCTTGTTAACTGGTCAGGGAGGGGGGCTATCTTAATCCCTGGTGGTCCAGTGGTATGGGCTGTGGGGTGGGGGGGGGGGGTGAAGCCGGCAGCAAGCTGTTACTTACCTTTGTAGCAGCTCCGGTCAGCTCCCTTCACCTCCGTGCAGTCCTGGTCTGTATTATGGCAATGTAAGTTGCCATAATACAGACACTGACTCGAGTAAAAGTCGAGTGGGGCTTTTTAGCAAAAAAAAATGTGCTGAAAAACTCGACTTATGCTAGAGTATATACGGTAGGTGTTTGCTTGTGTTTTTATTTTTATCTTGTAGATCTGCATGTTATTATACATAATATATATTTTTTATTTTTTTTAATTTCCCATCTCTCAAGGACATTTTCTTGTTTATAACAAGACAACTGAAAGGCCTGGAAGATACAAAGAGTCCACAGTTCAACAGATATTTTTATCTACTGGAGGTAAAATTTCTTTGTTTTTAGGGTATTTTTTCTTTTCATTTTAAACCTTAATGTGAGGGGGGAAAATGACTTGGAGAGGTGTTAACCATTGTTAATGGACTACTTTAAAGAGACACTATAGTCACCAAAGCAACTTTAGCATAATGAAACGGTTTGTAGATCAAGTCTCACTGCTCAATGTTCTGCTATAAATCTTTATACAGCTAAAGTTGCTTTGCTTAGGTACTAGTGTCCCTTTACGCAGCATAACCCTTCTCTCTATCTCTTTTCCCAGAGTGGTATATAACTGCAGCATTTTGTAATAATTGCTGCAACTATAATTCTACTCCCTGGATCAATGATGTCCAAATATGAATATTTTTTCCTTCTTAGCCATTAAACATCCATCCTACTGGAGCATGAAGTATGTACATTTCGCACACACACTTCGGACAGTGATCTCACACCGCTCCTCTACCTCTGAAGAGTGTCCAAGCTATGACGTGTAGTAGGCAGCTTGGATTATTTGTGCTCTGTTTGTGAACTGGGGTCTGGTATTCTGATAGCAGTTGTGGCTAGATCGCTAAGATAGCACCATCCTATTTGAGGAGTAGAACTGAGGTCCTGGATCTGCAGCTGGAACCATGTATCTAATAATTCTCTGCTGGAAAATTAAAATCTCTTCAAAAAAGAGACTAGGATACTTTCATTGTAAGGACTGCTTTGGTAAGGGTGTGCCTGCTGCAGTATGATGGTGTTCATGTGCCACAGTCTTAGCTTTTGCGTAAGTAACGGCAATTGTTCTGTTTTTTTAATTAATTTTTTTTTTAACCTTTTTAGAATTTGGCATGGGTTAAATCGTATAATATTTGCTTTGAATTGGAGGACTGCAATGAAATATTTATTCAGCTTTTTAAGACACTCTTCTCTGTTATCAAGTAAGTTGAATATCATTAACAAAATTTCTATGTTTTTAATATAATTGCAATAAGCTGTACATTTCATAGTTTTCAAATGTGAGGTGCAGCTGTTTGTATTATATGAATATAAAATTAAATTGCTGTTGTGTGTAAAACTTGTGTGTGTATATTATGTGTAAAAGATTGCACTGGCATCAGCGGGAAATATTTACAAATATTCCTTAAAGGAACACTCGAGTGCCAGCGTTCTGACACTACATGTCTAATTAGCCCCCTTTACCACAGGTTAAGGCACTCACCTTTTCCAGCACCGTGCAGGTTTGGTCACGACTAGCTCCACGCTCCGCCCCCTGGCTGAGATCCTCAAACTAGATGATTTCAGCCAATCCAATGCTTTCCCATAGGAAAGCCCAGGAAACACCTCTAGGGGCCATCTAAGTGACTGCCACTAGAGGTGTGACTAAGCAGTAATGTAAATGCTGCCTTGTCTCTGAAAAGGCAGCGTTTACATTAAAATGCTTGCATGAACATACTATACAGTATAACAACTACATTAAGCTGTAGTTGTTCTGGTGACTATAGTGTCCCTTAACTCCTTAAGGACACATGACATGTAACCTGTCATGATTCCCTTTTATTCCAGAAGTTTGGTCTTTAAGGGGTTAAAGCACTAAAACTTACTTTTTACTAGCTGACCTCTGCAGCTAATTGTTTGTCCAGCATTGACTTTCTTCTTCGTTCTGGGCTTTGTTTACGCAAATGCTTCTCAAAGTTTAGCATTGAAGAAATCTCTAGTGCAGTGGTTGACAACCTCCATTCTGGCAAAGCATCAGTGAAGCTGAAGTCCACGATATCTGCAGTGCCTAAGCCTAGATCTAGAACATAGCTTGTTCTCTTTGCATGGTTTTATTATACTTGGTTTAAAAAAACAAACCCTAAAAATTAAAAGGCTACATATTTTTGGGTTTTTGAGTGTTCATTTTTGTGTCCTTTGGATCAACCGCAAAACATGTGAAAGACTGAACTTGATGGACGCAAGTCTCTTTTCAGCTATGTAAGTATGTAACTGTAATGTTTTAGAAACCTGTAGTCGACTGAAAACCTGAGAGTGGTTAGCAAGTGTTTCTTACTATTCAATTATTTAGATTTTTTTTTTTCTGCTCACCAACTTCAGCCATAATCTATCTGATCATGATAGAACATAATACATTTGATGTGCCTCGTGAGTTTGTTTTTTGTTTTTGTTTTTTTCTCTCCCTTTCTTTTCATGTGACTTTTGCTCTTCGATGGGAAATGGGGCTTGAAAATGACCTGATTTTACTTTTTTTAAATGAATGTCAGGGAGAGAGTTACATTGTCTGAGAGCCAGGTAGCGGAAGCTTTGACACTCATCCAGTAATGAGCAGCCTTTTGCCGGGGTTGCCGGGGTTAGCATGACACCAGAAGCAAAAGTTGTACACATCTGATATTGCTGGCCCTACATATTGTAAAAATAGGTATTTATTGCGAGATTAAAACATTTAAATAGGGCTGCAGGGACAGCATTTGGCACTAGAATAGCTTCAGTATGACAAAGTTGTATCAGTGCTTAGTGACAATTTTACGGTTCCCCAACAGTCTATCTGAACAGAATTCTCTACTGTTGGAAATTGTGAAGGTGTGCTTAGTAGGGGGAAATATATATATTTACATTTGTAATGCTTTTTCTCCATCTCCATGGGCAATTCTGGTATTTGTAAAGCATGTCTGGACGAGTTAGCAACATGCATGTTGATACCAGGATCTGGGTTAGAAAAGAGAAATGAGCTGTGTGAAAAGGACACTAGGCACCCAGACCACTTCATCTGAAGTGGCCATGTCTGTCATTTTAACCTCACAACTGAAAACGTTGTTCTAAACACCAATGTTTAGATTGCAACATTAAAATTAGGTATCGACCGATATAGATTTTTTAAGAGCCGATAATCTGTGAATTTTCAGGCCGATATTCTGTACATTTACAATTTTGAAAAAATACACTATTTCTAAAGGTAAATGCACAAAATATACACGCCACATGTAGTGGATGCAGTGTGTTTAGACAGGGGAGCTGTGTGTGTTTGTCTGGTGGATGTGGGGTGTGTTTGTGTAGTGTGTATAGTGAATGCGGGGTGTGTTTGTGTAGCGTGTGTAGTGAATGCGGGGTGTGTTTGTGTAGCGTGTGTCGTGAATGCGGGGTGTGTTTGTGTAGCGTGTGTAGTGAATGTGGGGGGGGTGTGTGTGTAGCGTGTGTGTGTGTAGCGTGTGTATAGTGAATGCGGGGTGTGTGTAGCGTGTGTATAGTGAATGCGGGGTGTGTGTGTAGCGTGTGTATATAGTGAATGCGGGGTGTGTGTTTCTGAAGGGCTGTAATTTGTGTAAAATGGGAAGGAGGGGGGTATTTTTTATTAATTTTATTTTTAATATATATGCTTATATTATGTTTTGTTTTATATTTTTTTTGTCCCCCCTCCCTGCTTGTTACCTGGCAAGGGAGGGGGGCTATGCCATTCCCTGCTGGTCCAGTGGTATGTACTGAGCAGTGGGGGGGCCAGCAAGCTGTTACTTACCTTTCCAGCAGCTCCCTGTGTAAGTCTCGCGGCCTGTGTGCCGCACAGAGCTTTGCCATGGTAATACCGAATATTGGCCGATAATATGGGTAAAACCGATAATCGGTCGATCCCTAGTTAAAATGTCTCTACTGAGCCAAAATAGGAGCGTGAAACTCTTTCTATCAGATGGTCATATGTAGTTTATCTTAATATCGCATTTGTTCTGCCTGCATACTAGCCTCCCAATGCTCTTATTGGTAGATATTGGATTCTACCTTAATGATCCCAGGTGAAGAGGCGCACCTCCCGTCAGTAAATGGCACGGTGTAGGCTGAAAAATAAGTAAAACTCATCCTTGCAGCCCTGACATTTGGAGGGGCTTAAATAAATAGATTAAAACTATAGTGTTAAAGAGTACATGTTTGTATATAGGGTTCCTTAAAG